TCAACATTTCAATGCCAAGCGGGGTTTCCTTCTCTCCTCCTCCATTTTCCTGTATATCACATACAGGATGGTGTGAGAGGCCTCAGTTTCCGAGAACATACAGAGGGGATGCCACACCTACGAACTATGTCCAAAGGCTACCATTTGATAGCGGCCTTTCCCCATTCCTCGGGCACATAATTCTGGGTGGGGAATCTATTCTCTGTGCTGTGCTGAAAAATTATCTTACAGTGGTTTTTGTCTTTTGGCCATTTGCCAACAGATAATAAGAAAATAAATGGCAATCTAAAGTTATTAACAAAGAGGAAACATTTTAGTGAAATTCTGATGGGTTTTTGTTGGCACTCACCTTGCTTTTGTGCTGCCAAAGAGGGGTGTTTGTGAACATTCCTTTCTTTCATTCTGAACTTCATCCCACCAGCGTTGTGGGCTCTGTAGCCTTCCTGGCTGCCTACACTTCAGTTAAAGCCCAGGGTAAGATGAAAGCCAGTCTGGTGTAGCGGTTAGAGTGTTAGACTGGGACCTGGGGAACGAGGGTGTGAATCCCCACTCGGCCATGAAGCTCACTGGGTGACTTTGGGGAGCCAGCCACTGACTCTCAACCTAACCTACCTCCCAGGTAGCCACTAGGCTATGCCCCTCCCCCAGGAGTGTATCTCAACAGATAAACTGCCTTTAAAAAAAAAGAAGACATTAAGTATAACAGCCACCCTACTTGCAAGTTTACTCTGGGGCAAAGCAGTCCATTCCAGAGCTGCCAATGGGCTGCCCCCAAATCTAGATGCTGGACAGCATGCGAGGGGTTAAGGGGAGAAATGCTTAGCCCAGTCTGCCTGTCACTCATTCTGGCCAGGCCTGTTTCTTTTCTCCCTGCACCCCCATCTGTCTGCATTAAAGTGACAGGCTCTTTCAAGCCTGGGAGTCTGACACACCCCCTCCCCAATGAGCTGGGGGAAGTAGTCAAGCCTCCAATGGAGCCTGGCTTGATGTTTCTGTTGAAGGCCTTGCCCTTGATCCTATGCCCCCTTTTGCTTTGCTTCCTCTGCAGCAGCATTCCCTAACATGGTGACCCCCCCCCCGAGGTTTTGGCCTACATAGCCAGCATGGTGTTGTGTAGAACCCATGTGGTGTAGTGGTTAGAGGGTCTGACTAAAACCTGGGAGAGGAGGGTTCAAATCCCTGCTGAGGCATGGAGCTCTCTGGGTGGCACTTGGGCCAGTCACAGTCTCTCAACCTAAGCTGCCTCGCAGGGCAGTGGTGAGGATAAATTGCGTAGAACCAAGCACGCCACCTTGAGTTCCTTGGAGGAAAGGAGAAATGCAACAAATAAATGAATACAACTCCCATCAGGCCCAGCCAGCATGACAATGTAATAAAGATTATTTCATGTTTAAAGGGAAGACATATAAAGATCCTGAAAGCAAATGAATGCTACATGTTGTAAAGGTAAACAAAAAAAAAGGTAAAGGACCCCTGGACGGTTAAGTCCACTCCAAGGCGACTTTGGGGTTGCGGCACTCATCTCCCTTTTCAGGCCCAGGAAGCTGCCGTTTGTCCACAGGCAGCTTTCTGGGTCATGTGGCCAGCATGACTAAACCACATCTACCTTCCTGTCACAGCGGTACCTATTCTTAACACGTTCAAGCGGTACTTGCACTGGCATGCTTTCGAACCGCTAGGTTTACAGGAGCTGGGACAGAGCAACGGGAGCTCACCCCGTCACTGGGATTCAAACTGCCAACCTTCTGATAGGCAAGCCCAAGGGGGTCAGTGGTTTAGACCAGTTGTACAGCCAGCCCATAAACCAATCTGGAAAAATCCTCAATAAACAGGTCTTTCGGAGAAGCCCAGAGTAAACAGTTGCATGATTTCCAAAATGTTGGATTTGCCTCACGCTGCCTTAGGGTATGGTTGCTGGCCAGGACACAGAACTTCTTCTTCTTCTTCTTCTTCTTCTTCTTCTTCTTCTTCTTCTTCTTCTTCTTCATAAAATCCCTTGTGAAAGCCTTCAAGACGAGGCTGTGTGTCAGGTCCTCCTTCCTCTGCTTCCTATTGAAAAGGTTTTCCAGGATGTCACAAGCTGTTGGTGCTTTTCCTTTTGGTTCCTTACAGGATGTTGCCAGAAATAAATGTTTCAGGAAGCATCTCCATGCTTAGTAGGGAGCCTGGGGAAGGGGAGGGGTCACCAAAAAAACAAAAAAAACAAAACAGGCTTCCCAAGTTTCTGTCCCTGAGAGAGCTCTTCTGCTGTTAAGGCCTGCATAGAAGAGTTTTACAAAGTTAAGGCTTCCTTATCGGTGGCCACAGAAGATACCACAAGAAACTGGCGATATTATAAAATTAAACTTACTTTAAATTTTTTAGTGCTCAAGACATAGTGGGTTTGCAATGCGCAGTCAAGATACCAGCAAATGATAATCTCGGCAGATCCTCCCCTTCTTATATATTTGCAGCCATCCACTTTTCCATGTTCCAGAAATGACGTAATTAAAGCTGTACAAGAAACCGCAGGATGCTGCGATATCAAAGAGAAAGCAGAATAAAGAGTAACAATTAAAAAGAGGGATTGAAGGAGAGAACGTCTGGTCGGCGTGAAATGGTAGAGGAGTCAAATTTCAGCCAGCCGTCCCAAAACCATTCCAGAAACGATTCCATATACTACAACAGAGGTCAACCAGACTCCATTTTTAAAATGGATTCTCTACTGTTTGGCTACTAAACATCAAACAAACAAACAAAACCCCAAACCTCTATTAAAGGTACAGGAGTAGCCTCAGGCCCTGGGTCTGACAGCCCTAATTAAAGGAGGTGGGGAAAGCAAGTTCTTGGCAACTTGTGATTTCACCAGCATGGCGTAGTGGTTGAGAGCACATATTCCTTCATGGGCAAACTTCTGGAAGCTGCATGTCAGTGGTAGGTGGGGCTTGAGGTAAAAGTGGGTGGAGTGATATTTATTTATTTATTGCACTGCACACATTATTCTGTATGACTTTTATCTGTGTACAGCTGGGTACACATTGGACACGCAAAACCCAAAGGGTTAATACACACTCATTCAGCATGATTTTATCATCCATCAAGATGCATTATCACAGTTCAAGAACACAGCCCAGCCATGCAAAAGCACTTCGAAAGGACACCAAGCAGGACCAGTTACTGGGTGCCTAGTCTGGGAACAGGGACGTGGGTAGCGCTGTGGTCTAAACCACAGAGGCTAGGGCTTGCCGATCAGAAGGTCGGCGGTTCGAATCCCCGAGATGGGGTGAGCTCCTGTTGCTTGGTCCCTGCTCCTGCCAACCTAGCAGTTTGAAAGCACGTCAAAGTGCAAGTAGATAAATAAGTACCGCTCCAGCGGGAAGGTAAACGGCGTTTCCATGCGCCAGAAGTGGCTTAGTCATGCTGGCCACATGACCCGGAAGCTGCACGCCAGCTCCCTCGGCCAATAAAGCAAGATGAGCGCCGCAACCCCAGAGTCGTCTGCAACTGAACCTAATGGTCAGGGGAATCTAATAGTCATAGAAGCCTGGATAGCTTCGTTTGGACTCTGGAACAGAAGATCCTCTATACTTGTGTTAGAAAACTGATTCAAAACTGGTCATGGACATGAAGCTCACTGGGTGACCTCAGGCCACTTAATATCTCTCTGTCTAACCTACTCCGCAGGGTTGTTGTGAGGATAGAATGGGTGGAGACAAAACCATGTATGCTGCCCTTAGCTTATTTATACTTAATAAACGAAGTAGCTGGTTTAGGAGAGGTTTTGACTAGAGAGAGCAGAGTGTCTTGACAGATTGTGGCAAGTCGGGGCCACAGCCTGCTAGATTTTGATGTGTCTCCCCACACTGGTGAATCAAGGTGTGTGGGGAGGGGATTAACAAACGAAATAACTCCACAGTTCAAATACCTGATTAAGCAAAATATCTTAAAGCAGATAAAATATCCAGGTATTTAACCAACCCTGGACCAGCATATGCAAACTGGAGGTCTAAAGGGGCTGGTGCTGACACAGCATCCTCTTCCACTTTCTTTTCAAGATAAGTTTTCTAGTGGAGAGACGGAGGCCAAGCAGGTATGTCCTTACTGATAAGCAGGTAGGGTTTCGATGTGTCCTCTTTTTCCAGGACACATCCTCTTTTTCAGGGTAACGTTGAGACAAATTGCATTTATTTGCTTTGAATAGCCATCATGGTGTCCTCTTTTTTGCTCTTCAAAATATGGTATGTTGCCTTGTGGGTGCTTGTATTGTCCTTATTTTTTATTGTGAAATCGCTTTCAGATGCTTCAAAGGAAGGGGTTCATAAACAAATGTATGCATGAAGCAAAACAGTGCTGATTCCCAAATGCATGTGCTTACATGGAGGTAGAAGCAAATTCAACGCCAACTCTCCCAACTGTGATTTCACTGAGTTTAAAATGTGAAGCTGCACATGATCAGAGCTTACCCCTCCCATATCTTGATTGCCAAACCGATTTTTTAAATTATTATTATTTTGCCCTAACATACCAGCAAGGCGAGAGCGGTTGTAGCACACGGCACAACAGTTGGAAGGTGGGTGTGGAGACGAAGCAGAGAAACGTTTAGCGGGGGCTTTGCCAATGAAGTCCTCCCCGTGGTCGTCTCAAAGCCGGTATCTCTCTGTGTGTGGTTAATAAGGCCAGGAGATTCAGGGCCTAAAATGACCGGACCCTGGGCCAATTTCTGCAAGCTGCGCAGCCCGTGCAGCGTTGCAAAGCCTCGTGGGATAGTGCAAGAGGCCCTTCCCGCGATGCCCCTGCCAGCCCCCTCCCTGATGCCCCCGGAGAATCATGCCCGAGCTCGGCTGGGCACCCCCTTCCCCGCTGTGGGTGCCCAGGGCAAGCGCCCCCCCCTTCCTCCTTCCCTCTCCTTTGGCGCAGGCTTTGGAGAGCACAGGAGGCGCGGCGAGGCCAGGCGAGGGGCCCTCCCTTCTCCTCCGGGGCTGAGTCTCGACGTGTCTGGGACAGATTAGAGGCGAGCTGCGGAGCCGGGCGAGGCGGCGGCGGCTGCAGGCGGCGAAGCAGCAGCGAGCGCACGCGCTGGCGCCGGGCTCGGCCGCTGCCCGCGCCCCTGAGCCAGGCCGGGCTTGCCACGCAGCGCGGGAGGAGGAGAGGCGCCCCGACTGCGCGCTCCGACGCCAGGGCGCACCACTGCGGGGACGCACTCCCGGAGCAGGGGCGCAGGTAAGCGCGGAGCTGCAGCTGGCCAGCCTTTTTCCCCGCAAGGAAAGGTGAGGAGGGGGCCCGGGGTCTCCTCCCCGTCGCCGTCTTGCCCCCTCTCCAAAGGATGCTCCTCGGAGTCTTCACGGAAAGGTGGGGTGCTGTTTTCTTGAGGGTGCATCCCGCCCTCGCAGCCCGGATCCGGGACCTTCTAGCTCAGCTGCAAGCGATCGGAGGGATCGGTGATCCCCGAAGGGCTGGCAGGAGAGCCCCTCTTCCTGGAAACCGCGCGCATGGATGCGCGTAATTCTCAGAAATCCTCCGTGCCGTGCGCTCTGTGTGTGTTTTGACAGGACTATAAAAAACTGGTCACCCCCAGCCGCAAAACATAACATGCACCCCACCTCTCCATGCCTTGTTTTTCTTTCTTCTGTAACCCTTGATTCCTCCAAGGAGACCAGAGCGACAGTCTAGCTTCAGAACAGCCCTGTGAGGTGGGCCTGGCAGTGCCGTGAATACCCAGCATGGTTCCCGCCCCCGCCCCCCGCGTAGACAATGTCACTTTCCGAGTCCTATCATTTGTGAAATGGGTATCCTGGCAACTTTAGTGGCATTGTTTGTTTCTTATTTCATTTATTTGAAAGCATTTCTAAACTGCTTGATTTTTTTTTATGAAACCTTGTAAGTGGTGTACAGAATGCAATATAAAAACAATATACAGCTCTTTTTTAAAAACAATACAGTATGATTAAAAAACAGCTGGTGGAAATAAGAATTCAGGATTAGCTTATGGGTTTGGAGAAGGCTGGGCAAAAATGTCTTTTTACAAGCTGTCTGAAGACATTTGAGGTGTAGAGTTTTGACACTTGAAATATGTATTGTTAGGACCCGCTTTATTTTTGTGATTGTTGTTTTAAACTGTTTTTGAAATTGTGTTGTAACCTGCCCTGGGACCTTACGATGAAGGGCAGGTAATAACAATAATCACAACACCAACAGTAATGTATGGAAGTGGGAAGGGGCAATGGCATTAAAGGCTGTTTTTGAGTCATTGGTGTGATAATTTGTAGGGTGCGGTTCTATGAGTGAACTTTCCCCAGATGATCTAAGTGATTTTACAGGTCTACAGAGGTACATACAGTGGTACCTCGGGTTACATACGCTTCAGGTTACAGACTCCGCTAACCCAGAAATAGTGCTTCAGGTTAAGAACTTTGCTTCAGGATGAGAACAGAAATCTTGCTCCGACGGCACGGCAGCAGCAGGAGGCCCCATTAGCTAAAGTGGTGCTTCAGGTTAAGAACAGTTTCAGGTTAAGAACAGACCTCCGGAACGAATTAAGTACTTAACCTGAGGTACCACTGTACCGTCTTTCCTTGTTGCAGAGGGGTGAAATAGGCCACTTTGCTGAACTAGGGACACAACGTAGATCCCCAAAGGGATCAAGTAACAATAAATGAACAGGAGTTAGGAAATAATGCTAAACAACATAGTGTTTTCTTTTCAGTATGGAATAAATATGTTTTCAAGGTGGGCAGTTGAACAGCCAAGTATCCATTTGCCCAGAGGCTTAGTATGGGCAGTAGACAAGGCAGATCAGTGCTGCTGCAACTTCTCATTATTTATTTAAAATATTTTTATATTGCCCTTTGTCCAATAGATTCCAGGGCGGTGAGCAACACAATAAAATATGCAATAAAACCATAGCATGAGCAATGTAATGTGAGACTACAGTTAAAATATACAACAGACAAAGCCATTACACATATTAAAATGTCTGAGAAGACGGTACTAACTTGGTACTTAAAATATAATAATATAGGTGGCAAGCAGGTTGGAAAAGCAAAGGACACTTCTAATAAGAAAGGCGATTGGAGAAGAGCTTCAGCAGAATATCTCATGACACAGGCAGGCTCATTGGTCGTGTCCCTGCAGCCTAACACAGCAGAGCACATTTGGCTTATTTGTTGGCAGTGAGGGAGAAAACAGGAGTGGTAGGATTTTGCTTTGCTTTGAGTGTTTCTAGATGGGGGCTTAATTTGGAAACGGGACATTGGCAGCCTTAAAAAAAAGGTGCTGCTTTTTTCCTGAAAATGGTAAATGTGAATGAAAGAGAGAAAGAAATATGGACTGACATTTTAATGCCAACGACATCATGCAAAAATCTTGCTTGCATGAGGAGCACCGATTGCTCAATGAACACTCCTACTGTATAGGTGTCCTTTATTTTTTCAGTATGTTGCAGTCACATTCAGATTTATTAGTAAGGTAAGCAAATACAGGCTGTAGCCAAACAGAAACACAGGAACATAAATGATACATAAGAATCATACATAAAGATAAAAACTTGACCTATACAATAAATAAAGCATACTTTTTTTGAGGGGGTCTTATATCTCAAAGGAGGCTACATGGCCTTTGTCTGAGCAGCTTTCACTGCAAATTTAGATGTATTAGACATTACCTGTCAGAAGCGGACAACAGATATTTAATCTTATCACTATCACTGCGGGTAGCAACCACCACTAAAAAGATCTCTAAATATTTTTGCCAGGGTGGTGTATACAGCTTACATTATAGCATATAGTGGATGGTGTCTCCTACAGTGGTACCTCGGGTTAAGAACTTAATTTGTTCCGGAGGTCCGTTCTTAACCTGAAACTGTTCTTAACCTGAGGTACCACTTTAGCTAATGGGGCCTCCTGCTGCTGCCGTGCCACCGCCGCACAATTTCTGTTCTCATCCTGAAGCAAAGTTCTTAACCCAAGGTACTATTTCTGGGTTAGCAGAGTCTGTAATCTGAAGCGTATGTAACCTGAAGTGTATATAACCCGAGGTACCACTGTATTGTATATGCAAAAGCACTGGTCCCTGGGAATTTTCTTGAACTGCTTCCTGAAAATTAAACTATAATCTGAAAACAATAGTACAGTAGTAGGCCCTCTGAGTAGTGAGAACTGGAAGTTCTGCTTTTGCTTAAATCAATTTTATTTATTGGGTTGTATCCAGAGTTAGTCATACTCAGAATAGACACACTGCAATTAATGGAGATGACTAACATAGGTCTATTCATGTTGGGTTGTCTACTCTGAGTAAAAGTTAGAATCGCTGAATCATAGAATTGTAGAGTCGGAAGGGACACATCTAGTCCAACCCTCTTCAAAGCAGGAACCGCAACTAAAGAATCCCTGACAACATTTACCCCCCCTGGGGCTCTTCACATGCTTTGGAGGGCAACTCCTATGTTGGAAGAAGATTCAGGACCAATAAAAGGCAGTCTTTCTTCATGCAATGCATAGTTAAACTATCGAGCTCACTCCCGCAGGAGGTAGTGATGGCCACTAACTTGGATGGCTTTAAAGGAGGATTGGAAAGGTTCATGGAGAAGAGGGCTATTGATGGCTACTAGCCATGATGGACGCGGGTGGCGCTGTGGTCTAAACCACTGAGCCTAGGGCTTGCTGATCAGAAGGTCGGCGGTTCGAATCCCACAACGGGGTGAGCTCCCGTTGTTTGGTCCCTGTTTCTGCCAACCTAGCAGTTTGAAAGCACATCAAAGTGCAAGTAGATAAATAGGTACCGCTCCGGCAGGAAGGTAAATGGCGTTTCTGTGCGCTGCTCTAGTTCGCCAGAAGTGGCTTAGTCATGGTGGCCACATGACCCGGAAAAACTGTCTGCAGGCAAACATCAACTCCATCGGCTAGTAAAGCGAGATGAGCGCGCAATCCCAGAGTCGTCCGCGACTGGACCTTAAGGTCAGGGGTTCCTTTACCTTTACCTTAGCCATGATGGATATGCTCTGCCTTCACAATCAGAAGCAGCAATGCTGCAAACCACAGTGACAGGGGGTGGGGAGGGCTCTTGTGCTCAAATCCTGCTTGTGGGCTTCTAGTTGAGCCATCTGGTTGGCCACTGTGAGAGCAGGATGCTGGACCTGATGGGCCAACAGGCTCTTCTTAGGTTTCTTCCTGACTCTGTTGGCCCTGCTGGCTGGGCTTGTTGGGTGCTGCAGTTCAAAACATCAGGAGGGCATGAGGTTGGAGAAGGCTGGCCTGCCAGTTTTAAGTTTTAAGAACCGCTATTCAATGTTACATCTTACCACCACCACCAGTCTTGCTTCCCCAAGATCGGCAAGAGCTGTAGGTTTGAGAAAATGCTGAAAGTTCTGCTTGGGGATCCCCGGCTGCTTCACTGAACTTCCTTTCCTGAGGAAGGTTCCTTGGGGAAAGGCTTGGCAGATGAAATTGATTAGACTTGTGCTATAGACATGTTAATTGTCACTAATTGTTGTGTCCTCTGCAAAGTGGCTCCTGCTGCCTTGCATTTTGCTCTGGATCAGGCCAATGTTTTATTGTTCTCTGTTTTGCGTTTGTTTGATTTTAGTGGCTTTAATTGTGTGTTAAATCTTTTTTGCCTTGTTGTTGGTACCATGATGTACCAACAGGAGGCGACTGCCTTGCTGAACTTAAGCAGGTCTGGGTCTGGTCAGTGCCTGGGAATGCCTTGGGTTCCCTGATGGAAGAAAGGCCAGATATAAATGTAACTAAATAAGTATATTTTAAGGCACCTTGAAGACAAATAATGGAAAATCAGTGTATATTGGTTTTTAGAACAAACAGTGGATCTGTGAAGCATCCCATATCAGCCGAAAAATAAGCCAATGGGCACCCATATTGCCCCAGGGCACCCCAGAATCTGTGTTAACGAAAAGCTGAATTCTTTGACTTGCACGACTTATAGAAATTGAGTATATTTGCCAATTTTTCAGAATCCATGTGTCTAGAAGAGGGGGGAAATGCGATTGTCCTTAAAGGGCTGCTATCAAAATTGCAGGCTTCTGTGTTTCCTTCAGTCTTGATTCTTTCCATCTACAGTGTGTTTGGGGGCGGGTGTGTGTGTGTGTGTGTGTGTGTTTGTGTGTGTGTGTGTGTGAGAGAGAGAGAGAGAGAGAGAGAGAGAGAGAGAGAGAGAGACGAAAAAAGATCCTTGTTTCAAAGCAAGCCCTAGAAGGACATAGATTAAATTCCTTTCCACTTTGGGAGCTGTTCATTCTATCTAAGGATCGTTCTGGAGAGATGGAGTCTGGTGTGGGGGGGCCTTCCGGAGTCCTACGGCTGTCTATTTTTCACCCCCAAAACACCGATAAGATCCCTCTGGCATGGCAGGCTGGGGCTTTGCATCTGGGAGACAACGAAGTGGGTGTGCGGTGGTAGCTCAGATAAGATTGACAGAGCTGCTCTGGGAAAGGGAACAGGAGATCTGCTGGCTTTTACTATCCCAAAGATAACATCGCAGGGGAGTAAGGAAGAGGAATGTGCTGCCCTCCGGCAGAGATAGCAGGGCTGCTGGTGGGGAGCAGATAAGATAACCTCCTCCTTCTTTGCTTTGTCTTACAGAGTTATTTGTTAACCCCGCAGGGCGTCTCTGCGAGAGTGCTTGTTCTGAAAACAATGTAAGAATGTGTGTGTACACACAAACAAAGAGGCCTGTGGCTGCTTTTAGCTACAGGTGAAGAGGAAGCTCAGGTGAAGTCAAAGGCATCACACCCTCCTGCTCCTAGCAGAATATTTGGGGCTGGTTTTTACCCACCCCCACCCCGGCTCATCTGCATTTTATTGCAGTTAAACATGTAAGCCACCCTCTAGACATGTTGGTCCAAAGGGCAGAGTGATAAATCTTGCGATTTCTAACCTTTTTGGTTCAGACTTTAAAATCAAAGTAATGTGAATAACATTGTGTTTTAATTGTTGTAACCCGCCCTGGGGAGCTTAGCGTGGAGGGCAAGTAATTAATAATAATTATAATAGGTTTAAGCAATGCCCCCCAATATCTTCCACCCCAAATCACCAGCTATCAGGCTTTTGTTACACATGCATTTATGTGTCATGTAGGTACATCCTCATAATTACAATGCCTTGGACTAGTTTTGTACCAAATTTCTGAGTGGTGCAAAACTAGCTTTATCATTGGTAGGGGGCATTCAATGTGCCCCTGTTTCAGGGAAAGATGTACAAATGCCCAGTGCTTTGTTTTTGGGTGGGTTTTGGTTTTTTTTTTGTAATAATGTGAGTGTCTTGGAAAACAGACGTACCTAATTTCAAGGCTCCAATAACTATGACATAGTTATTTGTGGCTGTGACACTCTCCCCTTTCTCCAAGGGAAGCCGCTTGCCTGAGCCAGAGCAGAGCATATGCAGAGCCAATCCTGCTTATCTTTGGCTGGAGAAGTGCTTCATGTGCCCTCAGAGCATTCTCCCTGGGATATGTTTTTGCCAACTGGCTGTGAGACCATCGTGCGATGGCACGCAAGGGGGAAAGAGCCCTTCGGACGGGGATCTTTCCCAGGATAGGCAGTGTTGTAGCTGTAGCCTCTGCTTGTTGGGTTTGAGAAGGGCCTGTGGGGGACCACCTGGGCAGTGTTTGAATGGATGGGTTGGTTGCTGGGCATCAAGAGCACATAGTTAAACTACGGTACTCCCTCACACAGGAGGGCGTGATGGCCACCAACTGTAGTGGCTTTAAAAGAGGGTTGACAAATTCATGGAGGAGACGGCTGTCATTGGCTACTAGCTATGATGGCTATGCTCTGTCTCCACAACTGGAAGCAGCTTTTGAGTACTAGTTGCTAGAAACTGCAGGAAGGAATTGTGCATTTGTGTTCAGGTCCTGCTTGCTGGTTTCCTGCAGGCCTCTGGGTCACCAGTGTGAGACCAGGATGCTCAACTAGATGGGCCTCTGGCCTAATCCAGCAGCCTCTTTTTGTGTTCTTATGTTAAGAGCTGATAGAACAGTTGCGGGCAAAATATATATTTAATTTACACAAACTACAGTGGTACTTCTGGTTGCGAACAGGATCCGTTCCGAAGCCCCGTTCGCAACATGAGCAGAACGCAACCCGCGTCTGTGCATGTGCAGGTTACGATTCGCCGCTTCTGCGCATGCGTGTGACGTCATTTTGAGCGTCTGAAACCCGGAAGTAACCCTTTCCAGGTCGCCGCAGGACGCAACCTGAAAAGACGTAACCTGAACCGAACGTAACAAGAGGTATGAGTGTAACATTGTTAGCCTAGCGGCACCACTGCTCTGAACCATGGTCCCAGTTGAAATCAGGCGGGCACCTACAATTGTGATATTTCCTTGACTGCTGAAAACATTTTGCCAAGCATTTTCAAAGAATTAATTTGATTCACTGTTGGTCCTTTTGTTCTGTCTATTGTGGTTTTATAATTTTATGATGCTCTCATGATTTTATTATACACCACCCATGAAATTGTTTTGTTGTTTTTGTGTTTGTTGTTTATAAACCTGTCCATTTGCAGAGGTATATTGTACTGGATGTTGTCCCGGAGCATCAACTTTCCTGGTGCTCCGGCCTCATCTAGGCACCTTTCTTGGAACAAGAGAGATGCTGCCTCAACTTCTGGGTACCTTTTTTAATCACGTGGGTTATGGCCACAAACGTAAGTGATGGTTGTTGAGATTAATGCTTGCGCTCTTGACTCCTCTTGGCTGGTAAACACTAGCAGGGAGGGAACAACTGGCTGAGCCAGAGGGGTGGTTCCTCAGGGTTCTTTTTTTATCCCCCATGCTGTTTAACATCTACAAGAAACCACTGAGTGGGGTCACCCAGAGTTTTGGGGTTTGTTTTCTTGCCTCAGTAATGGACTGGATAAGAGCCAATAAACTGAATCTCAATCCAGATAAGACTGAGACACTGTTAGTGAGTGGTTCCCTAGACCGGATGGCTGGGAGGTTGCCTGCTTTTGATGGGGCTACACTTCCTCTGAAGGAGCGGATACAGAGCTTGGGGAAACTCCTGGATTCTTTGCTGTCACTTGAGGCTTAAGTGGTCTTAGTGGTGCTGAGTGCCTTCCATCAGCTTCAGCTGGTGGCCCACCTGAATGGACATATTTATGGAGGATGGGGCCATCAGTAGCTACTAGTGATGATGACCTCAAGGATCAAAGACTGCTGCGCAGGGTGTGTTTGTGTGGTGTGCAGGTAAACAGCAGGAGGGATTACACAGAGAACTGGTTGGACGCTAGTAGCAGGATGCTAGGCCAGGAGGACATTTTGGAGGTGGTTTCCAAATGCATGAAAATGAGGGTCCACGGAAAAGAGATTGCAGCCACTGTGCTCCTCCCCCAGCCCTGCTGCTGCTAAGAGCTAAGCTATGGTTTGGTGTAGTGTGTCACTTGAACCCAGGCTCATGGTTTGTTTCCTCCAGACAAACACCATGAGGTGTAAACTCAAGAACAAACCTTGGTTACAGCTCAACATTTTTGACTGTAGGCAGACAAACCACGAGCCGAGTTCAGAGGGCATGCTAAGCCAAACCATGGGTTTAGCTCACCTTAGTGCAGCGGAAGCACTAAGGGGCAGGAGCAAAGCAGCTGCAGTCGCCTCCTCAAGAACTTTCATGCTCAGCACATTCATGCTAAACCATTAGGGCTAGTCTACCCATGAGGTGTGGTGAGGTGGTTGTCTATTGGCAAACGTCTCGGGCTGCCCCTGTAAACCATAGCTTGGTTTACTATTACATGACTGCCAGCCATGTGTCTGATCCGACAGGGCTTATGTCTTACATGCGCTTGTATGTGACCTGAGTTTCTAATTTATATATAAGCAAAGCAGCCTAAGAATCGGGGAGCAGGTAGTTTTAGCTAACATGGAGCACAATAGTGTGAAGTTAATATAAAGTCCTGAAATAAAAAAGAAAATGGTATTCCAGATTATTTATTTAATAGACCATTGTTATGCCTGTTCAGCATATGATAACACATGGAAGTGGGAGCACAATGGTTCCTTCGGCTGGAGAAGCAGAGCATATAATATATAGATATAGATTATATAAATAAATCTTGGTCTAGCCTGAGGAGAAGGTGACCCTTAGAAGGTACACCTGACACTTTGTATAACCCCTGTTCCTTTCAAGAGACCTTCCTGATTAATTTTGCACTGTTCCCGACATAGCATCAGATTACAGAACTGTACAAAAAACATGTTCCAAAGCTGGATTTTTGCACCAGACCAACCCCTTGCGGGGGATGTAGTTTTAAGGGAGACCCGAGAATCCCAGCCATGACCCTGAGGTCAACCTAGGACAGACATCTCTGGATGCAGGCTTAGAGGGAGGCCTGATATTTGTGTGTGTGTGTATTGTGTCTGTGTATTTTGTCCTGGAGTCTGCAGGCAAAGAGAGGAGTGTTTGGCTTTGGAGTGAATCTGTTAGTTTTTGTACAATTATCGCCGCATGAATTATTTAACTTGGAGACTCTGCAACTCATTGTACAAAAAGAGGCTCCAGCTGGGCTGACGCCTTTGGTGTGTTGATGGAGGCGGCATAGAAAATCACACAAGGGGGCGGAGAGGTGATTGTTTTCAGGCAGGGTGTGTGGAATTGCTCTCTGACTCCTAAAGAGACTGTGGTTCAGAGAAGATCAGAGCAGCGTGGGGAGGGTGAAGCAGCGGGATGGAGGGAGCCTGAGTTTGTTCTCAGAATGCATCAATTCAAGGTCATCTGCTGGAACTGTGAGGCAGCGGGTTTCTCCAAGGGAGCCCTTGGCTGGAGTCTCTGGGATTTGCGAGGGGAAGCTTTGTGCTTCTGAGGCTGGGATTTGATCTAGTGATCTACTTGGGAGAGACTTGAGTTCTTATAGATTCATAGAATTGTGGAGTTGTGAGGGACCTCAAGAGCCATCTAGTCCAACCTTCTTCAGTGTTTTCAGTCTTCTGCCAGCCAGCCAGCTGTGCCCTTTTCCAAGATGCTCCATTACATTATCCCCCCACCGACCCAGCTTTCAGTTCCCCACCCCTAGCTGGCACTCAGCGATCTGTTTCCTCTGAGCATACTGTATCTTCACTGGCCTGTTTTATGGCCTCTTTAGGTTTGTTTCCTGAAGGGTTATTTTAAATTTTATTTAATGCATGCAAATCTTGGGACATCCCCAGAACATGTTGATACCTCCCTCTTGGTTCTCAGTGGCCCTATTTTGGCTACAGTTCTGTCTGCACTCAGCCCTGAAGTTTGCTATTAAAAGGCAAACATCATCCCCTGTGATTGGCAGGTAGTTTCAGCCCTCTGGATTGGCTGTGCTTGGTCGAACTACTGGGAGTCTGCCTTTCTACCTCTTTCTAGTTGCTGCACTTGATATTCATGTTCAAGCCTTTGTCTCGGGGCTTTCATTCTCATGCAGCACCCTGCCATTACTCCAGAACCACAGGAGGGCCCACCAGCGCGGGCAGATGCCTTGGGGTTCTCCAAAGCAGGCACATCACTTTGTTAGCCCCTGCCTTTTTAATTCCCTACAATGCCCCCAAAGCAGGAGTCTATGGGGCCGCCTCCTCTAGTAACTCCTGCAGAGTTGCCTGTGAAAGATCACAGCAAACATCCCCTCCAAAATCCAGATGCTCAAGCAAGGGTTTGCTTTTTCTGCTCAGTTTCTGTTTGCTTGGAGAGTTCAAAGGGCTTCCCGTATCCTGTGTCTGTGAATCCCAACAACCCTGTAAGACAGTTTAGTCTTATTAGTATCCTGCTTCTGACTGACGAAGGGGGGGTATCTTGCCTGTGGCCCCGTAGGAGTGATTTCAGGACAAACATGAGATATAAACGGAAAAGAAGAAGATCCTGGCTGTTGGCTCAGGCTGAAGTCCCAGCCGCTCCAGCATCTTGTTCTCACAGTGGCCCAACATGGTTGGTGTTTAAAGTCCTAAAGGACTCAGGCCCCAAATAACTGAAAGACCACCTCCTTCCCTACAGGCCCTCTGAGGGGCTGAGATTGGCAGATGGGGTGCTCTTGGTAGTTCCTCTGCCCTGGGAGGCTTGGAGGGGGGCAGTGGTCCAGGGGAGAGGGCCTTCTCTGTGGTGGTCCCTAAAATGGAAGAACTCCCCACAGAGGTGCATCTGGTGCCTTCATTGTACAGCTTCCAGAGAATGCTGAAGATGCGCCTCTTTACAGATGCACCTTTTGACACTTGAGGTGTATGTTTTTAGGACCCACCTTGTTTTTATGGTAGTTTAGATTAGTAAGTTGTTTAGATTGGTTTTTAATGCTGTAACCTGCCCTGGGATCTGAGGTTGATGGGCCGAGGGTAATAAATGAATAAATAATAACAATCTCAACAACTCCCACTGGGAAGCCCACAAGCAGGACCTGAGCGCAACAATGCTCTTCTTGTGATTCCCAGTAACAGGACATACTGCCTCCGACAGGGAACGTAGCACACATCCATCACAACTCTGTCCAGTCACTGATATAGTCTTATGCTCTCTGAAATTGTCTAATCCCTCTTTACAGCTGTCAAAGTTGCCCGTAGCAGATTCCATTGTGTGTGTGTGTTTGTGTATGTGCGTGTGACAAAGGCCTTCCTTTTCTCTGTCCTGAATCTTCCAGCTAGGGATGTTCTGACTGAATAAGGCTCCTCACGCCACCCCCACAGCGCCTCCAACGCCCGGACGACTTTTCGTTTCTGGGCCTGGTGATTTGGCTCTCTGCAGGCATTCCATCTGGCAAGGCAAATCCCTTTTTTTTTTCTTTAGAGGGCGAGTTTCCAACCACAAGTGTCCTTAGTTTCCCGAACGCTGTGTGGGGCCCTGGCTGCTCACTACTAGACACTGCTGTTTTGGACGGCTGCCGGTGGCTCTTGCAAGAGATGCCTTTCCAGCGTTCCTCCTCTCTGGAGCCGAACAATGAAATCTGGAGCTCTGACCTCATTGCTTTCCTGCTCACTTTTGGATCAGTGCAAGTTGGTTTGGGGGAGGCCAGTGTCAGAAAATGCCTCTTTTTGAGGCATTGCCCTGTGATAATTTGTAGGATGTCGTGCTATGAATATTTTATTTTATTTTATTTTATCAATTGATTGCATTTATATCCCAAAGGGCTTAAGGTGGCATACATGGTTTCCCCCCCCCTCCTCATTTAATCCCACAACAACCCTGTGAGGTAGGTTAGGCTGTGAGACAGTACGGTAACTGGTCCCAAGATCACACCCACTTAGTGGCCAAGTGGGGATTTGAACCCATGTCTCTCCCAGGTCCTAGTCTGACACTTTAACCACTACACCACACTGGCTCTCTAATGAGTAAAGTTTCCCCACATGATCCAAGTGATCTTACAGGTATACTGTACAGTGACAGGCAGTCTTTCAGGTAACCTGGTGGCCATTATGGTGGATCAGTGAATTGGTGAAGGGCTGATTCTGACAAGCGCTTGCACTCCACTTTCTCTGCATATGGTTCTGCTAAGCGTGATTTAATGAGTCTAGGATCCAGCTCACGAGACCACCCAGACAAACGCTGGAAGGAGAAAACACATTATGACATTAACATTGCTGTGTGCATACTTGCAGAAACCAGGCAGGAAAAGTCACTGCACAAATATGAACCATTTCACGGGAGCCTGGGGGATTCCAGTCAGTGGGGATTGACTGGAAAGAGAGCTGGAGTAGCCTTTGCACTGGCAGGGCTGATGGGAGTTGTAGTCTGAAAAATCTGGAATGGCACTGGTTTAGGGAAAAACTGGCTGAGAGTGATGGAAGAGCATCCCTTTCCGCTTGACAAGAGCCCCCCACATTTTATCTATCTCCCTGGGTCCCACCCCATAGCTACCCAAATTGATTGCCACTTTTAAAAGAGAACAACCTGGATGCTGGGAAAAATTAAGTTCTAGGCACCAGCCACAACTAACATAGGAGTCATCTTGGTTTCAGATTTCTTTAGAGTTCAGCCCGGACAGAGCTGAGGAAATCTTTCGCTCTTAGGTTCCAGCATAAGATCTTAAGAAGTTCTGCCACAGAGTCCTAAAAGTCCGCTGTGGTTTTCATCTGATTTCTCAGAGCTTTTGGTTATGGCTAAAGCTGTGGTTTGCTGGCATGCAGGGCTCAGGATGCTTTCAGAGAAGTGGGCATTGGGACCTTCTTGCTCCTCTCTGCCATCTCTTCCCTTTTCGCCTTGCCTGTACCTCCACGATCACGCTGTCCCTGCTCCGCATTTCTCACACCCTGCCATCTCTGTGCTGCTACTGCACCTTTGGTGTAGACACCCAGCTGCTTCTCTGTAGTACCTGCTGGGTTCCAGCTCCTATGCACACGGTTGGAATTAAGGAGCAGGATGTTGCTCTGCACCAGAGAGCCACACCCACACCTGCACAATTAGGGTTTGGGGTGTTCTTGCAGGAACTGATGGAAGTGGTCTCTTGACCTATGATTTGGGTCCAAACATATTTTGAGCTGGCAAACTATCTATCTATCATCTATCTATCTATCAATCAATCTATCTATCTATCTATCTATCTATCTATCATCTATTGCATTTATAGCCCACCTTTCTTGCCAAGGAGCTCAAGGTGGTGTACATGGTTCTCCCCCTCCTATTCAATCCCCACAACACCCTTGTGAGGAAGGTGAGGCTGAGAGGCAGCGACTGGCCCAGGGTCACCCAGGGAGCTCCATGGCCAAGTGGGGATTTAATCCCTGGTTTCCCAGATCCTAATCTGTCTAACCTCTACACCACACTGATTCTCATTATAAGTCAGGCTGTATTTGCACCTTTTGAGTTTTGAACGAGGGGCAGCAAATAAGGAGCTAGGAGCCTACATCAACCTTGTCTGGTTGCAGGGCTATAACGAAATTCTTCCCTTCCATTTCTCCACCCCACTCCATTGGCAGAGAATTTTGCTAACAAATCAGAGCCAAGAGCAAACTCCCATCCTCCCCTCTGCTAATGTTCTGGGTGCTCTTGTCAAATAGGTGTGCAATCTTGCTGTGTGACTGTCAGGGACACCTGCGGTGCCTGCAACTTCACTCTTGACACCAGACAAACTCCCTCTAATGCTTCTCCTCCTCTTCTTTTGTTAAATTAATCTGTCCTGTTTGTTTTCTTTCTATAAAGAGTTATTGCCCGTTTATAAGGAGCCCCTCATTTGGTTGCCAGTGGCTAGTGAGAATCACCTTCAGGGAAGTGTGGAAATGCTTTAATTTCCTTTTCTTCTTCTAAGAAGTGGTTTAACAACCAATCCCTCTTAAAAAGAACTTTGGGAATTGTAGCCCTGGGAGGGGGAGGGGAATCTCCTCACAACTCTCAGCATCCTTAATAAATCACCTCTCCCAAAATTCTTTGGGGGAAGCCATGACTGTATTGTAGCGCTTTAAATGTCTGGTGTGGTTGTGGTCTAAGACAGGGAAGACCTGAGTTCAGTACCTCACACTGGGATGAAACGGACCTTGAGCCAGTTACTCTCTCCTAACCTCAAGGCTGTACCAACCATTACACAGAGTGAGGCAGACACCTCAGGGGACACTGTATGGTGCAGTGATTAGAGTGCCTGGCTGACATTGGAGACCCGGGTTCAAATACCTTTGAGCCCCTTGGAGAAAAAGAGAGGATATAAAAGCAACGAATAAATAATGGTGGGAGGCAAAGCAGCAGTGACTTTCCCCATACATATGGACCACAGCCATGCCCTCAGTTGGAGGTCAAAGCTGTGCCTACCTCACCTCACACCCCCTAAGCTAGCTGGCTACTCTCGGATCATGTCCTGTCACCACAAGTTTGAAGTAAGTTTGAAGTTTCTGTATTCGAAATGCATCTGGATACCATTTTATCTTTTGCCTCAGGCATCAAAATATCCTGGGTGGACCAGCCCAGTCTAATGTACCTTGTAAGGTTGTTCTGGGGGATAAAATGGGGTAGATGGGGGCGAGGGAGAGCTGTGTATGCCAGCCTTGGAGGAGGTGTGGCATATAGGTGTGATAAATAAGGCCGCCACCATCCACACTGGCATATCTGCTCTAGACTGGTTTGGGTTTCCACTCCTAACTTCCACTTCAGACTAGGCTTTCTCTAGGAGAGATCTGAATGACTCCTTTCATGGAGAAGCTTGACCACTAATCACTCTCCATTTTTAGCAGGGATTTTAGGCTGTGTGGGTCTCTGGGCATTTCCTATATCTGTGGCTATGTGTGGCGATCAATTTTTATCACAAGACGACTGTGCTAGCTGGACCCCCTCTTTGTAAACTGGCCTTCTGCAGCCTAGTGCCTTTCCCTACGTTTTGGACTACAGTTCCCACCAGGTTGCAGGGAGGCCTTTTTAAATAAGAGGAGGGTGTTTGTTTGTTGTGTGTGCAAGAGAACATATTGCTGTGTTCGTTTTTTAAACTAAGATAGGGAATCAGGCAGGTTTTACCACCGAACAATTTTCTTCCCATTCTTTGTATGGAGGGAGGAGTGGATAAGTCAATTCATGGAATCATCAAGTTGGAAGGGACCCCCAAAGGTAATCCAGTCCAACCCCCTGTAATGCAGGAATCACTGACAGATGGTCATCCAACCTCTGTTTAAAAACCTCCAAGGAAGGACAGTCTGCCACTTTCCAAGGTCATCTGTTCCACTGTTGACAGCTCTTCCCATCAGAAACTCCATCCTAAGGTTTACATTTACTCCCCAAGAGGGATCCTTTTAACAAGTGCATTTTTTACTCCTCTTCAGCTTTTAAGCAGACAGTGGAAGGGGGTGTAGAGGCAGGGGGACGAGGCTGCCAGGGAGCAGGACTGGACTATTTTATTTTATTTTTACTTGTTGCTGAGTTTGCCCTCATCTATTCCACATTAGGGACCTGGGTCCTCCGAGATGGAAAAGAATGCTGTCAACAAGGGTGGAGAGGGAATAGGGTGGCGCTGGCATGGAAACCACCATCCCTGCCCTCGCAACAGGAACCCCCATGTGGCTTGCAGGAGGGCCTGACACTACTGTGTTCCCTCTTAATGGCCTGAGATGGCTAAGAATATTTGGGTACTTCCAGATTGGGCTTGGACTTGCAAAGGAGACTGAGATGTTGCAAGCGGGCAATTTTGCAACAGGTGTTTGTTTGTTTCCCCCCAGAAAGGATTTGTCTGGATTAAGCAGGTGGGGGATACAGGCTGGCATTTTGATGCCAACAATGTTGTCTGGACGTTGCAAAACACTTCCATGCATTAAGAGCTCCCTTCCCACAAGAAGCACGCTTTATGGTTATGACTGCCTAGAACTGGAAGAGCAGAGTGGTGTTCTTGTCCCTTTTGTTCCATCCTCCCTCTAAGCCTAAACCCTTTGAAACAGACCTAGCCTGGTGAGCTGCAGGGGCGTGAGGGTGAGGGGTTAGGGTTAGGCAATAAGTTCTTCCCATATGGAAGGAGTGGTACTGCCTTGTTGTTATTATTATTTGGTTGGTTTTGTTAGTTATAACAATATATTTTAAAAAATGGAGAGTAAATATAAGGAAAGGAAATGATATATGGATCAACATAGCAAAATAAAACAAGCAAAAAACAAAAAACCCCTCCATAGTACAATGAATAAATTAAAGAGAAAATATTGTCATTTACATTGTTATTCCAGAAATGTAAAAACAAGGCCCACCTCCCAGTACGTTTGTTTTCCTCATTGCTAAGTGTTGCATTGCTCTCATTTGTCAGTTTTATCATTAAGACAATTAAATGTATTTTAACAGTGTGCCTGAACATAGCCAGGTGAATTTTGCCTGTTTTCTTGTTTGTTTGCAGGGGAGGGGAGTATTGGTTTCTCAGGGGGTGGCATGCTGCCTGTTTTTTTTTGGGGGGGGAAGGTTGTCTAAACTGTTTTGCCTTTTTGTGGATAGTTTTACTCAATTCCATGAGCAAGCTTTTGTCTTTGTGACTTGGGAGGCCCCCACAGCTGCCATTTTGTGCTGGTGCCCAGGGCGGTTTCTGCTTTTGCCAAATGTGCACCCCAGAAACAATGGGGAACCCATGGTATATTCTGTTACATGCCCTTGTCATGCTAAAGTCTGAGAGTTCCTGCCGTTTGCTTGAAGTGATGCTAGAGGAATTGCCAGATGATTTTGCAAACATCCTCTCTGTTTCTTTCCCCTTCCATCTTGGTATATTTTTATCAGGCTGTTGCAGTGGAACGGTGCAGGACCAATAGTCCATTGATGCAGTTGAAACACCTGCAGGGTTTGTTTCCTCTTCTCTTTGAACTGTTTCCATCCTGCTAAATGAACTTGTAACTCAGAACTGGTGCCTGAGCTTGCACATTTCCTCCTCCCTCCTAGTCCATTTTCCTTCTGTGATGTGTCTCTTTGGAATATAAGCCTTAGTACAGGAACCTTCTTGTTTTATTGAGCTGTAAGTCACTGTAGAAGTGGCTAAAGAGTGGGGTAAAAGTTCTTTAAATAATTAGTAGGATAAGGTGGCCTGCTTTTCCCTTCCATTTGCAATAAGGAGGTGTGATTTCAAGGGTTCCCAGAGGGTGGAATGAAGCGGTTGTGCAAACTGGGTGGGGATTCTGTGCAGCCACTGCGGAGATGGTTGTTATCCGTAGAATAAACCTTGTTGTTTCGCATTTATGCTGTCTTCTGCTCGCAAATGGCAATATTTCAGGAGTGGTTTGCCTAAGGCCACTCAGTGACTGCTTCATGGCTGAGATGAGATTGGCAAGAAGGCCCTTGCAGATCCTTGAAAAGGTCAGCAGGCCTAGAGAGGAGGCGGAGGCATCTCAGCTCCTTCTGGTGGAGCCCTAAGGTCCTTGCTGCTTCCTGGTGTAAATTTGCATTCTTAAAAAACAAACCCAAATCAGCCAGGGAGCTACCTGCATGTTGCTGAATTACAGTTCTTAGTCACTGGCCCTGCTGTCCAGGGCTGATGGGAGTTCAGAGTCCAACAGCATCTAGAAGGCTCCAGGTTAACCACCGCTGCCTTGTAGGTTCACTGTTAGGACAAACAAGAAACAGCAGTGCGGCTTGCTCTGAGCTGGGGGTGGGTGGGCTCAGGCCAGGAAATAAATCCAGCATCAAGCACAATCCGCACAGATCTGCCCACACATCCTTGGCGTCCAGGACTGTGTCTGTACTGGAGCCAGCAATAAAATTCCAGCACCCAGCGCGACATCCTGGGGCTTAGCGATTCAGGGTGGTCATTGTGGTCTCTCTGTGTGTTTGTGTGTGACCTCAGAGCCCCACCTTTCTGAGTGGCCAGCAATGTTTCCGTTGCTTATCAGACGGGAATCCTAACATGTCTGTGCGATGTGCCTGTCCATGAAATGGGAAGGCTGACTCAGCAAGCCGGCGAGTCCTGTGCATTTCCTGCCTAAGGCTTAGCTGCCGACTCAGCTGTAGGTTGAGCGGTTCGGAAACAAAGAGCAGCAACAAAGTGCAAAGCTTTTGCTGGAGTTTGCTGGTCAGAGGAGAAGGTGTGTGGTGGAATTGGAGGCGTAAAAAAGCCCTGCAGGATAAGACGAAAGGCCCATTTAGCCCAGTATTCTTTCTCACAGTGCCTGACCAGATGCCCATTAGGGGAAACCTGCAAGTAGGATTCGAGCACATGGGCATCCTGGGATTTAGTTGATGGGCCTGGTAAAAGTAGTGGGAGTTTCAACTTTCAATTGTAAAGCCTTCTAATGCCCTGCTTATAAAGGTAAAGGTAAAGGGACCCCTGACCATTAAGTCCAGTCGTGACTGACTCTGGGGTTGTGGCGCTCATCTTGCTTTATTGGCCGAGGGAGCCGGCGTACAGCTTCCGGGTCATGTGGCCAGCATGACTAAGCTGCTTCTGGTGAACCAGAGCAGCGCACAGAAATGCCGTTTACCTTCCCGCCGGAGCGGTACCTATTTATCTACTTGCATTTTGACATGCTTTCGAACTGCTAGGTTGGCAGGAGCAGGGACCAAGCAACGGGAGCTCACCACGTCGCGGGGATTCGAACCGCCGACCTTCTGATTGGCAAGCCCTAGGCTCCGTGGTTTAACCCACAGCGCCACCCGCGTCCCTGCTTATAACCTGCTTCAAATTGGGTCTAGCCCATACCAGGGATGGGGAACTTGTGGCCCCCCAGGTGTTGCTAGACTCTAACACCCACCCATTAGCCTGGACCAGCAAGACCAATGGTAAGGAAGGATGGGAGTTGTAGTCCAACAGCATCTGGAATTCTGGATTTTTAAAAATGGTATAATTTGGGGCAGGGGAGGGGGGCCACTTCACCCCAACTGACAGCTCAGGCGGGTGAGAACTGAGCAGCGTCTGTGCTTCAGATTGCCGTTGGCAACCTGGCCATGAGAGACCTGGGTCCCAGGAGAGTAGAAAGCAGCAGTGGAGCAAGCAAAATAGGTTTGCCCTAAGAAGCAGCTGTCTTGTGTGAATGTGGCTACAGAAGACAGCAGCATTCTGCTGGAACCTGGCTTCCCAATTCACATTCAAAGGCCCGTCTGGTCAGGCAGAATTAAAAACTCAAAACAGGTAGAAGAATCCCTTTTAATTGCACCTTTTGAAATTATAGACTTCTCTCTCTCTCTCTCTCTCTCTCTCTCTCTCTCTCTCTCTCTCTAAAAGAAAATGCATTCTTGCCTGATTCCCAAGCTCAGTGCAAGCATCTCCTTTGTGAATTTAGGATCAAAGTATCTCGTGGGTTAAAAGCTGGACCGTTCCAATTTTTTTTCCTCAATTGACTGCACAAGCCACCTTGGATTCTCCTGAATGGTTTAGCCGAGGTGGGGGGGGGAGAGGACAGGAAAGAGGGAGGGGGAAAGCGGAGCAAGAGAAAGATGTCACAATCTCTAATCTATCTGTCATTTTTATTTTTCAGCAGCCGGAGAGGAGCTCCCGACTAGAACAATGCTGGAGAGGAAGGGAGGGGAGAGGGCCGGAGTGGCAGCCAAAGTCTGAAAACAGGTGAACAGCAGTGGCAGCAGCAGCAGCAGCAGCAGCGGAGGAAGAGTGGAGGGGAAGGAAGAGATTTGTCACCGCTGCTGCGGGGGAGGCGAGCCAGCCCCACCGGGAAGAGCCTCCTCCTCCTCCTCTCGGCTGCGCGGAGGTGGATCCTGGCTGGGCAGCAGCTGAGCCATGGCTACGAATTTCAACGACATTGTCAAACAGGGATACGTGAAAATGAAGAGCAGGAAATTGGGGGTAAGTGCCGGCAGATGCCGCCTTGTTGTTTCCGAGTGGGCTCTGGCTGGCGTCCTTTGTAGGCATGCGGGCAGGTGCAAATTGCGCAAAAAACCCCCGGTGCTTTTGTGTGGAAGAATTCTGGCTAGAGCAGCATAGCTTTCTCTCTCTCTGCCTCTCCTCTAGGCATCCCTCCTGCATGGACCTCCCTCCCCACAGGCTCTGCCTGAGTCCTGGCAACAGAGGTGCCAGTTGCTGGTCATTTCTGGCGTTGCCTTGGTGGACGTGGCATCCCCAGAGTTGATGGATTGGGTGGGTTTTGCAAGGGCTTGGGTGGGTGGTGGTCCGCATTTTGTGCTATGGGGATTTCCTTTCCAGCTTGACAGCTGGTTGCAGATCTTGAAGCCGATAAAAGAAACAGCAACTCTTTGCCTTTGTGTGCCTGTGAATATAGTACGGATTGACTCTGCCTGGCTACAGTGGACAGGTTGTGTTCTCCTGTTTCAGATGCTTCTGTGGCACTCCCTTCCCCAGAGACTCCTCTGAGCCTGGGGCTGAGCAGCTTATGCAAGTGCAGTTAGAATTCTTTTTCTTTCAGCTGGGTTTTAGTCGCTGGGCAAAATCAGCACAATCAAAAATCAGCACAATCAGCAGCAGGGCTTCATTATTTATTTTTTGCTTTGATTGTTTTTGGTGTTTGTTGGCTTTTTTAAAAAAGCTTTGTGATTTTAGCTGACAATTTCACACACATTTTTAACCATTTCGCTCCTGCCTTTGGAAAGAGGAGGGCTAGGATTCAGCAGGGGTGGGGTGGGGGTGGGGAGAGGGAAATGGAAAGAGGCACTGAGGTTTTCCTCGTTCCATCTGGACTGCTTAGCTGCAGAGTCATGTTGTGGATACTTTCTCTGTGAGCACCTCTGGCCCATATGAGGAGGACCAACTCGGACACTGGGTCTGGCTCTTCCTTTGAGCACAGCCACCGCCAGCAAGATTTCTCTCCCCTTCTCTCAAAGGTTCTTGCTGCAGACCTAGACTTGCTCCAGGCACAGTTGCATCTATGGATCTTGGCTTCTAGGGTGTGTCTTTCCTGGGCCTCTGAGATATCCCTGCTCGCAACAGGGGCATCTTGAACACAGAACAAGCATTGATCGCCCCTTTCTCTTTTCCAGCCGTCTTCTATTGGCAGGGTGACTAAACTCCACGCTAGAGATTTCTGGATTGCACATAAAAGAAATCCACATTTCCTCCTCAGAATAAATATTTTCTGAAGGGTCATTGAACTGATCCTCTGTATGCAACATGAAGGGATTTCTTTACTTGGATTTTGAAATATGGTTACGAGAAGGATTCTTTTGAAGCACCTTTCTCCAGCCTTGGGTCCCCAGATGTTGTGTGCATCCTCTCATCCCTGACCGCTGGCATGATGGGAGTTGGTACCCAACAACATCTGTAGAGACCAAGGCTGGGGAGAAGACTGCAAGGATGCAGAAAGCCTGGGAGTGGATTTCCAAAGGACAGAAGTTGTCGGACAGGAGGCACCTGGGTTTGGTGGCCTTGGGCAAGCCTCTCTGTTTTAAGTTTTCCATCTCTCATTTCGGCAGCCTACAACTGAAGGTTATTGTGAGGGTTAATAGTAGTTGTTGCCTGCTGTGAGCCTTGGAGGATAATGATCCACTTATGGGTGTGTTTCTGTTTAATGACAGGATTGCTGTGTAGGCCTCCACTGGGTGTCCTGGCCAGTCCCAGCTATTGCATCACAATCTCTCCCAGGAAGCATCTTGGGGCTGAACCTGTGAAACTTTGATGTGCATGTACATGTATGTGTGTAAATGTTTTGCTTCCACAAAGCTTTTAAAACAAGTGGGGTAGGCATGTACCTTCAGATGTTGTAGAATTTGCATCATCGCTGACTGTTGTCCATGCTCACCATGAGAGCCAGTGTGGCGTAGTGGTGCTGGACTATGACCTAGGAGACCGGGGTTCAAATTCTCACTCACCCATGAAGCTCACCAGCTGTGATCATGGGCCGGTCATGATCTCTTAGCCTAACCTACCTCACAGGACTGTTGTGAGGATACCATGATGGTGGTGGAGAACTGTGTATGCCACCTTGAGCTCCTTAGAGGAACGTTGGGATAGAAATGTAAAAATAAATAAAACATGGCTGATGGGAATTGGGAGTCCCCTAGACCTGCTTCTCCATCCTTGCTTTAAAACATGCTGTTGTCATCTCATTGATACCCTCCTCCTCTTCTTCATTTGCTTTTATTCTGCATGCTGTTGTGGTAAAAGAACCAGGATGGGTGTGTATCCTGAGTCTTATGACTCTGTTGCGTTGGAGTAACTGAATCTTGGAATGGACCGGGTCCCTTAAAATAAAGAGGCACCTTTCAGTAAAGGCAGAAAGACTAGGTTTGAGACTGAGCTGCTGCCTAAGGCTAATTGTTGCAGAAGCAACATGAGAGCCCTGTTCTTTTGTAGCACCCTTGGAGAGCCTTGCCTTGAATAAGGTCAGCACTTGCATCATAAGGACACAAGACAAGCCTGCTGGATCAGGCCCATCTCTTCCAGCATCCTCTTCTCACAGTGGCCAACCAGATGCCTGTGGGAAGCCTGCAGGCCGGACATGAGTACAACGGCACTCTGCCCTCCTGCAATTCCCAGCAACTGGTATTCACAGGCACAGTGCCTCCAACAGCAGAGGTTGAACATAGTCATCATGGCTCATAGCCATTGATAGCCTTCTCCTACATGTATCTGCCCAATGCTCTTTTAAAGCCATCTAAGTTTGTGGCCATCACTGCCTCTCATGGGCGTGAATTCCATGGTTTAGCTCTGCACTGTGTGAAGGACTTTATTTTATGTGCCCTGAATCTTCCAGCATTCAGCTTCATTGGATATCTATCAACGCTAACCTCCCCTGTATTGAGTGGGGAAGGTCTGTTTGGGGCTTTCCTTGAGTTTGCTTGAATGCAAGTAGAACCCTCTATCAGATGGGAGATCCTTGATAAAGCTGGGCTGCCAGTCCCATGGCGAAGTCCGCTTGCATTCAGCCACAGTGAGTAAAAAGTCCTCTGCAGACGTTCCATGTGCAACACATGGAAAAGTCTATGACTGATGGGGGGCTGAGGGTGTGAGGGCTGTGCATGTGTCCCTGCCCCTCTCCACACTTAAAACATTTTCATGCATTGCAGGAGAGCTGTGCTTAGAAATTATTTATTGCCATGTAGGTGCAAAGAGAGCGGGGAAGGTGTCGTGCAAACTGGGCACCAGACTCAAGGAGGCCCACAAAGCCTTCATGTACATGCCCATCTCGGCTTAAGCCCAGCGAGTACCATGTGTGATTCCACACTCAACCCCTTCCCAAATTTAAGATATATTCATAGAATTGTGGAGTTGGAAGGAATCACGAGTGTCATCTAGCCCAGCCTCCTGCAGGGCAGCCTCCTTTTGTCCAACATGGGGCTCACACCCACGACCCTGTTTTAAGAGTCTCATGCTCTACCAACTGAGCTATTCTCTATTGCTGCCTCCTGTGTTCTTACTGGCTTTAAAAGGGGCTTAGAAAAATTTGTGACTACCTGCCATGGTGGCTGTGTTCTAGCTCTGCTGTCAGGGGCAGGATGCTAGGAATAGCAAGTGGGTCCTCAGGGTCTGCTTGTGAGCTTCCCATAGCATCCGGTTGGCCACTGTGATTATGCTGGACCAGATAAGCCTTTGGCCGAATCCACCAGGGCTCTTCTTGTGTTCTCAGATGGTCCTATAACAGCGGGGGTGAAACTATGGCACGCATGCCAGAGGGGGCACTCAGAGCCCTCTCTGTGGGCACATGCGCCATTGCCCCAGCACAGAGCCAGCAGAAGGTGAGGGCGGCACGTTAAGTTCTCAGCTCAACTTGGGCAGCCGGAGAGCCATGTGAGTGGCAGGTCAGCGCAGGAAACTGCACAGCCGGAGCGGGATGTGAGGTTGAGGCTTTACACACCCTCCGGCCGGGGCCAATGGAAGGTGCCAGGCAGGAGAGGATGGCATCGCTGGTTCCAGTGCCAGGTAGCCAGGCAGAGCTGCCTCCGCCCCATCCTCATCGCCCCTCACCAGCACTGGGGCTCCAGACCCCACCAGCCTTGCCGTGCCATGGTCGTCTCCCACTTGCTGAAGTATTTCTTCACTGAACTCAGCCACAGCCAAGTGCAGTGGGACACCCTGTGCTAGCACGTGGGGCAGCCCCCAGGGCCTTTTCAGGGAACAACGGCATGATGGGGAGGGGGGACTCTCTGCATGCGCTCAGAGGGCCACGCCGAGAACGTTTTCTTGCCCAGGCTGGAGCTTAAAAGCAGGGAATTCCCATCGACGCGGAGATCTTGTGAAAATCAAAATGAAATCCTTAAAGTGTGGAATTCCTTGCCAAATAATTTTAAATCAGTGAAAGTGCTTGGGATTGTTTCATTGTATCACTGAAAGCTCTGTTATTTTGTTTTTCTTTTAAGACAAAAGATGTTAATGTATGAGTTGTTTTTTCTAAACCAAAACCTCAGTATTCAGGTTAAATTGCTGAGTTGGCTCTTTGCGAGAAATAAGTGGGTTTTGGGTTGCAGTTTGGACACTCGGTCTCTAAAAGGTTCTCCATCACTGCCCTATAAGGACCTTCTCAGTGGCTGCTCCTAGATTATGGAACACCTTGCCTCGTGTTCTCCTCCACTCCCTCCCAAGTTTTTTGCTGGCCACAAAGGACACTTTTATTCTGGTAGATTTTTGTAGCATGTGGCACATCAGGTTTTTATGTTCAGGTCCTGATACTGCCTCCTTGGCTGCTTTGTTTTATATCGGTGGTAGTGGTGTGTTTGTATGTTTTAATAAAACTGCAACTCAAATGTTGTAAGCTGCCATGAGGAGAGCAGGACAGAAATGTTTTAAGGAAGAAATATAGTAAAATAGCCAGCTCAGTGGAGGGAGGGACGTCTGCTGATGGTTGTATTCAACCTCCAGGTTCAGAAACCTCTTAGTACCGTGAACCAGCAAAAGGAGAAGGATGTTGCCTTCAGACCTTGTGTGGGGGCTTCCTGGAGGTGTCTGGTTGGCCACTCTAGGGGAGACTGGCCCGTTAGAACACCCCACCAACCACAGGTAGCTCCCACCTGCTTGCTGTCTCATTACAGCCAGTTTGAGAGGTGGCAGTGCCTGCCAAGTTCTTCCTTCTCCTCCGTCTCCATGTTAAACCTTGTTGAACTCAGCAGGAAGGTGGCAAAACTGGAATGAGTTGCCTCCAGCACCACCTACTTTTGGCCTCCCTGGCTTCTGCCCTACCAGTCCCACCATTGGACTTAGATGGACCTTTGGGTCTGGTTCCACACGGCTCCTCTTGCCTCCATCTGTTTTCCTGCTTTGGCGAGGCTTTCTGGAGAGCACCTGCTCTGGAAGAGCCTCTGCGGACCAGTGTACTTGTGCTTAGACATCCCTCCTCTCCCCACCCTTGCTTGAAGGATGCCAAGTTGGCCAGGACTCTGTTTGCCTACCAGCTGGAAGTGGCTACGCTAGGCTCACTTGGCATCGGAGCACAGCATTTTCCATCACAGCCCAGCTCCGGTTTGCGCAGCTCCTCTCCGGGGAGCCCGTTGAGAGCGGTGGCACGGCCCAGGGCTCTGTTGCCAAAGCAGCACCCTCCCTCCTCCCTGACTCTTGCATGACTTCTCCGAAAGCCCCGCTCTGCTCCAGCAGCCTCTGTGCCCCCGAGGGCTCTGCTCCAATTTGAGGACATTTAAATTGGAGCTCTGGCTTCAGGCAGAGGACGTGGAAGTTTGTTGACTGCACAGAGAGGGGAGGAGGTTTCTCTGCCTCTACTTTTCACGGTTGTAGCAGCTTCTTTTTCCTTGTTAAATAGAGAAGTGGGGGCTGTAGGAGAGTTCACAGCCTAGAACTAATGAGTGGGTCAGTGGGGGAATTTTGGATAATGATTGGGTATTGCTGTAGGTCTAGAGTAGCTATCTTTGTCTTGAAGGTGACTGGGAGTAGCTGCGGAGACCACATAACACCGGTTCTGAAAGACCTACATTGGCTCCCGGTATGTTTCTGAGCACAATTCAAAGTATTGGTGTTGACCTTGAAAGCCCTAAACGGCTTTGGCCTAGTGTACCTGAAAGAAGGTCTCCACCCCCATCGTTCAGCCTGGACACTGAGGTCCAGCACTGCGGGCCTTCTGACGGTTCCCTCCTGTGAGAAGTGAGGTTACAAGGAACCAGGCAGAGGGCCTTATTGGTAGTGGCGCCCTCCCTGCAGAACGCCCTCCCATCAGATGTCAAGGAAATAAGCAACTATCTGACTTTTAGAAGACATCTGAAGGCAGCCCTGTTTAGGGAAGCTTTTAGTGTCTAATGTTTTATCGCTTTATTGTTATTATTATCGTTAATTCTGTTGCGAGCTGCCCAGAGTGGCTGGGGAAACCCAGCCAGATGGGCGGGGTAAAGTTAAAGGGACCCCTGACCAATAGGTCCAGTCGTGACTGACTCTGGGGTTGCGGCGCTCATCTCGTTTTATTGGCCGAAGGAGCCGGCGTCCAGCTTCTGGGTCATGTGGCCAGTGTGACTAAGCTGCTTCTGGCAAACCAGAGCAGCGCACGGAAACACCGTTTACCTGGAGCGGTTCCTATTTATCTACTTGCACTTTGATGTGCTTTTGAACTGCTAGGTTGGCAGCAGCAGGGACCGAGCAACAGGAGCTCACCCCGTTGCGGGGATTCGAACCGCCAACCTTCTGATCGGCAAGTCCTAGCCTCTGTGGGTTAACCCACAGCGCCACCCACGTCTATTATTATTATTAAAGGCCCTCTGTGTTTAGCCCTCTGAGAGCTGCATGCTGCCAGTTTCTCTCTCTCTCTCTCTCTCTCATATGTACAGCATCCACTTTCCACACATGTATGCAGGCACACATCAAACAGGCTCTCTCTCCTCAACCTCACCCCACCATCATCATTTGTATGCCACTTTCCAACGAATTAATAAAGTGCTATAAATCATATATATAATCAATCCATACAACAGCTGCAGCAAAACATGTCTCTCCCACATCGGTCTCTACAAGCCACAGCAGGCCATGCACAGCCTTCTAAGCGCTTGACCTCACCCCCAAAGGCGCACTCCTCTATCGTCTCCCGAGACAAGACAGATGCCAACCAACCTAACAACATTGTGTAAAGCCGTACAAAAAAGCTAACCTAATTTATAAGCTTAAAATTAAATAGGAGAGAGAATAATGTCCAACAAAGAAATAAAATGATATTAAAATCACTGTTCATAAATAATACACATAATCTCACAGCAGTTAGCTTGCACGCATTGCATGGTAGCCACGCACCTTACTGGTGGCAGCCTTCCCGACACACTTGGCACACACAGAATCATTGAATCGTGGAGTTGGAAGGATCCCAAGGAATCATCTAGTCCAGTCCTCTGCAGTGCAGGAGTCACAACTAAAGATTCCCTGACAGGAAGCCTTCCAACCTCTTTTTTTTAAAAAAAAAGCTCCAGTAAAGGAGAGCCCATCACCTTCCGAGAGAGCCTGTTCCACTGTCAGTTTATTCTGTCAGAAAGTTATTCTATACAACATGCACACCGGCTACACATGCAAGCCATGTGCACAGGCACACAGCACACACTCACTCATAAATAACACACCCCACACACAGGCATACGCCATCTCTCCTCTCAGTGCTATGAAGTGGTGCTTAGCTGTGTGGAGAGGTTTAAATCTTTGCTTTCAGGCCTCCATGATGAGGAGACTCTAGTGTAATGGATAGCCTTGCTGGAGCTTCACACACATCCCACAGTATCTGTTGTGGTTGTTTTCCTTAAATATTCACCTGTGATGTTACAAGTGCTGACTAGGAGGCCAACATTGCATCTCTCAGTAACAGTGAAGAGAAAGAAAAAGATTTTCTTAGGAAAAACATTTATATTGGCTGCCAGAACTAAATAAGAATGATGCATTTACTGCATGATAAAAAGATTGTCTGGAAGTCTACCACTTTGCTGATCACTGAAAAGTTCTTCAGAAACGATGCATGAAAATGTCAAGCCCTGAAACTCACAGCCATATTAGTTCAGGGCTTTTCTTCTTCTTCTCTGCAGACCTGTGAGTTGGCCTGACCTGCCCAAGGCAACCTTCATGGATGAGCAAGTACTTGACCCTGGTGTGCTGGCTGCCCGGAGCTGATGGGAATTGTAGTTTAAAATAGCTAGCGGGCACCAGGTTGGTGAAGGCTGCACTAGCCCTAAGAGCCACTGCAATATCTACTTTATTTCTTATTACAGTGGTACCTCGGGTTAAGAACTTAATTCGTTCTGGAGGTCTGATCTTAACCTGAAACTGTTCTTAACCTGAAGCACCACTTTAGCTAATGGGGCCTCCTGCTGCTGCTGCTGCACTGCTGCCACACAATTTCTGTTCTTATCCTGAAGCAAAGTTCTTAACCCGAGGTAATATTTCTGGGTTAGCAGAGTCTGTAACCTGAAGCATCTGTAACCTGAAGCGTCTGTAACCTGAGGTACCAGTGTACAGCCTTTTGGTTTACCTGCCAGAGTCCTGGTGGGTGGAATCCTTGTTCAGGAGCAAATCCAGACAGGAAATGGTGGCTTATGACTTGGAGCCAAATACTTAAGCGCACCTCTTGAACTGTACCTTCATATACAAGCACACATCCAAATCTGAGTCACTGCAGATCAGGGTTTCTAACATAGAGAGCTAAAACAGGCCAGGTTTGGCCAGAAAGCTGGTCAGGAGCTTCCATTTAACGTTCATGTGAGGAACCAGGGAGACCAAGAGGAAAGCCATTCGTACAAAGCTGGCCATAGCAGAGAATTTATTTTTGTTGCTCTGCTGTTGTCGTCGTCACTTTTTTCTTGCCATGGCAACTCAGAGGAAGTTACCACCCCCAGCCCCAACCCCCACATACATACATTAAAAACAAGTGGGGGGGAATATATCAAAAACATACCACCCATTCTAAAAGCCCAATTTTATCCACTAATTTCAAAACTGCACTGGTTTTGGGGGTGGGGGCGTTCTGGGAATCCCTGAGCAACGCCAGCTATGAGGCTGCTATTTAGTTCATAAGTTCACAGAATCATAGAATCATTGAGTTGGAAGAGACCACAAGGGCCATCGAGTCCAACCCCCTGCCAAGCAGGAAACACCATCAGAGCACTCCTGACATATGGTTGTCAAGCCTCTGCTTAAAGACCTCCAAAGAAGGAGACTCCACCACACTCCTTGGCAGCAAATTCCACTGTCGAACAGCTCTTACTGTCAGGAAGTTCTTCCTAATGTTTAGGTGGAATCTTCTTTCTTGTAGTTTGGATCCATTGCTCCGTGTCCGCTTCTCTGGAGCAGCAGAAAACAACCTTTCTCCCTCCTCTATGTGACATCCTTTTATATATTTGAACATGGCTATCATATCACCCCTTAACCTCCTCTTCTCCAGGCTAAACATGCCCAGCTCCCTTAGCCGTTCCTCATAAGGCATCGTTTCCAGGCCTTTGACCATTTTGGTTGCCCTCCTCTGGACACGTTCCAGTTTGTCAGTGTCCTTCTTGAACTGTGGTGCCCAGAACTGGACACAGTACTCCAGGTGAGGTCTGACCAGAGCAGAATACAGTGGCACTATTACTTCCCTTGATCTAGATGCTATACTCCTATTGATGCAGCCCAGAATTGCATTGGCTTTTTTAGCTGCCGCGTCACACTGTTGGCTCATGTCAAGTTTGTGGTCAACCAAGACTCCTAGATCCTTTTCACATGTACTGCTCTCAAGCCAGGTGTCCCCCATCTTGTATTTGTGCCTCTCATTTTTTTTGCCCAAATTTCTCCCTGTTAAAATTCATCTTTTTGTTTTTGCCCAGTTCTCTAATCTGTCAAGGTCGTTTTGAAGTGTGATCCTGTCCTCTGGGGTGTTAGCCACCCCTCCCAGTTTGGTGTCATATTCACTGGTAACAATGAATAGATACCAGCTGGAAATACGGTAGCAGGCAAACTTTGCAGTCTCAAAGCTTTTAACTGTATTTACTAAATGCAAGTAAAGCAAAGCAAGCTAAATTAGATTGCTCTCAAGGGCTTCAGAAAGTTTCCCAGCGTAGATTGAAAATTTTCCTATGCAGATTGTCATATACAAATTTCTCAAATTCGCATAGGTAAATTCAGTCCCCCCCCCTTAAAGAAATCCGCATTGCTGCCTTTGAGGGAATGTATGGAGACAGTTGTGCAAATATCTACATAATGTCTTTTGTTGGGGGTTTGAAAACTGGTGTTCCCTCCCCCCCCCCCCCCATTCCTCCGTGCAACTTTTTGTCAGCGAATATGGCTGTGGAAAGAAGGCTGGGATTCACTTAAAGAAAATGTGTGCATGTACATATGGATTGGGGGGTGGGGACAGAACAGGCATGCATGGACAGCAAGATAGGAACAGAGGCCCTTGCCATGCCTGCTCCTCGTTCTGGTTATTGCAATCCATATCTGTGTAGGCCATAGCTGGCCCCGGGCATTTTTCTGCCTGAGACAAAGGGCATGATGCCTCTCTGCCCCACTTTCCACATACAGAAGCCCACTGGACAGGCTGTTCAATTTTATTTATTTCAATTAAGTTTGTATTAGTTTTCAAAAAGTTCAGTTGCAGCATATTATCAAACAAACAAGCAAACGGTAATAATAAATAATAACCAGATCAGATACTCTGTATCGTGCCAAGGGAAATTTATCACAGCATTCAGCTTATATTCAATCTCTAAATGTATTAGCCACAATCATTCATAAACAGGAGGAGATTCTTGACCGTATTGCTCCTTACCTGAGAAAGAGATATTAAAAGTCGGACCAAAATCATCCTTCTTACTTAGGCCCTCCTGGTGATTCACATCTCTGGTGGGGAATGTGCTGAAGCACAATTTTGGCCTGTAGATTTTAGGGAACTACTGTAAAACAAAATCTTAATGTTGTTCCAACCTCCCAATTGGCACTTTTTTGATGGAGGCTAACCTAAACTTGATTATACAGTTATTATTGATGGCAGCTAGAATGACTTGTGCACTTTAAAATTTAATTCCAGCACTAGTGAAGGGACTTGGATGGTCATACTTAACAAACATAACTGCACCTATATGCCTCACTTATGCATTGGCCAAAAAAGAGGAAATAATTCTCTGCAAAAGAGGGTATAATGGGAATCAGATTTACATAACATTTGCATATGTTGACTTGCATGCACAGATTAATAGCGGATGGCATGGAGGGGCAGCTTGACCTCGCTTGACCTCTGGGTGGTTGTGTCGCTGCTGCTTCCTGGGAGGTAGAAGGGGGATGCAAGCACTACCCTTCCTCTACCTCCTCTCAAACAGCAGCGACACGGCCACCCAGAGGTCAGGTGACATAGATACACATTTAGGAATAATGTCTGTAATTTAAATAGTAATGCACTACATCTCACTGTAGTGTAGAAGACACTGACCCAGTGTCCAATGTGTCTGATGTCCAGGGAATGATTGTATAGTAGGACACATGGCCACCCTCAAAGGGACGGACTCTTCCACTGTACAGGGGGCAGCAGATACAGTGGTACCTCTGGTTAAGAACTTAATTTGTTCTGGGGGTCCATTCTTAACCTGAAACTGTTCTTAACCTGAGGTACCATTTTAGCTAATGGGGCCTCCCGCTGCTACACAATTTCTGTTCTCATCCTGAAGCAAAGTTCCTAACCCGAGTTACTGTTTCTGGGTTAGCGGTGTCTGTAATCTGAAGCGTATGTAACCTGAAGCGTCTGTAACCTGAGGTACCACTGTATAGCTTAGGAGATACAGTAGGGGAGGCTACGTTGTGCACACAGCTGCGCCCTCCAGGAGAGGAGAACAACAAGGGGGCTCAGGAGGAATGGCCCGTAAATGGTCGCTCTTCCCCCTGACCCCCTAGCATTGGCTGTCTGAAGTTACCACAGCCAGTGTGGTGTAGTGGTTAAGAGCGGTAGTCTCGTAATCTGGGGAACCGGGTTCGCGTCTCTGCTTCTCCACATGCAGCTGCTGGGTGACCTTGGGCTAGTCACACTTCTCTGAAGTCTCTCAGCCTCACTCACCTCACAGAGTGTTTGTTGTGGGGGAGGAAGGGAAAAGAGAATGTTAGCTGCTTTGAGACTCCTTCGCGTAGGGATAAAGCAGGATATCAAATCCAAACTACTCCTCCTCCTCCTCCTCTTCTTCTTCTTCTTCTTCTTCTTCTTCTTCTTCTTCTTACCAACAGTAGGGCTGGCCCTGATCTTTCACAAATGAATGCATCCGTGTTTTCTTTTTGCAAGGCATCATTTGACAGAGATAGCGATTTGCATCCAGCTCTTTTTTTTCTTCAGGGGGAGGAAACCTAACATGGGGCTCCAGCCCCACATCAACATCTTCTGCCCACCTAGCAGACAAGAAAATAGCCCTTGGTCTTCCAAACTTTATCTCTTGCTGCAACCCTCAAAAACTGTATTTCTTTATGAATAGCAGTCCAATCAAGTATTTTTAATTTAATCTCATTGGTTTCAACAAGACAGAGAGCTAAGCATGTGCTGTTTTACAGGAGGGATTCAGCTGCATAATGGGAATTTAGGTTTGCACAATTAAAGGGGATTAAAGCTTCCTGATGGAACAAATCCACTTAAGAAGAAGAAGAAAATGGGCAGGGGAAAACACTAAAAAAAGCTGCAGGGGGAGATAATTATGGACATGGGAAGACGTATGATGTCCCTGCAAACAAATCGGAACAAATGCTCCAGAAAGAGTGGGCGTCATATTATTGTTATTATTATTATTACTATTAATTAATTATTGAATTTATATACCGCTCTATACCTGTAGGTCTCAGAGCGGTTCACAGGATAAGGATGGTTCTATAATGGTAGGGAAGAGAGAGCAAAGTCTGATTTTGGACCACCCTCCACTTTAGCTTTATTTAAATAACAGGTGAAAAGGAACCACTAGCGCCGTGAACGCCTCCCTCGTTCTCTTGGAATGGCAAATAGCACCCACCTGAGAGGTGACAGAACTGAGTTTCCAGTGAGATCTGGCTGAAAAAAAGCCCTGCTTGCAACATTGTGGTGGGGATTAAGTGAGGAGCAGGGAGAACCATGTATGCCACCTCGAGTTCCTTGCAGAAAAAGGTGGGTCGGGAATGCGATAAATAAATACTAAATAAATAAATATTAAACTGTGAACCTGCCCAGGAGGCTGATTGTGAGAGTCTTGCATTCTGAGGCGAGAAAGACCAGGAAATAGCCAGATCTGCTCAGCTTCCTGCATGGCCCTGTCCACATCATGCTCCTTTGCGGTGATGACCTGTGGGGGGGTGGGGACTTTGCCTGTAGCCCCTCCAAGCCTCACAGGCGGCGGGTGCTATAGGCTTTGAAGCCCCTGTCTGGGCCTGCCTCCCTTAGGCCGCTCCGTGGTGGAGACACTTCCTTTGAAGAGCAGGCCCCGCTTTGAAAGCGTCAGGGATGTGCTGGAGGTGGGCCGCATGGAACGTGCGTTCAGGAAGCCACACTCCATGCCAAGCAGGCGCTGGGCTCCCAGGGGGCTCGTTAGGTATCTGCCAGAACAGCAGAGGAGCATTGCTCTCCCCTCTTCAAGGCAGCCCAGCGAACGCAACCATTTTGCACAGGGCTTCCTCCCCGCGGAAGACAGCGTTGGCTCACATCCACCATGGTCCCCCTGCTCTGGAATGTTTTGCGGGAGGAACAACGACCCCTGTGGGCTGGGCTAGCTGATCAGCCAAAATGGCTAGAGCTCCACAGTGGAGAGTAGTTGGGACAGAGGCATTTTCCTCGTCAAGAATCCAGGCAAGCCAATGTGAGGTGGTGCATAATTAATGTATGGAATTAATTGCCTCAAGTAGTAGCCTCTGCCTGAGGGCCGGTCCAAGCATTGTGAGGCTCCCTCATCTGTACCGCAGAAAGGTAGTACAGTGGTACCTTGGGTTAAGTACTTAATTCATTCTGGAGGTCCGTACTTAACCTGAAACTGTTCTTAACCTGAAGCACCACTTTAGCTAATGGGGCCTCATGCTCCTGTTGCGCCGCCAGAGCACGATTTCTGTTCTTATCCTGAAGCAAAGTTCATAACCTGAAGCACTATTTCTGGGTTAGCAGAGTCTGTAACCTGAAGCGTATGTAACCTGAAGCGTATGTAACCTGAGGTACCACTGTACAGTCATACCTCGGGTTGAAACTTCAGGTTGAAGGCTTTCAGGTTGCGCTCCGCGGTGACCTGAAAGTAACGGAACACATTATTTCTGGGTTTCGCTGCTTGCGCATGCGCAGACGGTCAAAATGACATCACACACATGCACAGAAACAAATGAATCACAACCCACACACACACAGACGTGGGTTGCGTTCGTTTCTGGATGCGAATGTGGCTCCGGAACGGATCCCATTCGTATCCAGAGGTACCACTGTAATGTTACTTTTCTGGGAGAAAATGCTTCTTCATGAGGCGCATCGTTAAACTACGGAACTCCCTCCTGCAGGAGGCAGTGATGGCCACCAGCCTAGATGGCTTTGAGGATCAGATGAATTCATGGAGGAGAGGGCTATCGATAGCTACTAGCCACAATGGCTATTCTCTGCCTCCACAGTCAGAGACGGCAGTGCTTCTGAATGCCCGTTGCTGGAAGCTGCAGGCAGGGAGAGGGCTCTTGTGCTCAGGTTCTGCTTGTTTCCCACAGGCATCTGGTTGGCCACCATGAGAGCAGGATGCTGGACTTTGTGGGCCATTGGTCTGATCCAGCAGGCTCTTCTTATGTTCTCAGTGTAGATATCACCAAGCCTAATGCATTTGCTTGGTATAAAGCAGGGTACGAGCTTCATTCCTGTTCCTCCCCCTCCACCCCCTTTTGCCTGGCGCTGCAGTTGCTGGAGGAGACAGATCCCCATTAGCCTGCCTCTTAAACTGCAGGAGAGCTGGGGCTGTGCACTGTATAAATTCATGCTAATAACACAAGAGAAGGAAGATGGGAGGTGGGAGAAAAGAGGCCAGCACTGAGCAAGGAGGTGGGCAAGTATCAAGCTGAGTCTGGGCAGGATCAGGTGTGCAGCAAAGGGCCCTGGAACCACCCAGGGCAGGTGACCCACTAGATGGAAATGGGAAAGGGGGTGGGTGAGGCCCTCTGAGGTGCCCACACCATTGCTGCAGCCCATCACTGCTCCTTCTGCTGGTAATTAAGTGGCGGCGCTGTAATTAACACTGGCGTTGTGACAGGTAGGGGAGTCCCAAGGGAGGAAGAAGGGCAGGAAGGGAGCTGTTAGGCAGGAGCTGTTTTTCCTTCCCTGCTCCCCCCGCCCCAGCTGCTGGGAAGACTTGCTCATTTGGAGGCAGCCCCTTCCTCTCTCTCTCTCCCAGAAGAGCAGCAGCTTTGCTGTGCTGGTGCAGAGAGAAAATGGGATTCGTCGTCGGCACAGCAGCGATTTCCCCAGATACGCCACTGCAGATATGGAAAGGGCTTCTTGCTCTGGTTGCATCCCTGGCTCCCATTAGCTGTTGGGGATGATGGTGCAGGAGGCCAATTTTGGGGACTTCACCTGCTTATAAGGCCTCTTAAACATGCTGGATTGTTGGCCAGCCACTCTCCTTCCCTGGCTGCATGCTCTGGGCCACATCACTGTTCTGTGGAATGACATCTGAGGTGTAAAATGCAGCAGAGCCCACAAATGCTCTGCCCAGGAATACTCAAAGAGTCAGAACAGTAATTAAAATAGCAGACAACACACCTTTGAGAGCCTTTCTCTTAACCTTGAGCAACTGCAACCAACCCCACAGCTCCAGGGCTCTGGTTGTTGGTTCACTGGGGAGATGCCCCCCCCCCGGCATCCCTTGTTAGAAATTGACCACTGATCATACTGCTCTCTGCGTGGTGTGGACTGGTGAGCAGGCAAAGGCCCTGTCCAGGGCAGAGTTGCTAGTACAGGCTGTCATCCTTCCCCTGGAGGGCTGCCATTTACTCAAAGATGGCATCGTTTGCTGTTCAGCGTGACTGTGGCCATGCAGGTTAACTTGCTTGACTTCGTGGTGTCGGTTCCAGAAAAAGTCATGTGTGAGTAGAGGCCAAACAGTGATTCTTGAGCTGCTCCAGAGTCTCTGCCCAGGCCTGTAGGTTTACCTTAGCTTGGAAAAATTGCACATAATAAATGCAGAATGGGATGGTGGCCACTGAATTCCACTATCCAATAATTTCAAGCCACCTCCCACCATTGGAAGCTATTTTGGCATACATACTATTATTATTATTATTACTACTACTACTACTACTAATACTACTACTATTTAGTGATGTCATGGCATGCTTTTCCCAACCTCGATGCTTCCAGATGTTGTTCTAATACAGGTCCCATCAGCCGCAGCCAGCATGATTGTGGTGGCTGGGACTGATGGGAGTTGTGGTCCAAAACATCTGGAGGCCAGCAGGCTGGGGGAGGCTGAATTAGATGGTCCAAGGAAAACATTGAGGGAGGAAAGACAGCACTGGGAGGTCTGAATATCTGGTGATGTCTATATCCACACTTAACCAGGAGTCTGATCTTAGAGGGGCATTTTTAGTTAATGCTGGTGTCCCAAGCCATGCACTTTACATGGGGGCTGCCTTTGAAGAAAGTGGAAACATATTTGGGGGCAAAGTGTGGCTGCCAGAGGTGCTGGCTATATAGCAAGTTGATCGAATCACATTATGATTCCAGCCTTAGTCCTGGCCAGCTACATTAAATTGAGCCTGGGAAACAAATTAACAACCAATGTGTTCTTGTTGTTTTGAAAATGCTTTCCCATTTAAGACAAAAAACACACTGAAACACCCCAGGTTGCTTACATCCTATAGGCTTGGCCTTTATTGTATGTCTCCCTCCATGCAAAGTCCACTTCAGGGGCCCCTTTCTAAGTCCCCATCAGATGTGACCTGGGTCTTTCATGGTGGTGGTGTTCATAATTTGAACAGCTTTCATAGGGCTGCTTGCCTGACTCTGTTGTGGCTTTTTGCATTTTGACAGCAAGCAAATCTGATTTCAGCCTCTGCTGGGCACTGCTTCTGCTTTGTTTTCATAATTTTAGTAATGTTTAATTTTACAATTTTACTGAATATTCATTTATTGCATGTTTCAAAGGTGCCCCTGACTCCGTATTTAAAAGAAGTATAAATGCTATGACTAAATTCACAAAGTCTGCAGCAGTCACCTCAGTGTATCTCTGAGAGGAATCTTTGCAGACGCACACAGTTTTGGTAGGACAGCTCTCCAGAGCTGTGCCTCTCAGTCTTCTCTCTGCTGAGTCCAGCTCCTTGCTGTTGTCTTGTCTGTGGGATGACTGTTCCCTTTATTCCTTCCTCCGGCTCCTAGGCCCCAGTCTAATTAGTCTGCATCTGCCATCTGCTGACTTGGAGACCTGAACCACTGGCAATCTGTATCCAACCATCGTTTACCGGGATTGTCCTTTGTTGTGAGCTCTGCCTCAGGGTCTACTGTCCCCCAGGACAAACCTTCAGAGCCCTTCCTGTTGGGAATGAGGCTTCTCCTGGGCTCACGACTTCCTCCAGAGCCTTTGTTGTCTTCCCTCTTCTTCCACGCTGGCTGGCCTTCTCCACACTCGCCCAGCCTGAGCATCACCTCTTCCTCCCTCACACACCTTGCCTCTGAAACATCTCGCCTTCCCCCTTGTCCAGATGGACAGTAATGCTTCCAATGCAGGCATCAGAGGCTTAGGCTGCATATGCACCAATTAGGTAAAGCACTATGATACCACTTTAAACCATCATGGCTCCCCCCCAAAGAATTCTGGGAAGTGTAGTTTGTTAAGCGGCTGAGAGTTCTTAGAAGATCCTTATTCCTCTTCGAGAGCAACAATTCCTAGAGTTCCCTGGGAAGAAGACATATTCATTATTAAACCATTCTGAGTACTGTAACTCTGTGGAAAGGAATGGGGGTCTCCTAATGATTCTGGGAGCTGTCATTTGTTAAGGGTGCTGAAAATTGTTGGGAAACCTTTGTTTCCCTCCCAAAGTTACAATTCCCAAAGTTTCCTAGGAAAACTGTTAAACCACTCTGAACATTATTTTCAGGAGAGGTTAAATTCCAGAGTCCACTAGAGGATGGTGCAGTGCACTGTGTTATTTTGGGTTTTTTGGCAGGGTGTGTGGAAGATTTGGTGGTATTCATTCTCCGTGCATTGTTACTTCATATATTTGACAGCTTTTGGAAATATTTGACTGATCAGTGAACTAATTTTAATCTAACAAATACCAGCACTGATTTTGGGTGCCTTCAGGCTGTCACAATGCCTTCAACAATAAACCAGCTCTGTTCGTTACAGGAACAATCTGCAGCAGAGAGGTGGTCGGTCATAATGTATTGTCTGTATCTTCTGCAGTCTGTGACTAGTTCCTCATTATGGAGTTAACTAGTACTAGATGCAATTGCAACAATATTCACATTATTGGGTATCAATGAATTGCATGGGACCCCCAAAAGCACCTTTTTATTGCACATTCCTGATGATTTGTGCTCATGATGATATCAGGGCAGTCACACGTGACCCCACTTTCAATACCCTTTGCTCCAGCAAATGTTTGGGGGGCAAAGATACTGCTTCATTTCCAATTGGAGCATATGCTGTATTTTCCTGCTGAAATCCCATAATCATTTGGACCAGAGAGGTTCTCAGTTTGGGGGTGGGAGGTTGTCCTGCTTTTGTTCTGCTGTAGCCCCTCAGGGTGGCAATAATGCAGTTGTACTGGGAAAGTATTGCAGAACATCTACAGAGGAGAATAAATGCACCACATGCCCTATTATTGTGTTGATAATATGTTGCCGAACACAACCACAATAAAACTCTAACAATCCTTTGGAGGTAAAATGGAGGGGAGGCTGATGCATATGGCCTCTCTCCCTATTTTATCCTCACCACAACCCTGTGAGGTAGGTTAGCTTAGGGCTGAGAGACTGTAATTGGCCCAAGGTCACCCAGTGAGCTTCCTGACCAAGTTGACAACACAGGGAGGGTTGGGCTGATTCACTTGTGTTCATGTAGGTGGGTGTTTTATCCTTTGGGTGAGCAGGCCCTCTTCTCCTGGTGTTTATTTTCCTTCCTTCCTTCTCCCTCCCAGATTTACCGGCGTTGTTGGCTCGTCTTCCGCAAATCTTCCAGCAAAGGCCCTCAGCGGCTGGAGAAATATCCGGACGAGAAGTCGGTGTGTTTGCGAGGATGTCCAAAGGTTAGCCCCAGTTCCTGATGTGATGGTGCTGTTGCTGCTCCGTGAGGGGACAGGGGCTGGATAGAGCCTTGTGGGGGGAGGGATAGCTAATACCGCAGAAGATAGAATCAGGATTCAGGATGGCCTTAATGGATTGAAGAATTGGCCCAAACTAACACCATGAATTTCAGTCGGGCAAATGTGAGGTTCTATGCTTAGGCAGAAATAATCAGATGCACAAATACAACATATGGGACACCTGCTTGCCAGTGGTACATGTGAAAAGGAGCTAGAGGTCTTAGCAGAGCACAAGATTAACATCAGTCAACCGTATGATGCAGCAGCAAAAGAAAGCTATTCTAGACTGCATCAAGTCTAGTAAGAGTACTGCTCTATTCTGCCTTGGTTAGACCCCACCTGAAGTTCTATGTTCAGTTTTGGGTACCACAATTTAAGAAGGATATTGGCAAACTAGAACATGTGCAGAAGAAGGTGACCAGGAGGCTCAAAGGTCTGTAAATCAAGCCTTAGGAGGAGCGGTTGAGGGAGCTGGGGATGTTTAGCCTACAGAAGTGGAGACTGAGAGATGATAGGATGCCCATCACCAAACATCTAAAGGTCTGTCGCATGGAAGATGGAGCAAGCTTGCTTTCTGCTGCTCCACAGGGTAGAACCCAAACCAATGGATTCAAATGACAAGAAAATGAGATTCTCACTATGCTTTAGGAAGAACTTTTTGACGGTAAGAGCTGTTTGACAGTGGGATTGACTGCTTTGGAAGGTGGTAGACTCTCTTTCATTGGAATTTTGTAAGCAGGGTTTAGGTGACCACCCGACAGGGATTCTGCATTGCAGGGAGTTGGACTGGATGACCTTTGGGCTCCCTTCCAACTCTACAATTCTGATTCTTGGTCAGCATTTCATACTTTCCTCCTTCCCAGCACTGAGGGGTGGGCAACCTCCTACGCAGAGCCAGCTTGCAGTTTGCCTACTCTAGTGATGAAGATTGGCCACCGTTTCCTAGTTCGGAGACATTCTCATTATCCTTAAATGCTTCCCCAGGGCACTCTTGTGGTCTGTGTGACATTGCGTGCTGGAAAAAACCGTCCCTGCCCAAGGGAGTCATTGTGGCAAAAATAAACCTGTTTATGTTCTAGAAGCAGAACACAGTCCTCCTGCTTGAGTTCTCTCGCTGGCCATCCTTTCCACTCTTTCACCCAACCTCCTCACCACCTTAGTCACCCAGTGCAAGACCCAATTCCACCACTCATACGCCCTGCTGCCCATCTCAATGCTCTCAGGCTCCTGGAAAATGGAGGTGAACAACCAGAGCACCTGCCCAGCCCTCTAGACCAAGAAATGCCCCTCCCCTCAACAATGCCACCCTTCTCTCTTTATGCAGGGTACCCTAGGAGGTCAAGGCTGCTTGAGACACTTCTGAGTTGCCATATCCCACCTCTTTAAGGGGGATTGCTGTCTCAGAGTCCTCTGTCCAGAGAGTCTCTTTCCCAAACACCAGCATAAATGAGTAACTTCTGGAATCACTGGTGAATGAAGCCACTCTCCCCATTGGCTTCTCCCTACAAAACAGCTTTTGCTCTCCCATCTAAGCTGCTGCACAACTCTCTGTACAGGAGTTGGGAAGTATTCTTTTGAACATCAGGGGTGGGCAACATTTTTCAGGCCAAAGGCAAGCTTTGGGGGTCCCCAAGTCAGTGGTGGGGCCAGAGATTAAAAAAAAGAGGATGGAGCAAAACTTGCAGTTCGGAAAGCGCTGAGGAAATGCATTGAAAAGTGCACCATGCATTCCAGCATTGCGTAAGTCAGAGGTCTATATGTGCTTGCACACACACACACACACCCTCCAGCTAGCTAAGCAAGAGGCATTATCACAGTTCAAGAACAAATTCCCAGCCAGGCAAAATCACTCTAGGAGGGTGTGAAGCAGGAGCAGGGGGCTAGGGAGACTCCTGAAGGCTTTATAAAGAGTCCTGGATGGCCGCATTGAGACCTGGGCCCAAGTTTCCCCCCTCCTGCTCAGCATGGAGCTGCCCAGCATGGGTCAAGAGCCAGGGATCCCTTTCCTCTTCTCTGCAGACGAAAGTGGGCTGTAGGGAGTTGCTCCCCTTAAGGCGTGTGGCTCTCCTGCAGGTCACTGAGATCAGCAACGTAAAATGCATCACGAGGTTACCAAAGGAGACTAAGCGGCAGGCCGTGGCCATCATCTTCACCGACGACTCGGCTCGGACGTTCACCTGTGAATCTGGTAGGAGCCCCGCTGTGGGATTTATGGGGGTGTTTGTGAGCCGCAGTGTGCGGGCGCATTCTACGAGGTTGCAATCCACTGGCAAGTGTATGTGTGTTGTGTTGAACAAAATGGCAACAGGGCTGAATGCTGGACACTAACTGAGGGCGCTTCCCATCTTGCAGAGCTGGAGGCTGAGGAGTGGTACAAAACTCTGTCCATCGAGTGCCTGGGGGCACGGCTCAATGACATCAGCCTGGGAGAGCCAGATCTGCTGGCACCTGGAGTGCAGTGTGAGCAGACAGGTAAGGGGGCAGGCTGTCCTGAATTTGCCATGGTGGTGGGGTGTCCGGGGAATGAGGGTGGTGGAAGGACTGACTGGAGAAACAAATGGCCTGTTATTATTTATTGATCTTATTAGCCGTTCTTTTTTCCCCTCTCTTTTTTTTTACCAAAAGTAACTTGAAGCAATGGGATGCGGGTGGCGCTGTGGGTTAAACCACAGAGCCTAGGACTTGCCGATCAGAAGGTCAGCGGTTTGAATACCCACAACGGGGTGAGCTCCTGTTGCTCGGTCCCTGCTCCTGCCAACCTAGCAGTTCGAAAGCACATCAAAGTGCAAGTAGATAAATAGGTACCGCTCTGGCGGGAAGGTAAACGGTGTTTCCGTGTGCTGCTCTGGTTCGCCAGAAGCGGCTTAGTCATGCTGGCCACATGACCCGGAAGCTGTACGCCAGCTCCCTCGGCCAATAAAGCGAGATGAGTGCCGCAACCCTAGAGTCGGTCACGACTGGACCTAATGGTCAGGGGTCCCCTTTACCTATCTTGAAGCAATAAAGACATAACCCATACTTTGAAACCAGCCTAAAATGAAACAGAGGAAGATCTAAAACTCATCCACATTTTTTTAAAGGCAGGGCTGAAAAATCTCACCTGCCGTAGGAGGTCCCAGATAGCTGAAAGCCTGGGGAAAAGTCGGGGGGGAAGAAATGTATTTACCTGGTGCCTAAAGGTAAAGGTAAAGGTACCCCTGCCCGTACGGGCCAGTCTTGACAGACTCTAGGGTTGTGCGCTCATCTCACTCTAGAGGCCGGGAGCCAGCACTGTCCACAGACACTTCCAGGTCATGTGGCCAACGTGACGAAGCTGCTCCGGCGAACCGGCACCAGAGCAACACACGGAAACGCCGTTTACCTTCCCGCTATAAAGCGGTACCTATTTATCTACTTGCACTTAAGGGTGCTTTCGAACTGCTAGGTGGGCAGGAGCTGGGACCAAACGACGGGAGCTCACCCCGCCGCGGGGATTCGAACCGCCGACCATGTGATCGGCAAGTCCTAGGCGCTTAGGTTTTACCCACAGTGCCACCCGCGTCCCTTTACCTGGTGCCTCTAGGGAGAGGATTCCACAAGCAGGGAGCCAGACGTGACAGTGCAGAGAGCAGCTCCTTGAGATGGGCATTGCAGGCACTGCTGCCCAGGGCAAGAGCAGAGATACCTGGAGGAAGCCCTGGACACTGAGCCAGGGCATGGGGATGCAGCAAACAGCATCTCTGTCGAAGTGTGGGACAGAGGCGGTGTTGGGGTTTAAGCTGCAGATTGTGGCCAGGGAGTACATGGCGAGGCTACAGTTAGGCTTAGGAGGCAGCTAATTGGAGCCATAAACATTGAGCCCAAGAGGTTGCAGACTGGTGAGTTTTGCTGTTGCTCAAGCAAAATATTGGGAAGGAGACAGCTAGGAGGGTGGCAAAGGGGTGGTGTGAAGCAGAGAAGGTGCCAGCAAGCCTGGCTCAGCAGCGCCCCTTTCTCCCCCGCAGATCGCTTCAACGTCTTCCTCCTGCCCTGCCCCAACCTGGACATCTACGGCGAGTGCAAGTTGCAGATCACACACGAGAACATTTACCTCTGGGACATGCACAACCCCCGCGTCAAGCTCGTCTCCTGGCCCCTATGCTCGCTGCGACGCTACGGGCGAGATGCCACGCGGTTCACCTTTGAGGCTGGCCGGTATGCATGCAGGGACGTGTGACCCAGAGGGCTTGCAGCACCATGCTGGTTGTGGGAGTGTGTGTGTTCTGAAACTTGAGAATAATTTAAAGTATCAGTCCAGCTCCGCACAGTGGCCATCACCACTGAGAATTGGCACTGTGAAGCGCATCACATTAGATGACTTAGGGCCATCCACAGTATTTCAGCTTAACCTACCTGTAGGGAGAGATCTCGAGGTTTTTGTGAAAGAGGCGGGATTTCTTATTTATTTGTTTCTTTTCAAGGTTTGTACCCCATGCTTTAGCAAAAAGAGCCTGCCAGAATTGCTTGCAGATCAACAAAATGCAAGGCTTTTGCAATCTGAAAGGCAAGTTACAAAAGGAAAGCGGCCGGGGAGGGAGAAGGGGAAAAGAAATCCAGGCACCACTCCTTACAAAGTTCTTATAATGACCTGCTGAGACTGAAACCGGTCAGAAATGGATATAAGGTGGTAAGAGTCATAAAAATGAGGCAGACAGTGGATTGTTACCACATGTAGGTCTCTGGAGCTGTTAAGGGCATGCTTATTTCAGTTAGTGTTGTTGCTGGGCTTTGCAACTGGGTGGGAGTGATGAGGCAGATGAGAGATGCAGTCCAAAACATCTGGATTGGGCAAGGCTGCTTTGGGGCCTAAGAAAAACCCAAAGTGCCGTCCTCTCTCTCCCTTCAACTTGCCTCAGCCCACTAGGCCACAGCCGCTGGAAAGGGAAGGGAACTGGCCACAGGGAAGGCTGGGGGGCACTGAGGGGCTGGTTGGGCAGCATTCGGAGTGGGTCAGGTCTTCCCATGATTTCAGCTTTCCCCAAGGATTTTCTGAGAGGGAAATCCCCAAAACACTGAATCTATTCCAAAGGCATTTTCCAAGCTGATGTTTTCCACATGGATATTTTACTGGTACATAATCAAGATCTCCATAAAGCCTCGGGAGAGACTGGCAGGACTTACTGTACTAAAAGGAAAGCAGGAAAAAAGGGAAGAAGTCAAGTCTGTGTAGATTCCCGCCCCCAAAGTGCATAGCGGAGGCTGGTCCATTTGGATGAATGGGGCATTGCCTCAGCAACCTCCATCTCCCTTCAGCCAGCCCCCACCTGCCTGCCTCCTTACCTACACAGAGCTACAATTTCCAGAGTTCCTTGGGAAGAGGGGTTGATCATTAATCCATTCCAAGAACTGTAGCTCTGTGAGGGGAATAGAGTTCCCCTAAAGGATGGACAGATGGATGGCATATGCACCAGCCCTGTGTCCCTGTGTGTGCTTGGCATACCCACTGCAACCATCCACCCTGGACTTTCCATGATGAACAGGAAAGTCTGAAGAGCAGTTCTCTGTGGTCTTGGATGTGAACGCACTGAAGTCTCACCACAACCAGGAAGCCCACCTTGAAAAGCCTTCTAAGCACATTCATCCAAACACACATAGCCCCTTCAGAACTTCCTGATGCTTCAGGGCAGAGGTGCAGTGGGCACACTCCACTCCCCAAGTTGTGCCTCACACATGCTTTCTGAATGCATGTAGAGAGAGCTTGCTCTTCCACAGCCCCTCCACTCCCTTGGCCATGCCAATTGACTGGATGGTGTGGCAGAAGATCCAGATTTAAGCCCTGGCATCTCTAGCTGGGATGGGAAAGATCTGAAACACAAGAGAGCTGTTGCCCGTCAGTGCCAGCAATACTGATCTAGATGGGCCCAATGGTCTGACTATGTGTACAGTAGATTCCTATGTCCCCGAGGCCCCGTATGGACCTTGCTTCCCAGAAGTGCTCTGTGCAGCCAGACATGAATCCATATGGATGGATTTTCACATGCAGTGATTGTGGGTGGGTGGGGCAGGGGGAACAGCCCTGCAGTCCCCACTACAGCCATGCAATGAAGCCCAGTAATTTGCTCATCTCACTCCATGGTAGGATTTTAAACCCCGAAAAGCCTTTTCCCAGAAAGTCTCGGACTTTTCCCTACCTTGTGAACTTTGCAAATTGATTTAGACCATCCCAGTCTGCACCTCTTAGCGACTCCAGCTAATTACCATCTACAAAGGAAAGAAATTTGATCTTTCCCTTTTATCCCAGACCTTCACTGACTCATTATGCCTGGCTTTTATAGAGAGATTAGAGGAACTCTTCCAACAAGCCCTGTCCCACCCTGCTCTGAGGCTGTGGAACAGCCTGTTCTGACAATAAAGCTGTTTGTTTCTTTGGCAGGGTAGTGGGGGAGAAGGGGAATAACCCACCCACTATACTATAAGGATGAAAAACTCCCAAGCCAGGCAGAGGTCCCATTCACCTCTTTCTTTCCCGGTGTGGGAGGATCTCAGATCTTTGCCATAGAGGGATAATTCACAACCCATTCAAAAGATTTATCCAGGTGCAATACTGTTGCATCAGAGTGCCTCCAGACTGTTGGAACTTTGCAGCAGAGGCAAAGTATGGGTGGGGGCTGTGGCCCCAGGCACAATTTTGTGTGGGGGGGGTGCAAACAGCCTCCCCCACAGCAGGCTCCTTCATTGGAGCGAGAAGGAACTGTGCCTTAGCTGCGGCACTTATTCCTGGCCACAGCTCAGTGGGGAGGAGAGCAGGAGACTAGACGGCCGTCCATCCTCCTCGGCTGTGGTGCGCCTTGTGCCCAGGGCAGTACGGGCACATGCTCCACAACTGCTTTGCAGGAAGGAATTGAGCACATACCAGAACTATGGGTTTGCATGTTTAAAATGGATTAAAGTGTTCTGTCACCCTAGCACAACAAATCCACTTAAAAAGCGGGGGGGGGGGGGGACCTAAGAAAATCAAAGCAGCCTGCAGGATCAGGCCATTGGCCCATCTAGTCCAGCATCCTGTTCCCACAGTGGCCAGCCAGATGCACCCATGGGAAGCTCACAAGCAGGATTTGAGCACAAGAACCCTCTTCCCTCCTAAGTTTCCAGCAGCTGGTATCAGACATGCAACCATTAACAGTAGAGGAAGTCCACCATTGTGGCTGGTAGCCACTGATAGCCTTTTCCTCCATGAATTTGTACAATTTAAAGCCACCCAAATTGGTGGCCATTACTGCCTCCTGCAGGAGTGAGTTCCATAGTTTAATACTGTGCTGCATGAAGACGTAGCTTGTTTTATCTGCTGCGGATCTGGATGTCCATGAATTCTAGTGTTATGAGAGAGGAAGGAAAACTTTTCTCTACTCGCTTTCTCCATGCCATGCATAATTTTGTAAACTTCTGTCTGGTCAAAAACAGTCTTTGTGCTGTTTGGAAAGTGATGGGGAAGTGCATCGAATAGTGTGGGGAGAATGGATGACTACTGGAAAGGTGTGTAAAAACCCCACAAGCAAATCAGAATGAATATTCATTTTCATATAACCTCGCTGTAAACAAATCAGAAGGAAAGCTCAAAAAAGGTTCGATATAATCTAATCTCTAAATAAGCTTTGTGCAAGCAAATCGGGATGAGTGCTCAATAAAGAGGTTGTCTGGAGAGGCCTTCAGACTCCCTGGGCACCTTTGGGCAAATGCTAGGCTGCAGTTCTTTGCACATACAGCTCAGTGGAACTGTTTGCCTCAGAGCAAGCTATACTCTGTGCCGATGTCAATGCTAATCATGCTTAGCCCAAGCCACACAATTTGCAGATCTGCTTCTAATCATATTTGCAAACGGTTGTTTGATGCTGATTATGGTTAGGGAAGATGCTGGGGCAGATATAGTGCTAACTGTAGTTAGCTCCAAAACAGAAGAGGAGCAATGCTTTCACGAGAGGGGGCAGGGTCAAAGGAGCAACTGAGTGAGCCTTCAAGATGCTCCCAGTCTCCCAGCCTTGGTGGAAACTGCACCAGGCTCAAAAAGAGGAAGGACTCTGCTATCACCAGTCTCTATAAACCCCCAATCAACTTCATAAAATAATTTCAGCTGTCCTTGGTTCTTCAAATAGCCTGTGGCCCATTTTCATGAAACACTCAGCCAAGCCATGGTTTAATATGGATGAGCAAAGGTGTGGACTTCTACAAAGGAGATTGCAGCCAGATTGTTGGTTCCTCCCTGGCCATTTTTGCTGCTGCTGCATTGCACCAAACCATTGTTGGATTAGCCTGTCTGAGTTCAAGCTTGTGTTGTCTGAACACACACTTGTGGTTTCGCTCTCTCTGGCCAAACTATGAGCTGTAACCAAAGTTTGCCATGTGGTTTACAGCTAGTTTGTTGGGGAGAACTGGACCTGAGCCCAGATTCAGACAATATGCTAAGCAAAACCATGGTTTAGCTTAGTTTAACCTGGCAGCAGAATGACCAAGGAGGAGCTGAGTAGGTGCAATTTCCTATCTGAGAGCCTGCCCGTTTGTGCAATCTATCGTCTGGCTTCTAAATCCGAGTTCTAAGAAGTAACAACAAATGAATTGTTTTAGTTACAGTTTCAGAAAGCACTGAGCAGTGTTTGCTATGGGATTGTGTTTGGATTACAGTGGATGTAGGGTGGCCTTGTGTCCTAATTTAGAGGACAGTCCTCTATTTGGAGACATCCTCTACTTGCATGACTACCTGGTCCAAGTCCAGTTTTATGATGAGAGAACCCGAGAGGCCAGTAAGCCCCTGGTCTGCAGGCTAAGCAGATCACCAGGTCACTGTCTTCCACAGTAGGGTGAGATGAAATGTATTTCTGCTTAATTCTACCTTTGCATGTAAAAGTTAGTATGTGCCATTCCTGTGGCCTCTTTTCTGGGGGTGCATTAGTGGGCACCTTCATTGCAGCCTGTGTGTGTTACACAGGATCACAATTCCATGCTCCACACACTTGTCATATGGGTAAGGAATGGATTGTAGCCCTGTCAGAGTTGATGAGCTGGTGGAAGCAGGCAGGCGTGGACCAGTTGCTTGGGCTCAGAAGGCACTTTGTAGGAAGGACCTTTTGGTTGCAGGCACGGAACTTCAGCAGAGCACAGGAGAGCTCTGGCAAACTACCACAGTCTCACAAGCCCTTGAAGCGCATCCTTTTGGCTCCTTCCATACTTGAAATCTTCCCATTCCACCTGGTCATTACAAGAACTCTGTAACTAAGAAATAGCTCCTAAGTGTTTTTCCTCCTCCCTCCCAATCCCTCTTCCTTTTGTGCCATGTCTTTTTGATTGCGAGCCTGAAGACAGAGCCTCTCTTAACATTGGCATTTGTAAGCAGCTCTGCAATCCTTTTCCATCTGAAGAGTGGGATTAAAAAAAACTGTAAACAAACACAAAAACAAAACAAAAAGCAAAATGTATTTGTGAAGCTCTTGTACTGGATTTTCAAGTGGGGCAGAGAGAAAGGGATGTTTGCATACACGTTTGTGAAGTCCATGCAGAAGTGAGGTGTCAACGGTGCAAGTGTGAGTTTGGGAGGCGGGACAACTACAGTATGAACAGCACCGATGGAGTGGAAGCAGCTGGTATGAGGTTTGTGCACCCCTTCACGGGGGTCCCGCTTTTGACCTCTTGCTCTCTGTCGCTGCCCTTTTGCTTAGCAGGATGTGTGACGCCGGCGAAGGCCTGTATACCTTTCAGACCCAGGAGGGTGAGCAGATCTACCAGAGGGTGCACAGCGCCACCTTAGCCATTGCTGAACAGCACAAGCGCGTCCTTCTGGAGATGGAGAAGAATGTGAGGGTGAGCTCATGGCTGGAGGGGAGGTGGATGTGGGATGTTGGGGGCTTTCATCGCCTTTAGCCATCCCTTGGCACTGGGGATATGGAAGCGGGTGTCTCCAAAACAGCTGGTGCTTTGCAAAAACAGACCTGTACACATTCAGCGTGCTGCAGCACAGAGGCAAGTGTGAAAGGGAGGTTGGTTGGTTGGTTGGTTGGTTTATTTGATTTTGGAGCATTTGTGCTTGCCCCTCAGCCACAAAGGCTCCCAGAGCAGTTTCCGTACAATCCCTACCCATGTGCTTAACAAGCTAAAAGAATGGAGGGAAAGGAACAGGAAGAGGAAAATCCAAATCAAAACTCAGGCACCAATTTCTAAACAGTTCCAGGAACTGGATGAAAACTGATGGAACAAGCCGCCTTCTTCCCATCTCTCCCCACTGAGGCAGCTGTTGAAAGGAGAGGAGGCCTGGTGGGGCTAGCAGCTAGCCTGTCACAGCAGAGCTGACAGAGTGAGCTCTGCTTCCCAGCTCTCCACTGCAGCAATGGTTGCCCCCAGGCGGCAGTTGAGGGGATGCCTGGAGATTCCTTGACTCTTGTGACACCTTTAAAACCTCAGCCCAAACACTGAAGTTCAGTTAGTCCACATTCACCCCATGCATTAAAGCAGTATCCTGCCTCTCTAAACAGCTGCAGTTTGTTGAGGGTGCTGAGAATGGTTAGGAGACCCTTATTCCTCTCTCAGAGCTACAATTCCCAGACAGTTCCTTTGAACAGGGATTGATTGTTAAGCTACTCTGAGAATTATAGCTCTGGCAGGGGATCCTAGCAACTCTCTTCCCTTTTTACAAACTACAGCTCTCAGAATTCTTGTGGGGGGAGCCATGGCAGTTTAAAGCTGTCCCGTAGTGCCTTAAATGTACGGTGACTTTGCCAACCTGGTGCCCTCCAGATGTAAAAGGTAAAGGGACCCCTGGACTACAAATCCCATGAGCTGGTGCGAATTGCAGTCCAAAACAACTGGAGGGGCCAGCTTGGCAAAACTGTGCCCCCACCCCTGAGGTCTCATGAGGCTTTGAGAGGGGCGGCACCTTTCCATTTTGCCTCAGGCAGTGAAACAGGATGGGCTGTCCCTACATAAAACATATGAAAGATAATTGGGTTCTGGACCACCTTCCAGACCCCAGTAATTTGTTCCAGCTTCCACCCCCTGCCAATGTTGGCTGTATTATTATCTCAACTTCCCAGACTGCAGCATTCCTTACCTGCCATTCTATCTCTCCCCTGTGCACAACTCTGATTCCTAAAATCTACACTCCCCCTCCTCTTTTCCAGCTGTTGAACAAGGGCACAGAGCATTACTCCTACCCCTGCACACCAACCACCATGTTGCCACGCAGTGCCTACTGGCACCACATCACCGGCTCACAGAACATTGCCGAATCCTCAAACTACAGTGGTGAGTTTCTGCTCTATAGCGGGGGGGGGGGGGCAGATCTGGGCTTCCCCCAGAATTCAATTGTCCTGTTGTCTCCCACCCACACCCCCAAAATCTGTAGGCACTTGTGTGTTTCTGGAGCTGTGTAGGCTTTGGGGTCGGGGTGCAGGGAGTCAGCCGTTTCTCCTTATCTCTCCCCCACCCATCCCCAAAAGAAAATCTCCCCAAATCCAGCTCCTGCATTGGCTCCAACAAGCACCTCGTTGCATTACGCCTCTGTTCTGTGACCCTAAAGATTCCAAGGGTGTGCTAATAGAGCTGCAGCTGGTGTTCAGGGTTTGCGATTCAAATTTGGTGCAGTTGCTGCTGGGTGGGTGGGTGGGTATGTAGATTAAGGCCAGATCTAGCCTTTCAGCTGCCAACTGGTGACCCCTGGATTAAAGCTGCCCCTTTTTAAAAAGTTAAGATCTCGCTTTCTCGAGATCTTACAAAATCACTGGTGGTTGGAGTTTCACTTTTTTGAAAAGGGCTCTGCGTGTGTCACGTTGAATCAGAGCCTGCTTCCCTTGCTTTCAAGGAACTTAACTTCTTTCCTCCAGGGCTCTTCATCATGCAAAGCAGCACAATAATTTTGCTTCTGGTGGTGATCTGGAGTAGATCCTGAAATCTGTAACGCTGAGCTTAGACCTTTTTGTAAATAGGTTTTCACTGAAAGGCAGCTTTGCTTTAATCATCCTGCACCTTTTAAAACTTTAAAGGTATTAACCGGTGCCATTTTTAAAATTAGCTCTGATTAACATTTTTAATGTTATTTGGGTTCTTTTATGTTAATCACTCTGGGCTCTGTTTCGGTGGAAGGGCAGGATATGAAGCTAAGAAAGCAGAGAGGTAAAATAAGGCTGCAATCTTGGTTGGCCTGTGGCTTTCCAGATGTTCCCAGCATACAACACACATCATCCCTAACTATTGGCTATGGTGGCTTTGGGGGCTGATGGGAGTTCAGCAACCCCCCAAAAGACACAGGCTGGCTACCCCGGCCACACAGGTGTACCTGGGAATAAGTCCTGCCAGACTGTGAGTGGCTCACCTCAGTGGAAACATGTAGGATTGCACACTAAGCCATGTTTCTTATTTAAGTCATTTATAGTCTGCTTAGTATTGATAGATATGAAAGCAGTTCCAAGTATAAGTATGCAGCAGACACAATTTCAACAATTTAAGAAAAAAAGATAATTGAAGAGCATAGATAAACGGCATAGTATCCATTCATTGATTCATTTCATTTGTAGCTCACCATCTTCTCTGAGTTGCTCAAGGTTGGCATACATGGTTCTCTTGCCTCCTCATTTAATCTCCCAGCAACAACCCTGTGAGGTAGGTCAGGCTGAGGGCTGAGGGAAGACGGTGGCAGGCTCAAGGTCACCCAGTGACCTTCATGGCCAAATGAGGTTTTTCTGGATTTAGGATGCCTCTAGATATCAGAAAGCTGACAGGGCAACCCTCATTTGATGTCATGTTTTGATGCTGCTCTGCAGTCAATTATGTTAGATATTGTATTGGCATCTTAAAACACCATGGCCACAATCCAAAGAAAGTTAAGCACTTTTAAGCCCTATTGATTTGCACAGGGGGCCTTGAGCTCATCTCTAAATCTCTCTCTCTCTCTTGAAATCAATGGGACTGGAAAAAGTGCTTAAACTTTGGCAAGATTGTGCCCAGTGGATTTGTGTCTTTATTTGGGATGTTTCTGTGCCGTCCTTCAGCCAAAATGGTGCTCTATCTTGTGGGTCGATTCATCTATGACATAGTGCTTCTCTAGCCCACAATTCCCCGGACAGTTTTACAAGTGTACGCCTTAATTCTTTTAGAATATCAGAATACACCAACAAAAAGGCATCAAAGATGGCCTGTGTTTAAACCAGGCTTTGCCAACCTTGCTGCCTCCAGCTGCTGTGGACTGCAACTCCCATCAGCCCCAGCTAGCATGGCTGAAACAGTCGGAGGGCACCAGGTTGACTAAGGCTGGTTAAAATGACAATATAATGAGTCACTAAAAAAATTGAAAGTTATGTAGTGCATGAAGCATTCTGAATGCCTCAGATCCACTGAAATGAATGAACCTAAGTTAGTCACCCCTGCTAATTTGACTGGGTCTCCTCTGAATAGGACTAACATTATCTGCATCTCAGATACTTTTGCAATGAGCCTGTAAGATAAGCCAATATTCACGGCAGAGCTGAGATTCAAGCCAGGGGCTTCTGGGGTCACAGCTTATGCTATGTCAAATAGCCTGACCTGTCAGTCAAATTGAAACCGCTGTGTCAGAACATACATGGGTTTGTTGATCAGATTCACTTCCATCATCATTTGCTGTACAAATCTAGGGCACAACTTGCGCTTGGAATGCTTTGTGCGGTTCTGGTAGCCTCATCTGAAAGAGGATGTTGCAGAGTTTTAGAAAATGAACAAACAGAGAAGGGCAACTAACATTATGAAGGGAATGGAACAACTCATCTATGAGGAAAGTTGACAATTTTGGGGGCTTTTTTTAAGTAAAGACAAAAGATGAGTAGCGAAGGGAGCATGATAGAAGTGTGTGAAAAAGTGGACAAAGGGAAACTGAATGTTGAAAGAACTTCTTCACATAGCTCATAGTTAACCTATGGAACTCACTCCCACAGGAGGCAGTGATGGCCACCACCTTAGATGGCTTTAAAGGAGCATTGGGCACATTCATAGAGGAGGAGGCTATTGATGGTACTAGTTGTGATAGCTATGCTCTGCCTCCATAGTCAGAGGCAGCGATGTTTCTGCATCCCAGTTGCTGGAAGCCACAGGAGAGGAAAGTGCTCCTGTCTTTGAATCCTGCTTGCTGGCTTGACATAGATCAGCCGCTGCGAGGACAGGATGCTGGACTAGATGGGCCGTGGGCCTGATCCAGCAGGCTCTTCTTATGTCCTTCTTCTTAACGCCAATGCATTTCTCCAAACAGAGACGAGGTCTGCTCTCTGCCCACAGGTGACTCGTACTCGGGGCCCCAGGCCAGCTCAGAGACTGACCTCTTGAACCGTTTCATCTTGTTGAAGCCAAATGCTCCCAAAAGCGGGAAGAACGACAGCAAAGACTCCAGCTCGGCTTCACAGTGATGCAGCCCTGGATGGAGGGAGAGACCCGGGCAGAGGGCCAACTCAGCCCACAAGTGCTGTTGCTCAGCACCGAAGATTTTGTGGTCCAGTGCCTGCTCCCGCCTTTCCGGAAAGGGTTTGGGGACAGCTTTTCAGCTACAGGGGGAGAGTCCAATGTTTGCACAGAGGCTGCCCCCATGGAGGATGTTCATTGCAGAGGATCTGAGCCCTGTCAGCCTGGAAGGAACTTCAGCCAAACAGGCAAACTCCTACCAGGCCTGGGATGGAAGGAAGAGCCTGGATGTGAGGGGGAGGACTAGCTATATATTGTTAAAACTATTTTAAATATATAATATTGCTTGTGCATATTCTATATATCAAGAGATTCCCCCACTCCCCACAGGAATGCACATTTCTTTGCCATCCTGGTGAGATTTTTAAACGGACGGCGGGGTGGGTTGCCCTTTCCCTCTCTTCCGTTGGGACTGCGGCTACGAGTCCAAAGGGGAGAACTTTCAGGCGGACGGAAAAAAGTCTTCCCGAATGGTAGCCAAAGCACCAGGTTGTGCAGCAGAGGAAAAAAGCCACATGGGTCTCCTTGCGGCAGGTGGGGCTTGTTGCTGCTGACCCAGGACTTTCTGCAGAACAGCCTGGCAAAACCTTTCTCTCGCTGGACTTCGGGAGGCCAGAAAACCACCCTTCCGTGCCACAGCAGTCCTTTTGCTGGCGACAGAAGCGTTTGCCCCTGAAAAAATAATGATTTCATAGAATTGTGGAGTTTGAAGGGACCACCCCCAAGGGTCATCTAGTCCAACCCCCTACAATCTTTGGGAAGATTTGCAGATCTAAGAAAACAGAGCTTAGTTTCCACTTCTTTGAAAGGCTGACCACACACAGTTGACCTTTGTGGCAACGTCTCATGAGAAGGAGCTGCCACTTTCCTTTCCAGGTTGTGACTTCTGCACAAGCGTCCTTCCGAGGGAGCACAGGTGTGCTCTCTCTCTCTCTATCTCAGTGTGGGCTGCTTGCTTGAAGCAGGCAAGGCCCGGAAGGTCTGCACTGGGCAGGCAGTGATGGTGTTTCACTCAGTCTGTACACACGTCGGCTGTTCCTTGTGGATATTTATTGACAGCTCATTGCCTGCAAGGGGTGGGCTCACCATCCTTTTCCAACGTGGGTGCTAGATTATAGAACTATACGCACAAGCCTCCCCCAGACAAGGGCAGTTCCCGATGGATGTTTGCGGGTGGCGGGGCTGAAATAATTTGGGGCTGCCTTGTTTACCATTGGCTTGTCTTTGCTACATTCCACTAGGAAAGCTTCTCTCGCCCTTAGTTCCACCCCCAGTGATCTGCCCCAGTCTTCACCAACCCGGTGCCCTCCGGATGATTTGGACTACAACTTCCATCAGGCTGTGCTAACTGGGCCTGATGGAAGTTGTAGTGAAGGCTGGCCTGCCCACAAAGCAAAGTTAAGCTTTCTGGTAGGTTTTACATCCTAAGGGGCCCCACCCTCCACACAACCTGCCCCCCACCAAGTGTTCTCTACAAAATGGAAATCAGTTCAAATCTTCACTTGACTGGCTGCAGACAATCAAATGGTCGTCAAGGCCTTTGCTTTCCCAAGGCTCCCCTCACCCACCCACTGGGGGAAGCAGCTCCTTTCTCTGTCCTGGAAACAGCAGCAGTAGCATTGAAGGTGGGCAGCCATGGGGTTGCCAACTTTTCCACTAGCCCTTGCTGTTCTACCCTGGATAGCAACTGATCTGCAGGCCTTAGCTCGTGATGGTGCTTCCGTCAAGGCTTTAAAGTGCTTCACCTGATGACATCTCTAGAGCAGGCTGCTGACAGGAACGCACCAGGTCAGTTGGCAATCCAGTTTCCTGTCCTCCAATCCTGCCGTTCAAAAGGCCCAATGCCAACCTCTGGAACAGAGTTTATTCTTTACCTCCCCACCTCTTTTGTCCCTAGTATTTCCCAACTACCCCCAACCTCTCAAAAAAACCACCTACCCGCCCTGGCCCACTTAGAAATTTTAAGCGGAATTAGTGAAACACTTTCACAGAGTGGCTGGTTTTATTCCTATGCTGAAATTTTTTAAAGAAGCAATTGATTTTCTAGTTTTACTATTTATTGAATAACTTTGAGAAGGGCTATCTTCTTTTTATTGTAGTACAAACCTTGGTATTGTGTTGTTTTGTGTTGTTGTTGGGTTCCCCTCCCCCCCACCCGCCACCCTGTTTAAATAGCACTGGAGTTAACATCTTACAATCTTGTGCTCTGCGTGTGTAAATAACTGTATTTTTGGATCTTGTCTGTATCTGAAAGCGGGAGAGATCTCCCAGGACACCTGTGAATTGGACCAGCAAATGTCCAAGCAGCCTTGCTTCAACATTACTCCCAATTCAAAGTAGGCCAAAGTACCAGTAGGGCGGGGAAGTTGGATGAGAGACCCACAAAACTTGGGATCACTGGAGATATTCGCCCATAGTAGCGATATGTCCTGGAAGCCTTCTAACCCAGAGCTCAGTTTTGTTGGTAAAAGCTATTCCCAGTGACTGGCCCATTACATAGGAAACTGCCTTTTACTGAGTCCATCTAACTCAGAATTGTCAACACTGGCTGGCAGCAGCACTCTAAGCTTTCAGGTGGGAGACATTCCAAGCCTATCAGGTACTTCTGGACTAAAACTCCTTAGTCAAGCTGGCTGAGGCTGATGGGAGAAAGATTAACAGCAGGAGGCTCCCAGGCTGTAGCTTTTTCTAAGCATAGTTCTCCTTGAGATTTGCTGGATTCCTAACCTCAGCACAGTTTGGGGTCCTTTCTCTTATGAGAATGCATTTTCATTTGATTCCAGTGGTTTGGGTCCTCCTCTCTGGAGCAGCAGAAAACAAGCTTGTTCTGTCTTCCATGGGACAGCCCTTTAGATATTCTGAACCCCAATCCAGAGCCTCTCACTCACCTCCCTCCTTTTATCTGTCTCCTGCTCTCTTTTATGTCTGCTCACTTCTTCCAAAATAGCATCCCTCTCTTCATGCTGGGAAAGTGCTTTGCAAAAAAACATTGCCAGCATAGAGAATGTGTTCCATATGTGCAGAGGAACTACTGAGTTCAGAGGTGGGGAAACTTTTTTCTCTTTTTTTACCCCAAGGGCCACATTCTGTTCTGGGCAACCATCCCGAGGGCCACATGCCAGCATTGGGCAGGACCAGAGGCAAAATAGAGCAACGAATGAAAACGTTTACCTTAATAAAGAACACTAGTTCCTACACAGTCTGTCTTCCATTCTGGTAACCAAAAGACACCATCAATGTTCAAGGGGACATTCCAGCTAGGCAAAAACACTCAGGGTGAGATGCAGAGTCAATGAGGGAAGTGGGCTGGGGAGAGTCCAGAAGGCCAGGTAGAGAGATGTGATGATCATGGAGCTATACAGAACCCAGATCCTAATTATTAGCAAATTACACACATCACATGTCTTGCAAGTTGAGGAGATGCATGGATGCATGTTTATGAATGGGGGAGAGAAAATGTCTGCCCCCAACCAGCCCACTTTTGCCTCTTGTCCTGCCCACTCTCAGTGTGTGTGTCTCCCAATTATTCCCCACAGAAATGAGCCCTTAACCCCCAAAATGTTCCCCACCCATGGCTTAAACTAGCCTTTCCCAAACCTGGAACTCTCCAGACTTTTTGGACTACAACTCCCATCAGCTCCAGCTTTATATGACCACACTGGCTGATGGGAATTGCAGTCTAAAGCATACAGGGGGCAGCAGCTTGGCGAAGGCAGGCCTGTTTCATTGCCAAGCTGTTCGTATCACAGAGGCACCTTGCAGATACTTAGGAAACAGCCCTGTCCTCCTGCCACAGGCCACACTGGCACTCTACTGGGCAACTCCTCTCCCATAGAATTTGGGCATGTAAATCTGAAGACCCAACTCTGCCGGCCCTTTTCCTCTTGGAAAAGCCTTGGGAGGGGCAGCCAAAACAGCCTGACCTTTCCAGCATTAGGAGTCTGGAGTAGCAGGGAGCCAAGGGGGAAGAATGGCAGAGCCAGACAGCTCTGTTAATGGACTATCAGTAGGGGGGCGAGGTGCAGTTATCCCATAAATTAGTTAGTATCCTATGGAGGAGGATGTGGCATGAAGGCTGGGACATGCAAATGCTTGGACAGGCTGTGAATAGAGAAGAGGTTGGCTCAGGATTATTTGATGCACAGATTGTGGGGAGGGGGGTGTGGACGTGGGGGTTGCCAAACATGTTTTGGTTGTTTTGTTTTTTAAGATGGAACTGCTTGGTCAATAAACAAACATTACTCCCTATTCCAGTCTCAGATTATTATTATTATTATTATCATCATCATACAATTATACCGTATTTACTCGAATGTAATGCACACCTTTTTTTGCCAGATTACGTCGTGAAAATTAGGGTGTGTGTTAGATTCAATGGCGCATTGTATTATACAATAGACGATAACAGTTTAGAGAGAATGATACAATGGGGTGTGAATGAGAGGGTGCTGACCCTTTGAAACCATAGTTGCTTCAGTTTCTCAAGGACAAAGGGATGCCGAGACACTAGCACCTCAGCCCCTCTTAAATGTCTGGCTAAGACGGATTGACTTGTGTCTCTGTTATGAGCTGGCTATGAAATCACTGTGATGGTTTTGCTTGATGAGCTCCATAAGCAACAAAAGGATTGTATTGTTAATTGTCTAGAATTTCCAGCCTTAAAAATGTGACACCCATTAGAGCTGGGAAGGGACACAGAACCAGAAGCAGTTTTGGTTTGAATCACAATGCAGGGAGATAGAAGTTTTTTAACCAGGCTTGAAGAGGCCTGTGAGCTCTCTAGAACTATTGGGATTTTATTTTATTGATTTGATGTATATCCCATCCTTCCTCCAAGGAACTCCAAGTGGCATTGTTCCCCCCACATCCCCATAAAATCCCCCACAACAACCCTATGAGGTAGGCTTGGCCAAGAAGCAGTGACTGGCCGAAGGCCACCCAATGAGCTTCATGACGGAGTAGAAAAAGAAAAGCACTGACTCAAGTAATATTAAGCCTTGAGTCCAACACAACTAGATTAACATAACCGGCAGCTGAATTGCCTCCCTTGATGTTCAAAGTGACTTGAGACAACATTCTGTGACAGCTCGTTCACTCACACAGGGCATGAAAATGTGTGTGCATGTATCAGTCCTTCCCAAAATAGCAAAACTTGCATTTGTTGTACCATTACTGTGGATCTTCTGAAATCTCAGATGATACTGTTTATGCCAAAAGACTGAATGAATCTCAGAATGAAGAAGCTGCAAACTGTTACACAGAAGGCAGTTTGAATTTTTATTATTATTAATTTACAGACATGTCAGTGTCCAGGAACAGAGAAAATTATACATTTGCAATAGAACTCTGATGGCTATTCGATAGCTGGGCTTTCAAGCTATAGTTGCCATCAGCTTTCATGCAAATAGTCCTGGAAGAGAACTGAAAGCAGTGACAAAACATCAACAGAAGCCTACAGTGATGATGTGATCCTTCCTGAGCAGAAATGTATTGAGAGTTGGAGCAGAACCACTAAATTTGGCACCGTGCTGGCCATGTCTCCCAATGATGCAGCAACCTCTGAGTCAGACACATAGATAGCAAATGTGGGGGTGAATGAAAGCAAGACACTTTTGGTTACCAACTTTCATTCACATAATCTTCTAAAAATGGACCCTCCCTAATTATTAGTTTTTGCTGACTGGGTCAAGCATCAGGAGCGGCATCATCACCAGAAAACCAGGTTGTGACATTTACACAGCCCAGGAAAAAAGGTTCTCACGCTAGGCTGACAACCTTTAATGTGTGTTTTAATAGTACTAGAAAAATTGTGGAAACAGTTTAAACTTCTTGCGATGGGATTCCTCCTCTTTTTGGGTCTTGGAACTCCCTCTCCCAACTCTTCCATCTTATCGACGTTGGTTCAGTCCTGTGAGATTCCTTATCTGTTTGGTTCACAAATAATATGTCATTAAATATAAGGCCAATGAGAAAATTACTTGCTGCAAAGAGGCAGCATAGGAATATGCCACTGCTCCTTATGACTGGGAAAGGTAACTCTAGCAAGCTGTGGTTTTCAAATGGCATTACAGGGAAGGAGTCCCTCATTGAGAATAAGATCAATAAGGTGAGCAACCTTTTCTGAAAAAAAGCTTGCCCCCACCCCTTAACAAAATTTCTCTGAAACATGCACCATGTGTTTCAGGGCATGTTCCCATTCACTTGGGATGGAAAGTGAGGCCCAAATAGGCCTGTCAGTACTCTGGAGGACATGAACATGTTGCCCCAAAACATACACCAGAACCCTGCATAACACACACAGATAGCTTGGCAGGAAAGTGGACTGGGAAGATAAAAATTGGAAGGCAACAGCTTTCAAGGAAGGGCATCGGGCAGCAACAGATTATAGAGAGAATTCCTACATTTCTTCTGGTTGCTCACTAACTAACCAATTTAACATTTTATTCTGGATTTGTTTAACAAAATGTATATGCTGATGGATTTGTAAAAAACCTCTAAGCGGTTTAACAATATATAAAACAAAACACTGAAAATATCCATAAAAACAGATATTTAAAATATAATTAAAATCAACTATAGCAAAAAATAAAAAATACATGTCGATATTCTACATGGCTGAACAGGCTTACCTAAACAAACATGTTCTACGCAGGCACTGAGGGTATAGGGAAGGTGCCTGCCTAATACAAATAGGCAGGGAATTCCAAAGTTTATGTGCTGCCACACTAAAAAAACCAATTTCTTACAAATGCTGCTCAAGTATTATGTGGCTTCTGTAACAGCTCCAGTTCTGCAGATTGAAGCAGCTGAATAGGCATATATGAGTAAGGCGATCCTGCAAGTAATTTGATCCCAAGCTGGCTTTATATACCTCTGCTGTTTGAAGGATTCTTGAGTAATGAAAAACATTGTGCACAAACGCATCCATACAGATTAAAATGGGAAATTCTGCAAGTAAGACTACCTCGCAGATCCTCTCTTTTTTTAAAAAAAAATAATCATACAAGCAACCATTTCCCTTTGCATTCCTCCACATCCATTATTGCATCCATAATTTTCCGGGGGGGGGGGGAGCTGTTTGGTATGCAACAACCTGAGGAAATCCTATGTCTGGCATTACTTACAGTGACAGCAGCACCCATCAGTCCCTGGACAAGGGCTTCTCCTGTTGCCTGAACCTAGGAAACAAACACAGGCACTGAGATATTCTGCTTTGTGCTGGTTTTGCATTGGTGGGCCAGCCCAATATGGAAAGGCTGTAGCTCAGTGGCAGAGCATCTGCTCTGCATGTAGAGTGAGCCATGTTCAGTTTCTGACAGGGCTGAGAAAGAGTCCTGTCTGACTCAGCATAAGGCTGCTTCCTAAGAGTTATTCTACAGTGATAGAGCTGACAGCAAGTACATGCTATTTGGCCGGAAGTATCTGTAGAAACCTGAAACGGCACTACAGTGACATGCAATCTTAGGATCTCAGCGGGATCCAAAGACCTGCACGTATACAGCAAACACCAGGCACAATTGAAACAAACGCAATTGATTAACATCACAGCAGCAGCTCCAGCACTAACAAAAGACTTGCTTAGAAATCTCCAGGAAGATTTTCTAAGCAAATTAGTCCGATTTAATTCAGAGACCAATAAAGTGTATCGCATTGAGTGCCACTTCTTCTCCTTAATGTGAATAATTAACTTACATTCTCCACCAGGGCCTGTATGAGAGCGAAGCATTGCAAAGTTATGAGAAGCTGCACAGATGGATTGACTGCAACTATGTGGGTGATAATGTAATGGTTCTTTCCAATGCTATCACCACAGCACGTAGGCAGGGCCTAGTATGTGCCACCAGAGCCTTTTCATATGTTGCACAGATGGGGGTAGTGCTAGACTTTGCCCGGCAATCTGTGTACCTGTCTGAAAAACGGTTCTGACTTTGTCAGCAAAATGCTGCGTGTTTTTAATGCAGGGGTGTAGAATCTTTGGCCATTTCCCCCCCAAACTACACCCACATGCCCCCTCACATCTGATATCCTATGCAATGTCAGGGGCAAGTAGGTAGAGACCTGGTTGCCAATGCACATTAAGGAGTCTTAAAATGCACTCCTAATTGGCAAGGCAAAGCAGGTTTCAGCTCAGCCAAAGGGGGACCTACGACCTGGCGGCTGCTTAATTACATGTGACCCTCCAAACACTGCAGGTCTACTCTTGTTCTCTTTGCCATCCCTCTGGGTATCACTTCCCCATATATGTCAGGTGTATGTGTGTGGGAGAGAGACAGAGAGAAAGAGACAGTGTGTGCCAGGGGAAAATACCATAAATGGGACAGAGCCAAAATAGAATGAGCAATGAAAAGGGTGGGGGGAGGGGAAAGACTGTGACAAACAATTAGTTCCAACCTGTGGGAGAGGGTGGGAAACAGAGGAAAGATGAAACAAAGAGTGATGGAGGAGAGAGGGGGAGACCTATTAAATCCTGTGATGCTGCAAATTCCAACCACTTTGGCTCTGGCCCCTAACAAACTAGCCCTGAAGAAATGCACCCTCAGCAAACAGGATAATGGTTCCCTAACCCTGGACTAAGGGATGGGGAACTGGTGGACTGGGCTTGGTCTGCCAGAGCTTCTTCATCTGTGCATCCCAGACTCCAGGGTCTCTCTTCTCACTTTAAGTCTCTCACATTCCCCTTGCTGCAATGTAATCACAGCCACAAGGTGAACCAGGTAGACAGGACAAGAGCACTGCAGGCAGACAGGCCGGCAGGCACACCAACAAAATGAGACACCTGAGCATAATGACTAGACTGGAACATCTTTCCAAAAGGCACTCTAGCTACAGCACTCTGTTGCCATGCCTCTGACCTCACATGCATGCCTACCACTCTCTCTCTCTCCTCCATCTCTCTTGCTCTCACCATGATCAAACTGCAGCCACGAGAAAAAATGAGGGAGATGGAAAGAGAAGGCAGAGAGAGCTGGAGGCAGGCAGATAGGTACATAGGGAACTCTCATAAGATAACAGCATGTGGAGATTGAAGCAGTGCCATCTGAGGAGAAGTGCCTGCCTGCCTCCAGCACTCTCATCTTTCTGATGGATTGTGGAGAGGAGAATGAGAGAGAAACTTCAGGTAGGCTTTGGCCCATCCACTTCAGCTGCCACTATGAGTGTATATACATGAATGGTTGTATCCACCTATGTTTTACTTAGAGCTGAAATTAATGGACTCTAGTTAGTCACTTCCATTAATTTCAATGGGTCTACCCAAAGTATGACTAGCATTGGATAAAACCTGTCATAGGACCTCAGGACTGTGCGCATGTTCTTGTGGAACACCCAGGAAAAATTGAGGATTATGGAGGCTAGATTGGTGCACTGGGCAGAGAGGAGTGAGCCAATAGCCAACAAAATGGTTGGTTTGGGGCTATAAAAGGCACAGTTCTCTTCCCCACACCCATCTCCCCAAATCTGAATCCATGAAAACTTGCTTCTAGAATTCCCAGTAGCTCTACACAGAACACTGTGTGACAGCAGCTAAGCATTAAATCTCCTAAATTAGACTAAGAATACAATTTAGCATTCATAAGATGTAACAATCAATTAAAAAAATATTCTGAACCCAAATCCTAATTATTTGCAAAATATGTGTGTCATAAATGTTTAGAGGTATGTGAATGGATGGATGTGTGAATAGTTGTATGTTTGCAAATGGGGGAGATGGATGAACGGATGTTTATGAATGGAGCAGAGGCAAAAAAAAGGTGCCTTCCATTAGCCCACCTGACTCTTGTCCTACCCACTTTCCCCCCAAGCGAATGAGTCCTTAACCCCATAAAGGTTCCCCACCTTTGGCTTAAACTGGCCTTTCCCCAATCTGGTGCCCTACAGAAGTTATGGTTTACAACTCCCATCAGCTCCAGCATTATATGACCAAGCTAGCTGGGGCTGATGAGCATTGTAGCCCAAAAAAAAAATGGAGGACAGCAGGTTGAGGAAGGCTGGCTTTAACAGTCACGTGAAGTTACTTCTGGGGTTTAAACACACACATATGAAAGTATGACCAAAGCTACAGTTCACATGTGCCACAGAAGACTGTGCTGTTTATAAATGGATTATTAAGGCATCACCTGCTTAGCTGTGTGCCCCATGTTCATGGCATCAGCTATTCTGTTTTGTAAGAAGGACCAAGTCTCCTCAAAGTCAGGAGAGGAGTCCTGAATCATCACTAGCTCTGTAGTGTTGTAAATGCCAGCAAGCACTGCTCGACGAGTGTACCAGTTTATCTGTAAGGGTAGAAACCAAGAGACAAAGTTACATGAGTACCTGTAAGAAATTAAGACTTCACAGGCTATACCAATATGAAACTATCCCATCCATGACCAGTAGACATAGCACTTAAACCCTGCATTATTATTATTTTTAAACCTAGATTTCTGTGACAAGTGAACCCAAATTATTCACCAAGAATTGCTGGATTCTGCAATGAATTCTGTTGGGAGCTGCCCAGAGCGGCTGAGGCAAAGCTGTCTGATGGGCAGCATATTACTATTATTATTAAAACTCAGCAAATGTAGAGCTGTGTGATTATTTTGTGCTGAAGCATCACTCCTTCCTAGGACTGACGGATGAAAGATTCTAGTATGTAAATGGGACCCAGCAGATTTTCACGGGTCTCTATTGCACAGCTCATTTATTTCTACAGACTACTGGATCACAGCCCAGTGCAAAATCTCTGTATTCACCATCCTAGCTTTAAAAACACCACCAACCACCACTGCTGAGCTGAAAAACAAACTGGCCTTGCTCCATGTTAGCCTAGTAACTAGCCCCAAAGCACGAAGTTCAGTCAAACTAGCTGGTAAACCAGCCGCATGAAACCCCACAGACAATAAATGTTGAAGGTGTCACAATATTCTGTCTTTTTATTGCAACATACAAGGACTACAATCCTATGTCTATTTATATGGAAGCATATTGCATTGAACTTGGTGGTACTTACTTTTGTATACATATGTTCAGGATTTCACTTAAACAATTAAACAACCCTCTGAAAATAATTCGGCACATACCTTCTAGTAGAATAGAAATTTTGCCCAAGAAATCACCCCAGTACCTGTCTATCAAGCATGTAAACCAGGGATTAACACAAAAAAACACAAAAAGGACAGTCGGGATCCTCCAGATCAGCAAAGTAGAGATTATTATTGAACCAGCATCTGTTTGGGGCATTAATCAGTTCACAGGTTACATAAAACTATGTTAGGCACACCACAGCTGAGAACCAATTACTATATCATTCAGCCTGTTGAAACTTCAAAAAACATGTCACTCAAAATCCATTATAACAAACGACATTCTCCTATTTCTTTTTATCATTTCTCGAACTGTCGTTAACCAAAGTGGAAAACTGGATTCTTTTGCAACTACCTAATGAACATATCTGGTGCCAGCCACAATAGTTGCAATTAAGTCCTGCCAGCAACGCAAAGATACTTTTCCAGTTTCCAAGAAAGCTCGGGGGGAGGGGGAGAGGGAGAGGGAGAGGGAAGAAAATTAAGCACTATTTGTAAGGCTGAATATTTTAACAAGTTCATCCACAATTTGCATACTCCAAAAAGATCCTTAGTTTCCTGGTGTGAGCACTGTCTTTTATTTGGCTTTCTGGTTTATTCCTTTAATTTGTCTGTGTGCTACTTATTTGTCACTGCAGTGGCTGCTATTTTATCCTCACACAAGTTTATTAAAGTCATTCATTAACAAGACCCACTAAGCTTTTCCTACCCCTTACTTATGTAAACGCAATAGGTCAAGTAATTCATTAATTGCTTTAATTAAGATATAATTTACTTTGCTATTATTTCCTGCCAGAAAGTTGATGGCTCTCATAAGCACTGGGTATTTTTAGGGAGCTGCTTACGAGTTTTCAAAGAACATCCATCACTTTCTGTTGTCCCGGCTGGAGGTGGGATACTGAGCAGCAGAACTGTGGCAAATGGCCAGTTCAACTCTGTGTGTGTGTCACTTAAATAAATACATTCCACTTTGTTTCTTTCTATAAAAGGAAAACAATTTTATAATTAAAAAACCTTACACAGTACTGTCAGCTAATATTCTGTCAGTTTCAAATATATCCAGTTCTAGAAGTGCTGTCTGCTTTGATTTGGTTGTTTTAGTTTGCATTATTATGTTTCTTTTAATAATTTTTATAAGGCTTTATTTTCTCACCTTAGGTGTCTTCAAGAAAAATGATATATAAACATTGTAACTCAAGTCTGGTTTTTGTTTTAATTTAATGACTGGGCACACCACTAAGCAGAGGGCCAGTGAGAGCCCAGTCACCCATTATCCTTACCTGCCCAAACACACTTGGATGAGCTGCATATTTAATTTTAGCTTATGCAGACTGACGATATGTACAAGGTGCTTGCAACTCTATGCCCAAGCGAATGGCCTCTTGAGCCCTGCCCTTGTTGCTTTATTAAAACTAGCAGAGGGGATCTGATTAGCTGGGTGGGATTAATGAGTCACTGTGTGAGGCAGTAGTCCCCACCACTATGAAACAGGCAGCAGTGCAGCCACTTCTAAAGAAGCCAGCTCTCTATCCGCTGGTTTAGTCTGAGCTAACTACCAACCAGTAACAAATACCCACTTTTAAGGAAGGTAATGGAGAGTCGTGGCAAGGCAGCTGCAGGCACTCTTGGCTTATATGGATTATCTAGTCCTGTTTCAATCTGGGTTCAGGTCTGGTCATGGGACCCTGATGCATGATCTTTATCGAGAACAGAACAAAGGGAGTGCAACTTTGCTCTTTCTCAATCTTGCTGCAGCTTTTGATACCATCGACCATGGTATCATCCTAGATCAGCTCCATGGTATGAGTATGGGGGGCCCTGTGTTACAATGGTTCTGATCCTACCTACAGGGCTTTTTTGGACCCTTGGCACTTAAGAGCTGTATCCTCCTTGTGTCCTCCTTTTTCAGCGAGTGACTGTTGCTAATGCAATAAAGAGGGACTATCATAACCCCAAGCTCTTTGGAAACCAAAATCCTGAAAGCTTTTTAGCACTGCAAGTGTTTGAACTGTGTAATTTCCCAAGCACAGCCCAGAATGTATTTATCATGCAAGCTTTCCTGTTGCTCCCCAAAGTCCTATCAACATCTGTGTCATGCTCAGACTTACATCGGTGGACTGGTCTCCTGCATAGTGCCACATGTCATCCACCATGCTCGTCAGGAGGTTTAGGCTGGCTGGGATATTGTGCGGCAGCAACAGCACACTAATAGCCTAGGGAGAAGTAAAAGCCAGATAAATTAATGAGGCAAGGAGAAACACTCTTCACCACACTTTCCTCCCCTCTTTTCCATACACCTTTTTTTTCATCTGCAGCAGGAGTAATCCATCATGTTTTTGGACGTCTAATCAACCCCAGATAGCATAGCCAATGGTCAGGGGTGAGGGGAGCTGTAGTTCAGCAACATCTGGAGGGCACCATGTTGGCTATCCCTGCTATATAAGTCTTCCCAGTACTGATTCCTTGCCATTTCTGCATACATCATAGCTTCAACTCTCGTGCCTGTGCCCATCTTATGGGACAGAAAACATTGATAATGCTTTTTATTACTGTAAGAACCTAGCAATGGCAGCCACCAGAGCCCTAAAGCAATTCACAGAGAAATCCAGTTCAAACTTTGATACCGGGGCAATCTAACTCAAGCTTGAATTTCCTATCATACTTGAATAGGAAAAATAAATTATGGATATGTTTGCTATTTTGTGATTCCAAGAAGATGACTGCTACTAAAGGCCCTTAGGATCTGAAAAAGTGAAAAGAATTGCTTCCCCACCCCGCACTCCGGTCAGGTTACCATCTCTCACCCTAATCAACATGAGAGCACTGTTGACTGGATAAACAGAGACAGGTACAAGCAGCTGAGGACAGAGGGTGAAGAAAGAGCCATTGAGTGGAAGGGGCCCTCTTTCCATCCTCTGGACCCCCTGGAAAGCTGAATAAACCTGCTGTACCTGGAACTGGGTGTGGAGAGTGGAGCTGAATGGGACACAGCCATGGGCAGCTTCAGGAAGTATCATTCACCTTGGACCCACCCAGAAATCTGGCCCGCCAGTCGATTTAATCTGGCCCCTAAAAAAAGCTCAACAACTTTGGTTGGCCCTCACACATGTTCATTTCATCAAATCTGGCCCTCTTTGAAAAAAGTTTGGTGATGTCTGCTGTTTCCAGGAACTCTTCTCATAGTGAGACTTTTGTGGGTAAACTGAGTTTGTTTGGTCCCTGGATGAGAACTCGGAGGCTGAGAGGGTGGTGTGTGTCAGAAGGGAAATGAATTGATACTGATTTTTATATATTATATATATTATTTTTTATATTAGAATAATGTAACATTTTCATATGTAACTGTATTTTTTTGAAATATTTTGTTTAAGTTGTCGCTTCAGTTTTCTGTACACCACTTAAAAATATTTTAAATATATTAAGTGGTACATAAATTAAATAATCACTCTTCCTCTAAGGAATTTGGGGGGACAACAACAACAGCAAGGGTGATCTGCAACTCAATGTTGTAGCATATCCCTGCCCTCCATAACAAGTGCTTCTGTTCAAGGTTCCATCCATCCTAGAATAGCAACCTAGTAGTGCTACTCATGCCTCAAGGGGGAGAGGGACAGCTGTTCAGGAAGGGAGAAGGGGGGGGAAGACACTTTATTTCCCCTCCACTCTTCCAATACCTCCCTAATATGTGGAAATCCCTACTTTAACGTCAACCACCTGGCTTCCCAGGGAATTATAAGAAATATACCAATTCTGCTATACAAAGCAATGAACATAGGTGACACTCTCAAGGATATCCCATGTTTTCAAAAATAATGTTAGGTTTGTACCTGGGGCCATTTTTCAATATATGGAATCAACATTCGCAGCCTGGCCTCCAAAGCATCCTTCAGAAACTGGTCTGTCTTCTTCTTCCTTTAAAAGGAAAAGAGCATTTATTGTGATTTTATTCTTTAATCAAAAATTGGTAGCAAGATGCATTAGGGAAACTACCTCACAAGTGTCCATGGTTAGGCTTTCTGTGTCAACATACAATTGTCACCTGTTGTGTTTCTGCCTGAAATGATGGCACAATAACTAACCTCCCACAGCAGCTGTGGTGACCAGTACTCACTCTGCTTGACCGAGCTGCACCAGTTTGTGTTGCTCCTCTAAAAGTTCAGTCAGCTTGGAGTTACACTGTGCTACAAAGTGCAGGATCAGTTCGCTGCCATCATTGTGAAAGAGCCCTGCTGCAGCAACAGAGAGACCCAGTGACTAAAAGGAAGAAGGGAAACAGGTTGAACAAGTAAATTACCCAGGAGCCAGAAAGCAGGCAATACTGTTCTACAGCCTGTTTGGTACAAGCATGCCAAGCAAAGCAACAATGCTGTGGCCAACACTGTCGTTCTACATTATGGCCCTATCTCATGTGCAGAGTAGCTTTCATGCTGCTGTTAAAACTCAGGCAGCTCTGCTCTACACTGTAGGTTTTTAAGGATCCTACAGCTAATCCCTCTGCATTGCAATGATATCATCCAAAAACATCCTCCAAATTACTGTTTTCCATCTGCAGAAAGTAGAAACATAGATTCCTAGAATGTAGGAGCCCTCAAGGCAAGACGTACGTCATGTCTTGCATGTGCTTTGTTGGTAAGGACCCATTGTGGCCAACAAACTTTAAAATGGGTTAACTGCAATGGCTCCCCACCAGGCAACTCTCAGAGTTATAGCTCTGCAAAGTTTTAAGTTCTTTGTCGCAAACCTCTCAGCACCCACATAAAATAAGAATTGTTCTGGGACCACCATAACAGTTAAAAACTGACTAAGGCTGTAACTCTAACTCCTCTTACTTGAGTTTAAGCCCCACTGAATTCAACAGAATTTACTTCTGAGTAGACATGGTTAGCATTGCTGTGTTTAGAACCTCATGCAGATGCACCCTGCACCTCTTAGCACATCAGTCCTCTTGATAGCTACCTTGGCTCCCTCTGCAATAGCATCTGCTGTCCAGCCATGAGTGGGGACAAACTCCAGAGCTGCTGTCAGGATTTGATGCTGCAGCTGTTCCTCACTTTCATAGCCCTCTGATTCTTCACCTCCCTGATCCGTGTAACTAGGAGAATAAAAATACAAAGTCACACCCTCAAATACCAATTTTGGTCTTCCATATTGCTTTTCCATTGCCTTCATAATTCCTGCCAACTTAAAAGCTGCCCCCAGTTTCCTGTGCTCAAACTTTTGCTTGCTCAGTGTACACAATGCAAGTCTGTTAATATTTACAAGGGCATTGATGCCTCCTCTGATAAATCCAGGGATCTGCTCATCACAAGATCAGTATGGATTTTGTGGGGGCAGTAAAAGAAGACACACTGCAATGCTGCTCACGTCATCCTGGGATTACAGGCATGGGAAGGAGACGCCAACTTCAAAAGAACTCACAGGAACATGCCTCCCCAAGGATGCAGAAATATCACATTGTGCTTGCAATACAAAGCATTACGCCAGAACTGGTTGTGAGTTTGTGGGAAATGAGATCTCTCAGAGCTTTAAGTGGTGGTGGGAGAATGCAGTTTACCTGGGGTGTAAGTGTGGATGCTCTTGATCATGCTGCTCCCCCACTGGCTCTGACTCCAAATGCTGCTGGGTGGAAGACTGTGGGGGCTGTTGTTTCTGCTCATCTGACACTCTCCGCAACACAGCTGCAGACTGAATGGCACGTTGCACTGGGTATAGCTGGCGTCTGAAGACTGAAACAGAAACCAGTTCAGTAAGACAAACTATTGTCTTTATTAACCTCATCAACTTCATTTTTGAAGTACAGTTATAAAAATTTAGAATCAAAGCAACCCAATGAGACTAGCCAGTGAGATAGGAATGCCTGGTACCAAGAGAGAATGGCTTATTCAAGGCTACCTTCTAAATTTGCAAGGATGAGCAGAGATTTGGACCTAAAGTAAGCCTATATGCTCTAGTCCTCTCAAAAGGGCTGGGTTCTGTTTTTACAACACATCACTGATACTTCAAACAAGTATTACCTTTGAAAGCCTCTTTCCTAACATGCCAAAAGAAGTTAGCCAATGCAAGTGGCACGTTAGCCAATAATTGCCCCATACCCAGATTACACTGGCAATTATCTATATGTTTGTCAGTCCAGGCAAATATGCTTTTTCTTTGATTGTTGCAGAAGGACATATTTCTGTTCAGTGAAATTGAACAAGTGAATGTGCTGAGTTGCTTTATGCCACTGCAAAAGTCTGGGTTAAAAAAATAATCATTTGCTTGTGAGTATGCAAGAAACTTGGTTGGTTGGTTGGTTAGCTTTGTTGGCATGTCCATCAGGCCCCTTCAGTGTAAGTTCCTGCTCCTTGGTGAACAGATCAGTAGACATTTGGATAATGCATATATGTAGACACAGATATTCATCTGAAGCCATACTCCAAGTAATCAAATTAAAGCTGGTATTTGCATCATAGACCCTTTAGAAACTCAGAATTAAACTTGCCCAGGAAGTCAAAACCTTACCCTTCATCCAAATTCAAGAGGCATTCTGCACACCTTGATGAAGTGGTGTGCTAGACTACAGCTGTGTTCAAATCCCCACGCAGCTATGAAGCCCACTGGGTGATCTTAGGGGCCAGTCACTACCTCACAGGGTTGTTGTGGGGATTTGAATGAGGAGGGGAACAAAACCATGCGTGCCACCTTAAGCTCCTTTGTGGAGAGGGGAAGGTGGGATATAATTGCAACAAATAAATATGAATAAATGAAACAAATTATTTTATATAGCCCAATTTTAGCTATGGTTTAGCGTTCAAACCAGGTGTAAAGAGGCTGAAAGCAAATAAATAAATGATTTCTCATTTTGATTGTACATGATTAGTAATAATAAATACATGAGCAACAAACACAAGCCTGACAAGGGTTGAGTTTTGGAGGGTTCAGAAATCCCGGTGGCTCTTTCTCTTCCCTGAGCGTTATTTAACACAACAGCGTATAATGATTGCATGAACTGCGCAAATGAGCCACAATTAATCGCCTCCCCGGCCCCTCAAGGCGAGTTCAGGGGCGTCCTTGCCCCTTGGGTGCCACTTGCCCTTCGCCTCACCTTTCCCCGCCCCGCCCCACAAACCCCGCTCAGGCCCCGGCCGCAGGCTCCGTTTCCCGGGCGCGGAGGGAGTGGGGGGTTGGCAGGCGGCCCCCTCCCTTTCTCGCCCTCAGCCGCCGCCCGAGCTGCTCCTCACCCGCTTGGCAGCGTAGCAGCCCCCAACCCGCTCGCCTCAGACTCGCCGCGGCCGCCGCCATCTTTACAGTGGGCCAGAGAGCAATAAGAAGCGCCTTGGAGCGGGAAGCTCGAAGGGGCAGCCGCCATCTTTGGGGAGGGCAAACAGGCAGTGGGAGGAACCGCCCCCGCTGGCAGGCTTCAAAGAGAGAGAAACTGGAGCTGTAGAATAGAGTTGTCTTTATAATCCACACTTCCGGGCTTTACTGGCTTTCCGCTGCAACTCACATTGCAGGCTATAGCTGCGTTGCATCACAGACAGATCATTGCTTTGAGAGACTTTTTATTTTTACAATCAAGCGGTGTATAAATTTATGAAGTAAATAAATATGCCTAGGAATAGTGTGGCACCACAATGCTCCCTCAGAACGCAAGGAGCTACCTGTTTCCGCCGCCCCCCCCCTCAGATAATTGTGGGATTCCAGCTCCCAGATCACCCAGCCCAATCAATGGCCAGGGGCGATTTTAAAAAACACCCCACACTCATGACTCAGAGAATCATGGACAATGGCGGCTTTTGGAAAATTCAGTCTTGTGTTCCTCTTCTATTCCCCGCTCCCCTCTCCTATCTCTATGTTTCACAAATGTCCGCCCCTTGGCCGCCATCTTTGGAACGGGCAACGGGGCGTCAGGAGCCGCTCTTTAATTGCTCACCGCCATCTTTGCAAAGGGCAGCTGGAGTGGGGGGCGGGCTTAGCTAAGGGCCGATCGAGAGCTCGTGACGAGTCGGGAAAGGTCCGTCCCGAGCGGCTGGAAAGAGGAGGCGGCCGCTGCTGCTGAGCTCGCGGCTCCGGGAAGGAAAGCGGGAAAGGCGGTACGTGACGAGACGCGGGCGGGGAGGGGCAGCCTGGGCACGTTCTCTTCCCCTCCTGCGCTTGAAATGGGCGAGGGTCTTCCTCGCTGCCCTTGGGTCGCCTTTAGACCTTTGCCTAACGGAAGGCGTGGGTCGTCGTCGTCGTCCACCCGGCCCACACAGACGCACGCGCGAATTGCCCCGAGGCCGCCCATCTCCCCGGCACTTGGGCGGCTCGTGACGTCACTTCGGCCCTTCCCCGTTTGGTGGAGGAGGAAAGAGAAGCCGGGGGGGGGGGCTTGAAGGAGCTCGAGGTGCCATGTACATGGTTCTCTCTCCCCCATCCCCATTAAAATCCCCACAACAACCCTGTGAAGTAGGCCAAACTGAGAGATTGGCCGTGCCAAGGTCAGGTCAGTCTGTGGCAGGGTCAGGATATGAATTTGGGTCATTCAGCTTCTAGTCCAGCCTTTGCCAAGCTGGCCCCCTTCCAGGTGTTTTGGACTCCTGCTGAGGCTGATGGGTATTATAGTCCCACATGCCTGGAAGGGACAAGGTTGGCGGACCACTCCCAATACTTTTATCAGCTGTGCTGCTCTTCAGTCGCTGCCACCTCCTCACTAAGTAACTTCATATATCCCCATCCTCTTTGGTTCACCAGAGAGCGTCCTTCAGTTTCTTCTTGGGATTATATCTTTCCCCTCCTGCCTACCTAGTCATTGAATTTAATTGCAGCCTTTCTCACCATAATAATTGTTGCCTAGCCCAAAGCATACTCAGGTTCAGGTGCCAGGCTACAAAGTTCTTGCAATGGCCAGCTGGAATGCAGCCATTTGAGGAAAAGGAACCCAAAGTTGCTGGTCTTTCAGCAGAGGTGATAGAGAAACCTCACAAAGGTGGTCTTTCTGCAGCAGCAATGGAGAGGCCCTACAGTCGCAGCCCTCCCTTGATAGAACTGCTGAGGGATGTGATAGCTGAGGGAGGAACCTCATGGAGAGGCCCTGTAGGTCTTTTTGAAAAAATGCATCACCCTCCCAGTTTCCATAAAAGACTCTTGCTTTTCAAGTTGAGTAGCTCAGTTTCCGTGTGGTAAGGATGGTTCATTTGAAGCTGGCCACAGCTGAAAGTGCAGAAAGAGAGCAAAAAGTCTTGAGATGGATCTTTAAAGAGGTGTGTATGATTGAACTCTTTACCAGGCCCAATTACTTTCAGCAAAAAGGAGAGAACCTTGGTGGAAATGGAAGACCCTGATCAGTTGATGTGCAGACATGGTCTCACTACTTGCTACCCACTGATTCTAGACTTATTACTCCATTTTTATTGGTTGCTTAAGATCTGCTTATCTGTTGTCGAAACAAAATAAAAAAAAATCCTTCCAGTAGCACCTTAGAGACCAACTAAGTTTGTTATTGGTATGAGCTTTCGTGTACACGCACATGTTTTGAAACTCTTATCTGTACCATTTGGGGGAGAGTAGTGCCTTCTACAGATCCGTGGTTCAAATGTGTGCAGATGAGATAAGAATAAAGAAATTTTCTACCTCTGTGTTCTCTAGATCTTGGTAACAGTGCTGAAACTGAAAATAGAAGCAAAGTCCTCTAAAATGAAACCATCTTTTGTAAGGAATCATACCGTTTGGGGAAACTGGCTGACACATTCTCTTTAGAGCAATACTGCCAATATTAACAGCCAGGAAATCTCCAGAAATTCCTGTTGATTTAAGTCTCTGTTCTTCGACGCTTAATGTACTGCACTTTGTCAACGTTGGTGTTTTTTTGTTTCTTTCAGGTTCTGCATTGTTTCAGACATGGCTGCTCATGGGATCTCCATGGGCCAGCAAGTGGCAGTGATTTGGGATATGCACTCTCCTGCTGAAGCGCTGCAAAGTTTTGTGCAGAACATCCAGGCTGCTGTTGGAGTTGAGGGTCATGTATCTGTAGAAAATATCAACCAGCTGCTCCAATGTAAGTGTTGAAAAAGTATTCGTTGCCGTGTTTGGTTTTAAGGTCTCATTGTAGCACTGAACCAGTACATGTTGGACATCATAGAATTTTGTGTGTAGAGAATGAAACAGCACTGAGCTCCTTGTTAAGTCACTAACAGCCTGAGAAAAGCCCTTGCTGCTCTTGTGCCATGGCAAAGTTGCCAAACAGGGATGGGGTAGTGACTGCTGTCTCTTTGCCTGCCTGTCAGGCTGCTTGTGACGCACAGCAATGACATTCTGTACAACATGGGAATAATTTGTGGCCATGAGAAGGATGTTGTCCTTTTCTTAGAATACCTGGTTTTTTACCATACAATATGTGAATTGCCTAAGTGACCTGATTCTGACTGCAGCGTGCAGAGGCAAAGAGACAGCCAGAATAACGCATTGAAGCCTTGTGTGTAGCAATCTCAAGAAATCTAGAAGTTCTGTTCAGTGACTGACTCAGTAAGAGTTTTCCAAGATTACCACTTAAAATGGCTTTGAAAAAATACTGCTGAGGTCATGGTGTAAAACCCCATCAGTTATGATGGCATGCATATGTATGTAGAGGGATAATGTGTTCTCTTCTTTTAACTCTTCAGCATCCCATAAGGAATCCAGTTTTGATGTGGTTCTGTCAGGCCTCTTACCTGGCAGCTTGACTGTGCATAGTGCAGAAGTACTGGCTGAAATAGCTCGGATAGTCAAGCCAGGGGGCCGTGTCCTTCTGAAGGAAGTAGTGACAACAGAAACAGGTAAGGGGGTACCTTTTCTCTTACCTCTGGACCATGGGTGTCAAACATTAATTTGACTGATGGGGCTCTGTTGAGTTTATTTTTATTTTTATTCGTTTTTTCTTTTAACTTTTTATTTGAAAATGCTTTTTATTGGTTTTTGTGAATACATAGTAATAACAAAATTCTTCATATAATCAATCCATGAAATTCTCTGAATCTCGTGACTCCCCCCCCCCATCCCTTACATGGGTCCTAATAACAATTTTTTTACCAATATACATAATATATTCTCCATATTTTTCATTGCTATAAGTTATGCATAAACCTCATTGCTTTATAAGTGATTCTTAATGTCCAGCTAACGTTTTAATTTGCTTACAATGTTCTCTTACGTAAATTATTAATTTTTCCCATTCTTTTTTAAAGTCCTTATCCTCTTGATTCCTTAGTCTCCTGGTTAGTTTTGCCCGGGGCTTCGTTGAATTTAAGCTGCCATAGCTTAGAGCTTGTCTACACCTGAGCATGTCAGATGGTCATGGCAGAGTTGATTTAACCAGATGTTGATACAGCATCTGTAACTGAACATAACTGGGTATCAGTGGAAGCAGTGCTGGAAGTTGTGTGTTCTTGAGTTAAGTTATACCACGTTCAATTCCTGCTTGAGTTGCAAGAGAACAAGATATTTAAACAAGTTGATTCAGTGATTGACCTAATAATCACTTCCTTACGCTAATTAAGATCAGCTAGAGCGCTTTAGGGATTCAGTTACAGGGAGATTGCTAGAAATAGCCCATTTATATTTCCTAATTAATTGAATTGATGTCTGACAGTTCCTGAAATGATTCAGGTAATGCAAAGAATGAGGCCTGTGTGACTCTCTTCTGTGGGACAGTCATGCTTTGAGCACTGCACCTAGTTGATTATGGATGCTTTTTCCTCCTCGTCCTACACCTCCCAGGTAACAACAATGGGCTCAAGACAATCCCCAAGCTACCTGCAGCTTTGACACTCTCAGGGCTGGTGGAAATAAAGGAGGTACGTATGTGGATATTGAGACTTCTATAGATCATTTATTCCAGAAAATTTAACTATGCACAATATATTTGGAGACAACAAAGCTTTGGGTTTCCCTAGGGAGCAAGCAAAAGTAGCCTTGAAAATGCTTGCTTTGGGTGGCATTCACTGGTAGTGCTACTCAGAGTATACATAGTAAAGTCAATGGACATGACTAACGGTCATTAATTTCAGTGGGTCTACACTTGAGAAGGACTTAGTTGAATACTACCATTGGGTTTCTTTGGATGAGGTTTCTACAAAGGGAAAACATATTGTGTGGGTATCATGGTGCTAATGTGCTATTTCTTCTGGGTTCTCTGGGATGGATTTGACACCAGGCTAATTCTTTGCTTTGTCTTGTTTTTTAGTTACAGAAAGAGCCCTTAACCTCTGAACAAATCCAGTCTCTTCAGGAACGTCTGGGTTTCCAGTGCAATGAAATTTATTCTGTTCAGATGGAAGGCAAGAAACCCAACTTTGAAGTGGGATCTTCAAGTCAACTCAAAATTTCTTTTGTCAAGAAAGAGAGAGGTGAATAGGGATCTCTCCTCTTCACAGCATAATCTTAGGAAATACATTCACTTGTCCATAGAATGTGAATTCACTCTGTTCTTTAGAAGTCAATATAATAACCAAGGTGGTTACTGACACATGGTCTTTGAAAGCAATGCTCTTTACCCTTTTATAAGCGTAGTGTCTGTTGGTAGCCTTCATTTCAGCCTCAAAAGCAAATTGCTAAACTAATGATGAACATGTTCACAGTGTTTTATGTCAGGGTATGGAATCTACATTCCATTGGCCAGAGTGGTTTGTGGCTTAATTTCAGCCAGCCTTCAAGGTCTCTTGCCCATCATTTGTTCAGTGGGGAGCAATTAAGGGAAAAACAAGCCTTTATGCTGAGCACCCCCTTTCTCTGTAAGGGGATCTGCAAGAAAATCAAAGCAGAAAGTACAATATCTCAGCTGTGGCAGCCCTATTTTATCATGACAGCATCTCACAGAACTTCACAGAGTGATGCGCTTCAGAGCACAGTATAATGTGTTTTCATTGTCATGCCACCACGTTAGAAGGCCACACAAAGATTTTATATCTATATTGGGAGCAGACCTTATGTTGGATGCATTATAATAGATTTTCCATAGTTAGATCTGAAAATATGCTGAGGTGCTCTCTAACAAAGTTTGAGCTAAAAGGTCCCAAGAATGGATTAGACAAAATATGTGCTAGGACCCCACTGTTGTTCTGTTCTCTATAATTCCTTATTCTATTCTCCTTAGAAAAGCCGGCTGTGGATCCCATGGCTGCAAAGCTCTGGACTCTTTCTGCCAATGATATGGACGATGATGATGCAGTGAGTATGAAAATCACCTAATGCAAGCAAAGGAATGCCCTTATTTTATACATTTCTCTGTGTTCTGACGGCTATGCCAGTGCCACATTATTTCTGCTGTTTTGTTCTGAGATATCTCTAGGACTGTGCAGCAGCACACCTGGAACAAACCTCCCCAAATGGGGACTGTCTTAATGGAGAGGGAACCATCTTAGTTTCATATGGATCATGGTCTTCTTCTTCTTCTTTCCAGGATCTTCTGGATTCAGACGAGCTTTTGGACCCTGAGGATTTGAAAAAGCCAGATCCAGCTTCCCTTAAAGCTCCTTCCTGTAAGGACTCTGGAAAGAAGAAAGCGTGTAAGAACTGGTGAGTACTGAAATACAGTGGTACCTCGGTTTTCGAACGTAATCTGTTCTGGAAGACAGTTCGAGTTCCGAAACGTTCGAAAACCGAAACCTCAATAGCCCACAGCTATGCCTCCGGATCTTTCACGCAGCGGAAGCCACATAGCATGTTCGACTTCCGAGGCTTGTTCGAAAACCGAAGCATTTAATTCTGAGTTTTTGGCATTCGAAAACCGAAAGGTTTGACTTCTGAGACGTTCGAAAACTGAGGTACCACTGTACATGGACATTCTGGCCCTAAGATGAATTTGATTCCATGGTCATAGGCCCAGCACCTTGTTACTCTCAAGAGAAGTGACTTTTTGTGTGACATGAACAAATGTTTGTGATGCTGCAAACAAGCTGCTTGAATTGCATGTGGGTTTTTTCAGGTTTATGTGTTCTTTTTGTTTTGTTTTTATAAGATTTGCTTTGTATTAACTAGTAGGGTTGTTTTATTTATTTATTTACAAACTTCCTAAACTTTATTGCTTGAGATCAGTTATGCAACTCGTGCATCTGAAATAAGATTGGGGGGGAGGAGAGAATCAGCAAAATACAGCTTTGGGGAAAATCCAGGTAAGAAATGAAGAGAGTGAACTGCAAGCTTATGTACATCAACTTGGAAATGAGTCCACATGGAAACCAGGACTTCCAAATAACGGTACATAAGGAAATGTAGTTTCTCCTAAGTTTGAAACCTAGGCCAGGAGCTGGAATTCTTCAACTAAATTTATTTTATTGAATTTATATACAGCCCTATGCCCTGAGGTCCCTAAATAATAGGGAAGATCTTGGAATTTGCATATTTCAGTGTTCTGTCCTGTTTATAGCAGTTGAGATACTCTCTGCTGCACAGCACTGCTGTGATCAGATTGGAGAGAAATAAGAACTAGCATGTCTGGAGAGCTTTACAGACACTCTAAGGAAGAATAAGCCACCCACTGCCTGCTTGCAAACTGTTATATAATGATTTCTTTGTTAAATAAATAGATTTATATGTAGATTTATAAAGCTTCTCCTTTCTGCAGTACCTGTGGTCTTGCTGAAGAGCTAGAGCAGAAGAAGAACAACATACAGCCCAAATCCGCATGTGGCAATGTAAGGATGTACATTTACTTGCTAATCAAAACACTGGATTTATATCTAGATCAGGAGTGGGGAACCTTTTCACTCTGCTGTGCTGGATCCTTTGGTCCCCCATCATGGCAGCCCCTTTTCATCCTGGCAGGCTGCCCTCCTCCCAGTCACTTGACAGTCAGCATGGTCAGCTTGGATCGGCTAGATTCCCTGACTGCCAGCTCCAGACTGTAGCTGATCCTAGCGGGGCTTGAAGCCACTGCAAGTCAGCTGGTTGCTGCTGTATTCGAGACCCGCATTCAGCAGAGATCAGCTACACTCCGGAGCACCCACATGTGCTTTCCGCCATTTGCAGATGCAGAGCAAAGCACGTGATTTCAGATAGCTTATATACATGGCAAATTAGTTAAGTGTGTTCACCATAGGTGGACATGCAGAGTATATACAGTTTCTAACACAGAAGAGAAAGCCATAGAATAATTTGTCATGTGAAGAAGCGTTGTGCAAGATGAGTGTAAAAATGTAACTCCTATCTTGCCTGTTCCCCAAGCCGTGTGGACTGTTCCCTAAATAGCCTTTGGTTCAGATTTGTTCAACTGCTATGGTTGAGGTGGAATGAGAATTATCCTGGAGGATTATACGCAGTCACAAAAATATTTTTTCCACCTGGGGGTGGGGGGAAATGTGGTGCATTGAGCCTCAATACTGACTGACTTTGTTTCGTTAAGGCCAATTCTTCCCCTCACCCCTTGAGACAAACTTTTAAGTCCTATTTAATGCAAGCCCCTTCCCACTTGGAAAATGAACAGGAACTGTGAAACATTCCCCTTTGCCAGGGCACTGACTTGGCCTCTCTTCTCCCTGCAGTGTTACCTGGGGGATGCATTCCGGTGTTCCAGCTGCCCTTACCGTGGCTTGCCAGCCTTCAAACCTGGCGAGAAGATCCTGCTGAATGAGAATAACCTCCATGATGCCTAAGAGAGGGACAGAATCAAGCCTCCTTGTGGGGCACGTACACAGCTGTTTTTTGCCTTTTTAGGCTGTGCATTGTTTTGCTGCCATAACTCTCACTCTGGGAAGGTCTCTAATAAAGGGAAAGGGACTTTATTGGGGTCAAGGAAGACAAGCAGATGGGCTGCTGTAGGCTAAAGGGAAAGGCCTGCATTCTAGGCTCATCTCTGACTAGCTGACTATTACTTGTTCCTTGGTGTCCTGTTCATGAACATAGATTAGTGGACATTGGGGTTTAAAAAAGATGAGTATGATTTAACATCGAGGCACTGGCCATCCTAACATGCTCTATAGACAAAATGGCTATACTGGCAATTGTCATCACATTATCCTGGGAATTCTGAAGCAGCTTCAAGTGCTGGCTTGTCTTACCAAGAATCCTTTTACGTATATTTTTTGTGGCCAAACACAGCACCACAAATTACATTTGGGAGGAGAGGGATTGATTGTGAAATCCCAGTTGCACAGTTATGTGTTCCAGGGTTTTGTGCAACTGAAATGTATGAGGTTCTGAAATTAAACCTGTGAAACTAGCTATCTCATTTCTTCGGTTCTTCCAGTATATCACTGCCAAGAAAACTTCTCTATTGTGGGTGTTGGAGGACTCAGTTAGGGAGAGGGAGATGCTACCTGAGCAGGGGCAGGGTTTTACTTTGAGCTGGTGACAGTCTTATTGAACGGAGGCTTTTAGGAAGCATTCCTGCGTTCCTTCCCCTCTTCATAATGTTTCCTTCTTTTAGAAGGGGAAAGCAGAAGGAGAGTCAATTATATGGGCTGGTTCACAGCATGCTTGATGGAGAACTATTTGTTTTGGAGTGTTCTGCTGGACTTCCATAGGGGACACTGATATCCTCTAATAATGTCTGTGCAGGCAGCAAATTGAGAATTCCCAGCAATACTCTACCGTTCCTCTGATGATTAAGGTGCTATGTCATGTAAGTTGAAAGGCAGCTGAACAGAGATGGATTTAGTGCTTTTCAAGGTAACAGTGGATACTTCTTGGAAGAGAAATAAGCTTTGACTAAACCAAGAAATGTTTTGTTCTAGACACGCAGATCCATATGATGGCCCGATTGACACGCAACACTGAACCAAACCTTATTTTCAGAGAGAAGGCTGTGGTTGCTGCACTCCTCCCCAGTGCTGCTGTGCTCCCTAGCACTAAGCCATGCTCTGGCTTGGCATTGCAGGTGAACCTAGGCATGTGCTTTGTCTCACTTCAGACAAACCATTACTTGTTGCCAAGGTTTGTTCTTGGTTTGCCACTTGTCGTTTGTCTGGAGCAAGACTAACTACAAGGCCATGTTCAACCAGGCCAGGTAACTTGCTCATTTACACTAAGCCAAGCAAACTGGGCCATTTTGATCTATCAAGATGAGTGCAGGACAGCAGAGATTAGTGTTTCGTTCCCTGCCTTGGTTTGACGTAACAGGGGGATCATTGAGACAATTGGCAAGCAGTTCACAAGTGGTATAGGGCCATTGTGTCAGTATAAGTAGGAATCGGCCAGCCTTCACATTTTGCTTACTTTTCAACCATCGTCTCACTTTGCTATTGGGTGCTCAACAGTGTCCAAAGCCTCTTGAACATTCTTCCCCAAAAACATAAGAATGTGGAAAACTGGTCCCCTTGGAGACCTATTCATTTTTAGGAGCCAGGTGGAGTAAATGTATTTAACTTGTAGAAGTAGCAATAACTTTAAATGCCTTATGTTTTCAAAGAGCTGGGACTACCTGCTGTTTCACCTGCTGAGATGCTGAATTTTCAAACCCATACTGTATCAACTTCAGTCACTGGTATTGGGAAAGGCTTTAGATCAGCAGATCATTCCCTCCTGCAGAGGTTGCTACCGCGGCACCTGTGAGTGCTCATGTATCCACAGAGACCTTCACTAGTTCTCCTACTGGAATTGGAACTTGAGAAGTATTCTATGGTAGCCAGTGGAATAGGTGGCTGTGTGCAGTGCTCACAACAATTTTTCTGGTTTGCAATTGTGCCAAAAAGGTTGGTGACCCTTGCGAACTCATTCCTGCAGGTTTCAGTTCCTATGCTTTGAAACTTTAGTGCACAAACTGGTGTCATATAATAGAGGTTAAAATAGGATGCATTTGACCACTTCCTGCCACTCAGCACTAGACCATCTTACTTCAGATCTCTCACCATGGCAGCCCCTCTTGACCTAAGCTATTGGTTTGCTGGTTGTCACCTTCCACAAATACGCTTGCAAGGATGGTGATAAGAGCAGCCTATGTAAGGAGGAGTTGAAGGAGTTGATCCAGGACAAGCTGACCATTGGGCCGAAACTGCAGGACAGAGAGATACAGGCATTAATGAACGATCTGGACCGCAATGGGGACCAATTGGTGAACTTCCAGGAATACGTCACTTTCCTGGGTGCCTTGGCAGTGATTTGCAATGAAGCTTTGACTTCATAAATGTATGCCCCGGTGGGGCAAGGTGTCGTGGTTCAGGATTATACCTCTGTAGACGGTTTCATGTCCAATAAAATTTTAAGTGTAAAAAAAATAAAAATTAGGGTACATTTCTTCAGCTTTTCTTCCTTACTAATTGTGTAATGATTCTTAAAACAGGTTTAAAATGAGGTCGAGTAAAGAAATTTTGTAACTGTGAATGAGTTTTTTAAAAACCACTCCAAAGAACACTGTTGCTTGTTCAGGGGGGTGGCCTGCAAAGAGATTGGTAAAGCTGGGTCCTGGAATTGGGACATGACTCTCTAGGTTTCTATGGAAAACTGTAGTGCAGGCAACCCCAGTGGAAAGCTAGTCTTGAAGTCGGCACTGCTCAATGTGGAGATTGACTGCACAGCAGAGTTCCTGTTGCAGAATTTGGTAATGCAGACAACCTGCTGAAATGAGGGCTTGAAGCCAGGGCCAGCCAGCTGACCAGTTGAACTTCAACCCCTGCTTCAGTTCACTGGGAACTTCCTCTGCAGCACAGTTTGACCTCAAAGGGGAAAAGGGTTGCCTGACATGGTGACATCAGATGACTGTGAGCAGCGCCACCTACTAGTCAAATTGGCCCACTGCAGTCCAGGATCCAGCCTAAATTCCCAACACCTGTTGTAAGGTAATGTAGGGATTTCAAGGTAGGCCTGGTCCTTGACGTTATTTTGATTTAACTGCAGCATATTCTTAGAACTTGGTTCTCTATCCAATCCAAATTGGTGTCTTTATTAATTTAGCTGGTCCCTTGGCATGGAACCTAGTTACTTTGCGTATTTATAGAAAACATAATTCTTCTTTTCTGTGCAGAATGCATTATTAATAAATAAACTTATGTGTTAATGCACTGTTTCCAAACAGAAAGTTTTAATAGCAGCCAATTAACCGGCTAAGTAGCAGGAAAACAATGTTGGTCTTTAATCATGAAATGCTTGCTTGTTCCTACTCCCCCACCCCTTACCTCTTAAATTCTTTAAATATTTTATTCTGTTGGCATCACTTCCAAATAGCTGATGAGATTAAAACATTAATCTGGTTTTAAGAGCCACATGTTGAAAAGGGAAAAGGAATCCCCAGGTATTTTGGGTGTTCGCTACTTTTTCTTCCCATCATTCACCAAATAAGCAGTCTGTAGCTACCCTTCCTGCTTCTCTCCCAAAGTCTAGTTAGGGCTTGCCCAGCTTTGAGAAGGAGGGCGCTAAGACCCTGCCAGAGTCTCGTGCCTCCTTCCTAAAGCCTGTGCCTCCCTTAGCCGGTTTGGGAAGGTAGCTTTGAGCTGTGTGTGTGTGTGTGTGTGTGTGTGAACTTCTGGCCTCGCACGCACAGGGTGCTATATTACCACGGTCCGTCCCTCCTGCAACTGGGTATGGCTTTCGTTTTGTTTATTTTCTTTTATTCCATTTCAGTTCTTTCATCTTAGATCTGCAGAAACCAACATGCCCTCTGGGTCCATTAAGGGTGGGGAGCTGAACATTCATTTATTAAGTGCCTCCTGTCACAATGTGTTCGTTGCGCCCCAGGGGAAAGACTTATTCAGGGAGGCCACCTATAGAAATGGGGCAAGGCCATCTGTACTCACAAGTACTCAGTGTACAAGGTCCTCTGCTTCTTTTGAACTACGACTCCCATCTGCACTGTACATTTAAAGCACTACTTTAGCCATGGATTTCCCCCAAGGAATCCTGGGAACCGTAGTTTGTTAAGGGTATTGGGAGTTGTTAGGCAAGACCCCTTGTCTCCTCACAGAGCTACAGTTTCCAGAGTGGTTTAACAATCCATCCTTCTTCTTCAAGACGCTGGGAACTGTAGCACTGTAACAAACTACTGTTCCCAGGATACTTTGGGGAAAGCCATGCTTGTTTAAAGTGGTGCAAAGGGGGCCTTTGGCAGGTTTTTAAATAAACAAAGGTAGGATTATTTGCCAGGCACAAGCATGTATCTTAAAGAGGATTATAAACTTTGTGCCAGTTAACTACCACTCCCAGATTAACTGAGTGGCTTCCCTACAAAAGGCTGTAGCTGTTCTGGCAGGCCTGCATTACAATGCTCAGGGTGGTGATTGTTTTTTTAAAGCACAGTATAGTTGGCAGCTGAATCTCCACCACCCATTTTCCTGAGAGTTGTATTAGGTTTGCTTGCATTAGTTGAATGTTGAAAGATTCAGGGCACACAACAGAAAGTGCTTTTTCACACAGTGAATAAACTTTGGAACTTGTTCCCATAGGAGGCAAAAATGACCACCAAAAGGATTAGACATGGAGGACACGGCTATTGATGGCTAGTAGTTACGATGGCTAACGTCTCTGCATGCCAGATACCGGAATCACAAATGCAGGGTGTGCTGCGTTTTATAAAAAATAACAGTATTCTCCTCCTGTGAGTTGTAACATTATTACAAGTTAACATTATTAGTAAAGGTTCTCTACAGGCCAGATATTTGCATAGACAGATGACACAGAATGCCTCAGTATTTGTATAAGAAATAAAACTATGCCATTTATGAAAAAAAAAGGTCATTTGAGCTCTGCCCTTCCCAGGTTCTATATCCCCAGCTCAACATGACCTGCATTTGATATCCTTATGCTAGACATTACTTGAGTCTGACCAGTGGCTCATCCAAGTCCCATCTCTTCCACACACACACACACACACACACACACACACCAAATGAATTGATGCTGCAATGGCCTCAAGTGTGAGAATGCAAAGATCTATTTTCCAAAGATGGACCAGTAAACACCTGCAATCTCCACCACCCCCAAATCTCTGGAGGAAGCATTTCTGAATCTGCAGATAACAGGTCAAGACTGCGCAAGATGGCACTTGAGGAGTAACCATGGGCTGGCAAGAGTAGTAGGACTGGACCCTGGAGGAGAGGCAAATTGTCCAGGCACTTGTAGAGTTCCAAAAAGAAAGATCCAAGATGGAAAGAAGACAAAGTCCCTACCGGAGAGGAATGGCAAACCAAGCCTTTGGGAGTACACCAAAATGGCAAAACTGACCGGAAAACTCAGGAACCAAGAAGATAAAGACTTCAATAAAGAAAAAATTATAATTAGTTTAGGAGACCTCTGTAAGCAGATGAAAACATTAGCAGGATTTTAATAACATTTGTAGCAATTATCATGGACAATATGGAGAGATATAAAACATGGATTATGAAATAATATGCGGTTGAAAAGGTTGACAAAAGGACCCATGGAGGGGAGGGTGGGAAGTCTGGAGATCCAGATAAATCTCTAAATATGGATATGTATTTTGTATTGTTATAATTCTACACTTGTAAAATCAAATAAAAATTATTTCAAAAAGCAAAGCAAAAAGAAAGATCCAAGCCCCCACAGCAGGGAGCTGTCTGCAGGACAATTAGTATTCCTATATACATCTAAAATTCCATGGCAGGCTTGCTTTGTGCTGGATCCAAAGCTGGGACTAATGGACAAACAAAATCTGTTGGGCGTTAATGCAGTGAGCCCTACTATCTTATCCGCAGGTTGTTGGTATGTGTAAATAAAACCATATTTCCTAAAGGCACTCCGGTCTCTGTTGACCAAACTCTGGATAAGCACCTGGACACCCTGGAATCTCTCACCGCTCAGAGATTGGGGTGGCAAGTTAGCAACACGATTTTTGAGCTTTAACTCTCTAATGCTGGCAGAAGTAGATTTATGCAGGAATTTCAGATTTTAATCCATTGGTCTTCTCTCTCTCTTTTTATTATCTCCCAGTCATTTCCCCACGTGTTTTAAACCTCCTGCCAGTCCTGTGCCCTACTTTTTAGAAACGGTACCTTTTATTGTGCTTTCTGTTTCATAGAATCATAGAATCATAGAGTTGGAAGAGACCACAAGGGCCATCGAGTCCAACCCCCTGCCAAGCAGGAAACACCATCAGAGCACTCCTGACATATGGTTGTCAAGCCTCTGCTTAAAGACCTCCAAAGAAGGAGACTCCACCACACTCCTTGGCAGCAAATTCCACTGTCGAACAGCTCTTACTGTCAGGAAGTTCTTCCTAATGTTTAGGTGGAATCTTCTTTCTTGTAGTTTGGATCTATTGCTCCGTGTCCGCTTCTCTGGAGCAGCAGAAAACAACCTTTCTCCCTCCTCTATGTGACATCCTTTTATATATTTGAACATGGCTATCATATCACCCCTTAACCTCCTCTTCTCCAGGCTAAACATGCCCAGCTCCCTTAGCCGTTCCTCATAAGGCATCGTTTCCAGGCCTTTGACCATTTTGGTTGCCCTCCTCTGGACACGTTCCAGTTTGTCAGTGTCCTTCTTGAACTGTGGTGCCCAGAACTGGACACAGTACAACAGGTGAGGTCTGACCAGAGCAGAATACAGTGACACTATTACTTCCCTTGATCGTTGCTTCAAGCTACGGTCTTACGGAAATGTGTGCTTGGGCCCCAGGGCAGCCACCCAATATTTTTCTCTTTCGGCTGAGTTTGCCATAAATTGGGGTTGTTTTCCATTCCAGAAACCCTTTAGTCTATAAGGATTTCTGCTGTATTTATGAATTAGGCTGCATAGATTGCCATGCCTAACACATTCAGTACACGGTGATTTCCTGCAGAGTCTCCTTTCAGCCCAAAACTTCCAGTGTGTGTTTGTTTACCCAGAGATTTCTGCCATGAGTCATAATTATGAAACGTAGCATCAACTCCCTTAACAAATCCCTGAACAAAAGCTGGTCTCCGTAGCAGTAAGTATAAATAGGCAGGAACCAACAAGGGCAAACAGTGCCAGCTCAAGTTTAAGTGGAGAGAAAATAGACGGATAGCAAGAGGAGAGGGTCTGCATCCAAGTCGGTGATGTCTGGGGCCCATTTCCACAGCGTCCTGGTCACAGGAGCCAATCGGGGTATCGGGCTGGAAATGGTGAAGCAGCTCCTACAACTACGAGAACCACCAAAATGGGTCTTCGCCACATGCAGGGATCCACATGGAGGAAGAAGCCAGGTGAGACCGTAGGGATGGGAAGAGGTTAGTTTCAGTTAAATGCAAACGTACCTGCTTTGCACTTTCCTGAGTAATCCGTGAGCTAAGATGCAGCCACCTTTTTGGAATTCCCAGTTAATGAGCATCCCCAGCCACGTGCTATGGCAAAGCGTGCATATAATTGCGTAGAGCAGCGAGAAACAACATACCAAAACACATTCTATTAGGGGAAATTGCTTTGCATAAATTGTGCATGTTAGAATAAATCCACACTGAAATTATGAAGAATTCTCATGAGGACTTTTAAAACAGAAAAATAGCAAACTGGAAATATGGGGCTCCGCTATACAGCTGCAAATAAAAGGTTTGTAAATGTGTGGTAAAGTGAAATATACAATTGCGGTGAGCTATAGCAAATTCAATGCGTTTTTCAAAACAATTTTTCTTAAAGCATTTTCATGACATTTTTAACGTGGGTAGATTCCACCATGGAGAACTAAAGACTGGGGAAATGAGCAACTGAAATGGACAGATTCACTCATCCCCAACTTCAGAGCTGACCATCCTTTTAGAAAGTGACAGTTTTTCACGTCCAATTCCAGGCTGAGAGAGAGAAGAGGAGATGTGCAAGTTAGTTCCACTCCGTCCAGAAGTTCCATGGGGCTAAGGGAGAGGGGGTGTTCTTTGTAGCAGCCCCTGAGCTGTGGCATCCCCTCTCCACAGAAATGCATCCAGCACCTTCAGCTCTCATCGTGTGCTGAAGGCGTGCACCACTTGACCCTGGCTGTTGACCCCTGAGATGTGTGTTTTTAGGACCCACCCTATTCTCTTTATTGTAAATTGTTTTTACCTCATTTTAAAATTATTACTGTTATCTTTAAGATTTATAAGCTGCCCTTCCTCCTAAAGAAGCCCAGGGCAACAAGCAGCAAGCTATAATACAATTAAAAAAACCCCACATTTAAAACATCTTAAAAACCATTCAAATACAGCTGCAGGCTGGGAAAGATCTCAGTTTAAAAGGCTTGTTTGACAGATTGTGTTTTTACAAAATAAGATTGTGTTTTTCCATTGCTGTAACCTGCCTTGGTACCTTATGGAGACAGGTGGGTAAGAAATGATGATGATAATAATTAGCAAGCGTTTACCATCTTTTCGGCTAAAACTGCTCAGCATAAGCTACAAATGGAAAGCTCTCCCTTACACCCTGCATGAGAGGCAGGGAAGGGAAGATCTTCCAGGGAGGCAGGCTGGGAGAAGGGAAGCTCCCATGTGAGAGCTGGGAGGGTCTACCACCTTTTGTGTGGAACAAGGGTTAAGATGCACCTCTGATAGAGGCCTTTGTGTCTCCACCCTTCTTTGTCCCTTCCTTCCTTTTGTGTGTTTGTCTTGTTTTGTTTTCTCCTTTATTTTCCTTTTTCATTTAGATTAGTTTGGCTTTTATTTTGTTGAAGAGCTTTGGGTTTTTTGTTTTTAAGAGAAAGCTCTCTATTCTTTTATCCTTTCCAAATGTTTCATCTGAGAGAGAACCCACATTTTCTGGTTTCCATCACTGGTCACCCTGTTCCTCTTTCTTTTGTTCCTATCTTTGCCTTGTGGGAGTTGGCAGGGGTAGGAGACGGAATGCCTTCTTCACATTTTGTTTAGTGTGTCTTTCCATAGTTCTCATTTCCGGTACAATTCCTTCCCCAGGGATAGAGAGAGGGGGAGAGAGAGAGAGAGAATGTACTCTACTATGCTGCCTGTGTGGTATTGTGGTTAGAGTGCTGGACTAGGACCTGGGAGACCAGGGTTCAAATCCCCATTTGGCCATGAAGCTCACTGGGTGCCCTTGAGCCAGCCACTCCCTCTCCGCCTAACTGACCTCACATACTTGTTGTGGGAATTAAATAAGGGGGAGAACAATGTATGTCACCTCAAGCTCCTTAAAGGAAAAAGGTGGGCTATCAATGCAATTAATAATAACAGCCATGTATGTCCGTTCACAGGTTACACCAGAAGTCTGTGAGGTCCTTGGGGGCCTGGCATTTATTCAGTATCTGCAGAGTTGTATGTCTGCTGTCATTCTGCAGCAGCAGAAAAAAACAAGCTTCTTGAGATTCTCACCTTTCTGACTCCTGTGGCTTCGAAAAAAACTGTGAAGCCAGTCAATTTCTGCTAAAATCTCAGAAGCCAGAGGCTGAGTAACAGTGAGCAGTCTAGAGTGCCCCATATAACTCAAACGAGAGCAAAACAATTTGTGCAAAATAAGTGAAATTATGCAAACATGCTCGGGCCTCAGACTTTTCTGGGTCTAGCATTTGACATTTTTACAGCAGCACTGAGGCAGCCTTGAGGGTTTGTTTCGCACATGACCCCCTTTTTCTCCTTTTAGGAACTGAGATCGCTGGCTTCTAAACATCCCTGCCTCGTGATTCTGCAGCTGGGTATGACTTTCGTTTTATTTATTTTCTTCTATTCCATTTCAGTTCTTTAATCTTAGAACTGCAGAAACCAACATGCCCTGTGGCTCCATTTAGGGTGGATAGCTGAACATTCATTTATTAAGTGCCTCCTGTCACAATGTGTTAGTTATGCTCCAGGCAGAATCCTCACATCTCTTTGCTCTGTTCATTTTGAAGGGCAAAGGCTTATTCAGGGTGGCCTCCTGCAGAGGTGGGGCAAGGTCATTTCTACTCACTCAGGTACTCAAGGTAGATCAGTCTCCCTCAACCTGGGATCCTCCACTTGTTTTGGACTACAACTCCCATCTGCACTGTACATTTAAAGCACTACTTTAGCCATGGAGCCATGTGTTCGTTGCGCCCCAGGGGAAAGACTTATTCAGGGAGGCCACCTATAGAAATGGGGCAAGGCCATCTGTACTCACAAGTACTCAGTGTACAAGGTCCTCCGCTTCTTTTGAACTACGACTCCCATCTGCACTCTACATTTAAAGCACTACTTTAGCCAAGGATTTCCCCCAAGGAATCCTGGGAACCATAGTTTGTTAAGGGTATTGGGAGTTGTTAGGCAAGACCCCTTGTCTCCTCACAGAGCTACAGTTCCCAGAGTGGTTTAACAATCCATCCTTCCTCTAGAGGACTCTGGGAACTGTAGCACTGTAACAAACTACCGTTCCCAGGATACTTTGGGGGAAGCCATGCTTGTTTAAAGTGGTGCAAAGGTGGCCCTTGGCAGGTTTTTAAATAAATAAAGGTAGGATTATTTGCCAGGCACAAGCATGTATATTGAAGAGGATTATAAAGTTTGTGCCAGTTAACTATCACTCCCAGATTAACTGAGTGGCTTCCATACAAAAGGCTGTAGCTGTTCTGGCAGGCCCGCATTACAGTACATCTTCCTGAGAGTTGTATTAGGTTTGTTTGCATTAGCTGAATTTTGAAAGATTCGGGGCACACAACAGAAAGTGCTTTTTCATGCAGTGCATAAACAGGAGGCAAAGATGGCTGCCAAGAGGATTAGACAAATTCATGGAGGAATCGGGTATCAATGGCTACTAGTCACCATGGGTAATGCCTCTGCGTGCTAGTTGCTGGAATCGCAGATGGGGGGGGAGAGTGGTGCTGCGTTTTATAAAAATAGCAGTATTCTCCTCCTGTGAGTTCCAACATTTTTGAGAATGCAAGCCCCAGGCTTCACTGAAGAGATGAGAAACAGGTTGTTTTCTTTTCAAAAACCTTCTTTTTAAAAGCTTTTTTTAAGTGGAGTTCTTTAATCTGGTCAGTATCCGTGCTGGATTTGAAATAGCTTTTCCACATGGAATTGTTTTTAGTTGTTTATATATATGGAATTCCTTACATCTGGAAATTGTTTTATTTCTATTGTCATTGCTTTTATTGTTCATGTTTTTACTATGAAATCACTTTGAGGTTTGTGGCTGTGGTTCCCAGACTCTCCCCATGCCACAAGACTATTTGAAAATCACTGAAGGTGATTGAAAATCACAGACCACTTAACGATATTTCTGCCTCTTGTCCCAATCTTAATGTGCTGGGCTGGATGCACGGCTTTTAACTGAATTTTAGTTGCTTCTTTTATTTCTTGTATATTGTGTTGTTGTTTTTATTGTGTTACAATCTGGAACAAGATGATGGAGGAAATAGTGGAGATGGACTGGTGTAGATAAATGGCAAGAGGGGCACCTGCCTGATATGCCATGGCACATATATAATAACAGCACAAAGAGCCTGCCTGCTAGATGAAGCCAGGGGCCCATCTAGGCCAGCATCCTGTTCTCACAGTGGTCAACCAGATGCCTGTGGGAAACCACAAACAGGACCCAAGCACAAGATCCCTCTCTCCCAGTGGTGGAGGAAAGGGGGTGTGGGGGTGTGGCCGGGCCCAGGTGTCATCACTGGGTGTGGATGTGTGACACAATGAGTTAAAAAAATAATTGGGCTCACGAAACGTTTTAGGAGTGATGTGGTGGCTTAGGAGCCTGCAGGTTCCGCGCTACCAGAAATGGCAGCATGGGACTTGCACCTGCCTACTGCCTCTCCCTCAGTCGCCCTACAGCTGAGGGGGAGATGATGGCTCTCTCCTCCTACGGTTTCCAGCAACTGGTAGAGGCAGAGCATAACCATCATGCCTAGTAGCCATTGATAGCTTTTTCTTCCATGTTCACCTTTGACTTTCCCTCTCTCCAAGGGCCCCCTAATGCCTTTCTCTCCTGTGTTGCTGTTTCCCAGGTTCTATATCCCTGGATTAACATGACCTGTATTTGATACCATCATGCTGGGCATTACTTGAATCTGATCATGGGCTCATCCAACCCAGTATCATTTATTATTATTATTATTATTATTATTATTATTATTATTATTACTATTACCCAGCCCATCTAGATGGGTGGCCCCAGCGCAGCTTCCAACACATATAAAAACATAATAAAACGTCAAACATTTAAAACTTCCCAATACAGGGCTGCCTTCAGATGTCTTCTAAAAAGTCATATAGTTACTTATCTCCTTGACATCCGATGGGAGGGTGTTCCACAGGGAGGGTGCCTCTACTGAGAAGGCCCTCTGCCTGGTTCCCTGTAGCTTCACTTCTCATAGGGAGTGAACTGCTAGAAGGCCCTTGGAGCTGGATCTCAGTGTCCAGGCTGAACGACAGGAGAGGAGATGCTCCAGGTATACAAGGGATTGTCTGTGGTTGACGGGCAGAGGCTTTTGCCTTGAGCAGAGAACTCTTTCTCAGTCTTGATGGGGACAAGGCTGAAGAGGATGAGGGAAAGAACAAGTGTGACCAAACCCATGGAGAACAGCTGTAGCTCTTTGCCATGCAGATGGTCCCAGGTTCAGTTCCCCGGGCCCAGCTTTTCCAGGTTGTCCTGGGAAAGTCTTCTCTCTGAAGCCCTGGAAAGCTATAAAGGGGAGGAAGGTGTTTCCATGACAAATCCTGTGCCCTCTTTCCACAGAGTCCACGGATGAGGCTAGCATCAAGGCTGCTGCGAAGGAAGTTGAGGTCCACCTGGCCGGAAGTGGACTAAATCTGCTGATCAACAATGCAGGCATCATGCCCCCGAGCACCCTGGAGTCGGTGGACAAAGAAGATATGCTGAGTGTCTACCGTATCAATCTCATTGGCCCAATGCTGGTGACACAGGTAGAGCTTATCCTCATACTTTGCTAGAGGTGGCATCCATTCTTCTGGGCAAAGAAGGGAGCAGCAGGTGAAAGGAGATGTTAAAAGGCTCCCACAACTTTAACGGAAAGCTCTCCATGCTTATTTCCTTACATTGAATTTCCTGAGACAGGGGCTTGTCTTCCTAATACCCTGCCACACTCAGAGCGTATTGACCAAGAAAGAGAGGGGGGCAAAATATGCAGGAGGGGTCCAGCCAAGGAGAAGTTGAGAACCAAGGATGGAGGGCCTGGGAAGGGGACAAAGGGACTGCCCACGCCTGTCTTCCTTTGCAGGCATTTCTGCCCATGCTGAAGACGGCTGCTAAGAAGAGCAACAGGAAGGGGCTGAGCTGCAGCAGGGCTGCCATCATCAACGTCTCCACCATCGGCAGCTCAATCGGGAGACCCCCTTCTATGGCCATGTTCCCCGTCATTTCTTACCGCTGCAGCAAGGTAACGTGGGCAGCACAGCCTCTCCTGCCTGCCTGCATCTTGGCCAATCTGTGCAAGTGGGGCAGGGTCAGCAACAGGGAGTGGGGCCAGGGACAGTTGCCGCTGACATCACTGTGGCCTCCTGGGAGGGGTGAATTTATAGTGCAAATTCCAGCACTGACCGCAGCCCTTGTTGCACATAGTTAGGAACTGGCTCCCACAAGGTGCAGAGTGATGGCCACCAAGCAGGAAGGCTTCAAAAGGGGATTGGACGAATGGGTGGAGGAGGGCGGAGCTACTCGCGGCTGCTAGCCACAATGGCTATGTATTGCTTCCACTGATGAAGGCAGCATGCCTCTCTTAGCAGCTGACAATCCGTGTTGCCCGCAGGCCCAGCTTGTGGGCTCCCTGTTGGAGCATCTGGTTGGCCACTGTGGCAAAGAGGATGCTGGACCAGATGGGCTGCCGGCCTGATCCAGCTGCGTGACTCACTAGTTTACCCTGTAACCTCCACGGTGCTGCTGCTTCTGTCTTTCTTCAGACGGCGCTGAACATGCTCACGCGGTGCCAGTCGCTGGAGTACAAGGATGACGGGATCCTTTGCGTTGCACTTCACCCAGGATGGGTGAAGACGGAAATGGGAACAGAGAAGGTACGTAGTGGCAAAATCGCAGTTGGTCATTAGATCAGGATGTGGTAAAAGAGCGGAGGAGGAGCAAGAAGCACAGCTTGCAAACTAGAGCAGTGGTTCCCAATTGATTTCGGGCCACCGCCCTGTTTGTTCCATAAACTCATCCCCAGGGGCCCCTACCCTACCAAAAGCCAGAATAGTGGTTTGCATGACCCACCAAAGAAGATAGTAACACAATAAAACTCACAGCAGTAATAACTAATTGCACATTCATACTGGCTTTTCAGAGTCTGATAATTCACACCCCCAGTACTCCCCCTGCCTCTCCTAGGTCAGGGGTTTTCAACCAGTGTGCCGTGGCACCCTGGGGTGCCATGGTCAGGGGTGCTGTGGGCAATACTGGCCTCTGTCTCTCTTTCCTTCCCTCCCTCCTCTGATGCCCTCTCACGTCTCTGCCTCCCCAAGGCTTGCATGGCTGTTTGTTGCAGCAGCCCTGGCTGCATGTTCTGCAGGCAAATGGTGCCTCTGGGGCTGGCCAGGGGGTGCTGGTTGCCAGGAGGTGGGGGAGCCTTGCAGTAAGCAAGCAACCAGGTGAAGGAGCCTAACCAGCCAGTCCGCCAGCCCTTGCTGCTGGGAATGAACAGACAAGGGGGAAAGGCACTGGCCTTTCTTGTGCTTGCTGTGTGCCATGCCTGCCTGGGAGCTGAGTGCCCTGTGCTGAAGGGGAGCCTTTCTGCCAAGCAGGCCTGGCAGCGCCTGCTGCCGCCCCCCAAAGTAAGGTGCTAGCCCCATGTTCACCTCTGGCCAGTCTCAGTTGGGCCACTAAGGCTAGGGGCATCCTCTTCCCAGGCCCGTGGGGCAGTGTGAGGAGGCACCTCTCTTTGGGGCAGCGGGGGGAGTTCAGAGACCAGGGGTGGCAGCAGTGGCTGCTGAGAGGACTCTCAAAGGGAGGAGGCTGAGGAAACACTCCACAAAGGAGGGTGTCTGAAAAGGGTAAGAGGCTGCTAACTCTGCGGGCAAGGGGTGGCAAGGGACTCCTGAGCCCTACAGGGGTGCCACAGAAAGAATGTAGTTGGTAAAGGGAGTCATGGACTCAAAAAGGCTGAAAACCTCTGCCCTAGGTAATCCTGCCATCCCCCAGAGGGCAATACTGCCCACTTTGGGAACCACTGAACTAGAGGGAATTAGAACCAGGGGTTGGGTCGCATAGCTTGAACCAATACCCAGAATCTGGCCTTTTTCACCCAAGTTGCCAGGAAGGAGGTGGCCGGGGTCTTTTCTCTGCAGAAAAGTCTCCATTCTTGGGACTTTCTCGCATTTCCTCCACTTGGCCCTGCTCAGAAGTGAAATTTATCCAGCCCTGTGGAAGGTTGGTTCCTGGCAATCTGAAGCCTTTAGCAGCCATGGCCCCCACCCAGGTCTTCTTGTGATTTTTTAAAATTAATAAACTGTTCCCCATAACTATGCTCAGAGCGGCAAAGAAACTGCCAGCAGGGCATCCATAAAATAGAAGCTTCTGCAGCTCAAGGTGTCTGGCAACACCTGGTGCCCCCACCTTTCCTTTCCCAAGTGGCCCAAGTCTGGTGTCCTCGTGGCGGGTTTTGGTTTGGATTTTCAATGCAAAAACATGTTTGCACATTGCAGGCGGAACTGACGGTGCAAGAGAGTGTGCAGGGGATCATCCAAGTGCTTTCCAGCATCAACGAAGAGAAAAATAGCCGCCTGGTGGACTGGGAGGGGAGGATTGTGCCCTGGTGAAGCCAGCAGCCAAAGAGAGAACTCTCTCAATGGATGTGTCTGTGTGTCCCAACCCAGATCAGCTACAAGTAATGTGGTTGCATCTAGCTGCCATGACAGCACTTACAAGAAATAAATCGCATGGCTTTCATAACCTGTCCTAGTCTTCCATCATTTTTTGCTAGCCATAAAAATGCACTTGAGAAGCAACAGAGACTGAAACACACTGAATGGCTGTCAGGGCTGGAGTCAGGCGAAGGTTAGCAATAAAACAACAAATCACCCGGGGCCAGTGAACTCTTTATTGTAGGAAACAAACCACATCTCAGGCCTAGTGGTCTCAGAATCTGAAGAAGCGTGCATGCACACGAAAGCTCATACCAAGAACAAACTTACTGGGCAATTTTTTTATATATTTCTATTGCATCAGACCAACATGGCTACCTACCTGAATCTAGTGGTCTCAGCAACTCTTTCCAGGTCTTGCTCCAAGGAAGCAGTTGTGAGGACTGAGGGTCCCCGTCTTCACCCCGCTCCCTAAGGCTCTTCCCCTGGTTCCTTCCCTCGTAGCTTAAGGCTTCCCTGCCTTCTTGTTTCTCATTTGTGTGTGTGTTCTGGGAGACCAGGGAGAAGGAGTGCTGGACACAGCAGGAGGGGAAGACTCTGTGTCTTCTTCCACAGTCTGCCCACACTCAGTCTTGGAGTCTGCACTGCTCTCTGCCACAGCCTCTTCCTGCTCACTAAACCCTGTTGCCTTGTATGCTCCCAACACCACCTCCTCCCAGTCTGCTCCTTCCCCCATTGACACCACTCATCATTCTCCCACCACCAGTCCCTGGGCTCTGAGCCTTCTTCCCCTGGGGACTCCCTGCCTGGTGTCTCCCACCACTCCTCTGCATCCAGCCAGTCCATGACAATAGGCAAGAGAGTAGGGATAGGAAAAAGGAGTGGCTGTGGGTTGTAGCTCAAAAGTCCCAGGTTCAGTCCCTCCCATCTGAAATCATGGAGAGCCACTGTCATTGAGCGTGATACTGAGCTAGATGGCTTAATGGCCAGGAACACTATAAATACAGTTTCTTAAGTTCCTATGAATCCAGTCCCTTGCAATTAGAATACTTGCAATTGCTTGCTATGCCCAGAAACTAGTGGGAGTCTTCTTTCAATGGGAACCACTACAGAATATTGAGGCACAGACAGCACAAATCTTCATAGGAACTGGGTGCCTCATCTTTGGAAGTACTAGCCAAGAGATGCAGAACCCTGTAAAAGAAGTATTAGCCTCTGCTGAATCAGCAACTTCCCAGATGCCCACTGAGAACGACCATAAAGAGGTTTGCCAGTCACAAAAGACACAAGGATCAATTGGGATTTTATTAGCTAAAATACCAAACGTGAAAATCAGAAGTGTTGGTAGAAAAATAAAAACTGATATTCACAGTCCTGTTCTCCCTGCCTTATAAAGCTTTGTTCACGTTTGCCGCAGCAGTTAGTGGAACAGTTCAGGGAAAAAGAGCTTTGACGCGGCCTCTCCATCTCCCGCACAAAGTTGGGCTCACGGTTGCAGGCCTTGGAAAGAGCTTGCTGAAGAAAAGGGGGTTCCGTCGGCCACAGTCCCGATACACGGTGGGGTTCATGAGAACAGTAAACAGCATTGATGCATTCACAAGAGATCTGCTTTTAGGCTCCACTGGAATTCAACAGGTTTCACATTTGCTAAGCATTTGGTAGACCCTTCCCCTACCCCAAAAAAACTTAACAGGAAGTTAACATATTAAACTGAAGAGAAGAAAGTTAAGGGGAAAAAAGATCAGAATATGATACCAACGTTTTTCAGATCAGGGGAAAGTTAAAGTGACAAATTATAGATCTAAAGTGCTCAACCAGCCTTAAGGCATGGGGAAGCCCCAACCAAGTGGTTGGAAATTCTACAATGTGGTCAGAGAATCTGACTGGCTAATCCTGATTTGTTACCTACAAAAAAGACAGCCATTCCCTACCTACCTGCCACAACCCCCCTCCCCCAGTCAGCTTCTGCAATTGAAGAAGTGAAGGTCTGTCATTGCTTGGCAAAGCCAACCACATGACCCAAATTCTACAATGGAAGGGTGACATGGAGAACGGGAGAGGTACTGGACAAAAAGATGAATTTCACCAAGAACTTGGATTATATATTTTTAAAAGCCTAACTGATCAGAGCCAATTTAAACACTCAGGGAAACATCATCTCCTAAAGGATGTAGGGGAAGTTTGTTTCAAAGCATCCCACAACCGTCTCCCTGTAAGAGAGGAGCTGTCTAGATATTGACAAGGGGGCATTTTTAAACAAGCAATTACCTGCTTGTATTTTGACACTGTACAGTCTCAGGAGAGGGCTGTACATCTCCTCCCCACCCCAAATACGAATTGATGCTGCAATGGCCTCAAGAGTGAGAATGCAAAGATCTATCTTCCAAAGACGGACCAGTAAACACATAGAATCTCCGCCACCCCCAAATCTCTGGAGGAAGCATTTCTGAATTTGCAGATAACAGGTCATGACTCTGCAGAGGATGGCACTTGAGGAGTATCAATGGGCTGGCAACAGTAGTAAGACTGGACCCTGGAGGAGAGGCAAATTGCCCAGGCACTTGTAGGGTTCCAAAAAGAAAGATCAAAGTCCCCACAGCAGGGAGCTGTCTGCCGGACAATTACTGTTCCTATATACATACTTCTAAAAATCCAGGCCTATATAACAAGATTTAAGACAACAGATTATCACAATACTCCTCACGTAATACAAGTGTTAAGAAATGTTTCACACGGAATCTGCACAACCTAATCAACAAGGACATTATTAACAAGGGAACAACCCAGCGTTCAGGAACTGATTATCGTAGCATTTACTGGATTTCATCCAACTACCATTTGTCTCGCAAACAAGGGACACAGCGAGAACCTTCACGGTTCGGTAAAACTGCACTTCATATCCATGCCACATATTTTGAGGTAGCAACAAAGCATTCTCCCCACCACCACTTTTGTCTCAGCCTTCGCTGCAGTCTAAACACAGCAATGACCAGAATCCAAGAAGATTTTTTGCAGAAGAAGCCCCTCACCCTCTCTCTTACAGCTTCAAATTCACATTCTTCCATAAGAAAAGGTTTAAGTCCATTAAAGTGCATTCTCCCTGTCAGGAATGAGATTTAGTAGTGAAGTTTCTCCAGCGGTACTATCCTAGGATGGATACTTTCGGTTACAGTAAGACAGCTTCACCATCACACATTTGTTTGCTGAATAAAAAAAAAATAATTACCCCAAAACAGAAAAGCTTGGCACTTAAGGTTACAAAAATGTTTACAAAATATAAACAAAGAATTGGCTGAAAGCTTGTTCAATGGCGGATGCAAACATTTCCAGGCTACATGGCAGTGCTCCAGAAATATTCAGACCGAGGGTGGGGAACCTGAACTCCAACAGTATCTGGAGGGGACAGCTCTCACCATTCCTGACTGTTGGCCATGCTGGCTGGGGCTGATGGGAGTTGTAGTCTAACAACATCTGGAGGGCCACAGAGTTTTAAACCTTCTATCCATCCCCCACTCACTCACACATTCCTTGTATTGTTTGACAAGAAGAGACTTGATCAAAATATTCTGCACCAATGTCTCATTTTCAGTTAGAAAGCAGCCAGGGTTGTGCCAGAATGTCATCCGGAGACTATAAGATGTGTTTGTAGAAGGATGGTTTCCGCCAGGATCTTCAGCCGGCTGGCCAAGGATGAGATGGGGCTGCTCCAGGCTGCCAGAGATAATTACTGGAGAAAAATTGCACAGATCCACTGAAGTTCTCCCCAGTGAAATGAATGGGGCCTGTGTCAGAGCCTGGCAAAGCTCTTCTGTGGCCTCCATCCATTTCAGTGGGGCTTGCATAGAAGAACTTCCCCATGGACATGCCCTTTTCCCTCTTCACCCCCAGAATCCTGCATAGTGCTGCTCTGTTTGCAATGGCATCTGATGCGGGATGCTAAAGGGTGGCTAAAATCCGTAAGAAAGAAATCATCACCACACCGAAGGTCTGCCCCACTCCAAAAGTCATGGCCACAAAGGGGATCATGTCCTTTCCAGCAGCTTTGTAAACACCGGCAATCGCAGCACCTGTTCAGGAAGGGGGGAAAGGAACATCATAGGTTGGTTGTTCATCTCCCATCATCCCTTTCTTCTCACTTGATAATACACAGCAAAAGAAATGAAGGACAACTGTCATTCACTTTTCTTCTTCCTCAACCTGGTGCTCTCCATATGTGTTGTATTGCAACTCTCTTCAACCCCAGCCAGCATGATCTGGGACTCATGGGAGTTGTAGTGCAACCGCATCTGGACAGAACCTAGTTTTAGGAATGCTGCTAAGCCAATAGTTAAAAAACACAAAAGCAGCCTGCTGGGTGAGCAGTTGTTTTCACATTTTAAACTCTGCTCCTCCTCCAGGGAGCTCAGAACAGCATATACAATTTCCTCACCCTCCCCTTTTGTCCTCACAATGTCATCCATGGAGCTTCAGCCCTGAGTGGGGGATCCATACCTAAGGCTTCCTAGCCTTAATAGAAACCACAACACCACTAGTATGAATACCAAAGGGTCGTCCGAAAGCAGGGCACAATAGCTTCTGCTGTTGTTAACATCAAGCATCTTGGAGTCACATACATACACCCTCACTGACAGCCATACTTCTGGCTGTCACAGGCTGGAAGATGGGTAGCAAAGAGAAGAATGGCAATCCCCAATGGCCTCTCAACTTTCAAAAGGTGTCAAACCGTCTCCATGACAGATGTGATTGACAGGTGGCATTGTCCAGCCAGTCAGGACCCACCTGGGTCAGAAACACTTTTAAACAGCCCAGGCTTGCTCAACATTGCTCATCTGACCACCTACACATGTGGGTACAAGAAACCCACTTGTAAGTAGATTTGATAGGATAGATAGGCTTGAATGAAAGGGCTCTTTTTGTTCTTTGACTATAGCAACATTCTGCCTCTTCCATTTATCCTCCTCCTTTCTTTTTTATTTTTAACAAACCTCACAAAATGTGGCTGTTGAGGTCTTGGGTGTGTTTCTGCGAAAACTCCCAGGATTATTCCAAACTCTCCCGTGCCTAATTGGTCATGTTATGTGGGGGGATGGAGGAGAAAGACAGAGAGAGAGAGTGCTATAATGTAAACTCTCCCTCTTCTAGCGAGATTTTATGAGTCTGAGATTGGGAATCCCAGATTTGTTCCCAATATGTCCTGTCATTGGACACAGAAACAAGGAGATTGCTAGGCTGCTGGGATGCAGCTGGGGCAAAGGAATGTTTCAAACAGCCAACCTACTTGATAAAATCCCAGCTGCTAATGGCCCCACGAAGCCCATCAGCAGGATGCTCACCGACATGAACCTGCCGTATCTGTGCCGCCGGAGAGTGAAGAGGGCCAGGAGTGCTGCGGGGATGTGGAAAAAGAGAGACGACACCATTGCCCACAGGAAGACGCCATACCACATCTCTGCCATGAGATAGGAGAGAAGAGGGTAGTAAGAGGAGAAGAGCAGCCACCTGGATCAGGCCAAAGGGCCCATCTGGTCCAGCATCCTGTTCTCACAGTGGTCAACCAGGTGCAGTGTGGGAAGCCCAGAAGCAGGACCCCAATGCAACAGCTCAAAGTAATGATTATGTGCTGTTCTTTTTTGATACTACCTTTAGTTTTATATTACGGATTGAGCTTCAGCAGTTGGACCATGGTTGCTTTTTAATTATTAGCTGTTTTAAACAACTCTAAGGAAGAAAAGGGGACGCAGGTGGCGCTGTGGGTTAAACCACTGAGCCTAGGACTTGCCGAGTCGGCGGTTTGAATCCCCGCAACAGGGTGAGCTCCCGTTGCTCGGTCCCTGCTCCTGCCAACCTAGCAGTTCAAAAGCACATCAAAGTGCAAGTAGATAAATAGGTACTTCTGCGACAAGAAGGTAAACGGCGTTTCCGTGCGCTGCTCTGGTTCACCAGAAGCGGCTTAGTCATGCTGGCACATGACCCAGAAGCTGTACGCCGGCTCCCTCGGCCAATAAAGTGAGATAAGCGCCGCAACCCCAGAGTCGGCCACGACTGGACCTAATGGTCAGGGGGTCCCTTTACATTTTTAAGGAAGGAAAAAGTAGGGTATAAGTCTTTTTAAGTAAGAAAGATAGATTAGCTGCTTTGTCTCATGCATTAAAGTATCTTGGGGGCAAGTCAGAAACCCTTGATTAATCTATATGTGGACCCCAATCTACCTGTTGCTTACCCTTGGTCAGCCTTCGCCAAAGGGATGGCCTCCCTCTTTGGCTTTGGGCTGTGAATTCCTGGCTGGGGCTGATGGGGGAATTTCCAGGGTGGTCTCCACACACTTTGAGTGGTGAGACCAGCAGCAGTTTTCCCAGGTCCTGCCCACCCCCACCTGGAGACTCCAGGGACAGGCGCGCCCCTTTCCTTCAGAGGCACCCACAGTGACCTTGTCCTACCCCTCCAAGTGGGACGGGGGAAGGAGGCGACGCGGGTACGTGCAGAGGGCGCCCAACCCCTTCGCGGGGCCTTCGAAGGCAGGCGTGGCGTGAGCCCCGGAACCTACCTGTGAACTCGCAGAGGGATTCGGCGCACGCGGCTCGGGTGACGTTTCCCGAGCGAGGCACCAGGTGGAGGCTCAGGATCTGGTGCAGGAGGCCCCCCGGGGCGGGAGGGACCGAGTCGTCGCCGCCGCCTCCTCCTCCCTCCATGCCTCCTTCTACATCAATATCCGCTCCGCCAGTGCCACAGAGAGGAAATGCCAGAGCGGTTCCAGGCACGAACTTCCGGTAAACGAAGCGGAAGCCGCCCTTTTATTGCTGTACTGTAAACCGCTTTGAACGTATTTTTTTATGACACAGCGGCATACAACTATTTTAATAAATTAAAAATGAATATATGGTCCAGGTTTTAATAATAATACATGAATAAATTTGTTGAATTGTCGACGCCTGAGCTCGACTCCACATTCAGGCAGGCTAGGCCGCTTCGTCCCGGGCCTAGCATATCTCGTTAGGGTAAAGAGAAGGAGGGGCAGTGGGGTGAATATAAGTCATAAATGAAAAAAGGAAATAGAAGTAGAAGCTGCCTCAGTGGGAGAAGCCCGTTGTACCCTCAGACTGCAACTCCCGTCGTGGATTACTGAGTTTATTAAAAATAAGTATAGAGCCATGACCACTCGCTGCGTCCTTTTCTTCTTCTCCATGGGATTTAATAGCGCAGCAAGGCCGAGGGAAGGGCCCTGTCATCGTCACCCACTGACAACAGTACGATCGCACTTCACTCACAGCCTTTTAGGGAGCCTCAACTTTTTCACAAGCCGCGATTAAAAAAATAAAATCTAAGCGTTGTGTCACTCTACCCTTCTTTATGTCTAGGGTTCATATAGTGAGGCACTCTTGCTCAGGAAACCGGATGTGCTCTATGGTGGCAGAAGTACTTCCTGCCCTTTACTGAGGGAGCGCTTGAGCTTCGCCGAAGAGCCATGTCGGACTCGGAGGAATATTCGTCGGAGGAGGATGAAGATTACCTACCCTCAGGTGGGCGGCCCGGTCCCCGCGCTCAGGAGAGGACCGGGCCCGGGTGCTCGGTCTCTCCCCCCAAAAAGAGAATGCCTGGGAGGGCTTCGGACTGGGGTTCCTACGCGCAGAACGCCTCTTACATCCGGGCTACACGTTGTGTTCATCACGTGACAGCAGCCCCGGCTCGGCAAGTTGAGCTGTTGAATGAGGTGGACGGAGTTTGAAGGGGGTGGAATGGGCTGAACCACTTCAGGCTACAAATGGAGGAGAGAAATCAACGTTTCAGTGCTCTCTTATTGTTGTCGTTTTTATTTTATTTTTATTTGTTGTTATTATTTTATTGCCTTTATATCCCACCTTTTTCTCCAAGGAGCTCAGGGTGGTGATATTTTCTCCCTCCTCATTTAATCCCCACAACAACCCTGCGAAGTAGTTTAGCCTGAGAGGCAGTGACTGACACAAGGTCGCCACTTGTGAGCCTCATGGTTAAGCGAGGATTTGAATCCTGATCTATCAGGTCCTAAAAGGTAAAGGGACCCCTGACCATTAGGTCCAGTCGTGGCCAACTCTGGGGTTGCGGCACTCATCTCGCTTTACTGGCCGAGGGAGCCAGTGTACAGCTTCCGGGTCATGTGGCCAGCATGACTAAGCCGCTTCTGGCGAACCAGAGCAGCTCACGGAAACGCCATTTACCTTCCCGCTGGAGCAATACCTATTTATCTACTTGCATTCTGATGTGCTTTCGCTAGTCCAACACTAACCACCACACTGGTTTTCCAGCGAGAAAAACCCTTTGTAAGTAGAAAGCTAGGGCCACAGAAGTGTTTCTTGCTGATGTGCTGTTTTTCTCCTTGCAGGGAGCTTTCACCATTTAAAAAAATGTTACCTTTATTTTAGTAACAGTATTAAAGTGACATCGCACTATAAGGCTAATAACAAAAATGTTTTTGAAGTTCATTTTTGTTAGGTTGCTTTGAGTTTAGTTTTTCTGAAAAGACAGCTAATAAATATAAATAGTAATATCACAATCATTTTGGTCTTGTTTGATTTGAAGGCTTAGAAGTCCTACTCTGGACTTGATTTATTCCAATCAAACACACTCAACAAAAATGCAGGCAGTAGCTTCTCTAAGGGTGAGACATAAACCTTTTGATGTGTAAAAGTGCGGTGCACCTCCAATTTTAATTTAGAAAAAGAATATCTAGGATTTTACATTAAGATAATAAGGAATGGTTTCTTTTTGAAGTTGACATAAAGGAATGCAAGACCATGGGAAGGAGTGGAATATTGAATGATAAGAGTTGGGTGGCCCAGAAAGACCACTGTAGTGCAGAATACTGCCCAACTGCAATCCCATAGGACCCTTTCCCCATATAACATGCAATCCCAGCCTAACTATTGCTGCAGGCACAAAATCTGTTGAAATGATTAGTTTTGATAACTAAAGCTGTGTTGATAACAGGTGAAGAATACAGTGAAGATGATGTAAATGAATTGGTTAAGGAAGAGGAGGAGGAGGAGAAGCCATCACACAGGGAAAAATGCAAGAAGAATTCCAAGGAGATCACATGTCGGTAGGCACCAGCTTCATTTGATGTCAGTGGAAGTGAGTGAGCAGATTAAGAACCCTGTGGCTGGCTCTAGGAATGTACATATTTGGTTCTGCTTATGAAAAAATAGCTCAGGTCAAGAATCATGCCTTCAGAATAGGTGGATCCTTAGAGAGTGATGACAGTGGAAGAGGGAAACTATCAGTAACACAGCCAGCTCAGCAACAGTTCTCAGCCGGTTCAGCAAGGAGCTGGCTGAGAATTCCCCCAGTTTTCTCTTTCATATCTGCCTAGGTTTTCTTCTTTATCTGAGATAGTAGCCATTAAAATGGCTAATTATACCTTGACTGAGTTTTTCACATTTGTGTCTCCATTCTTGTTTTCTTTCATTGTAGGGGTTGCAGTGGTGCATGGGATACTGACATACTGTCATTTATCAAGCTTTCAGTCTTAACTCATGATTCCACATTGCAACTACTGGGCTTTTGAAAGATCACTTCCGCAAAAGTATAATGTAGGCAGTGGATGTAAATCATTTGCTAATGTGAGTATGGTTTGGTGATATTCATTCTTAGGAAAAGGAACAAAGGATGTGGCCTCTTCTTAGAACCAGGTGGAGGAGAGGCATCAAAGGATGATGAAAGCAACAGTGAGGATGGCGAGTCGACAGAAAGCAATCCACATATGAAAGAAAGTGATAAAAGACAAAAAGAGGATGCTTTGTGGGCCAGTTTCCTCAGTGATGTGGGCCAGAAACCAAAAGCACCTCCTGCAGTTCAGGCATCTGGCTGCACACAGAAAGACAAGGTGAGAGGGCATGTGTCATTCAGGCATTGCTGTTTGGAGAGGGCCCAATAGGGGTAGTATATTGCCTTTGATAATTAATGTCTGCAAGATATTTGGGTTTCCAACCAATCACTAATCAAAGACATCCAGAGCAAGGGAGATTCCACACAAATGTCCAACCAGGGGTGTTTGTTGTTGATTCTTTCTGACTATCCTGGTTTGCTGTTCCAAGAAAGTAGATCAGATTGATGATGTTACAGTGGCATCTCGGTTTATGAACTTAATCCATTCTGGATGTCCATTCTTAAACCGAAACCGTTCTTAAACCGAGGCGCACTTTCCCTAATGAGGCCTCCCACCGCCGGTGCCCTTCCACCATTCAGATTCTGTTCTTAGGCTGAGGTAAAGTTCACAAACCAGGACACTACTTCTGGTTTTGCGGAGTTCGTAAACCGAATAGTTCGTAAACAGGGCTGTTTTAAACCGAGGTACCACTGTATAGAGATTACAGTGAGAAATGGGAGGAGAGAGAGATGGAGGAAGGTAGTTAAGGTTGATCAACACCAGTTTTGCCTGGAAAGAAATTTACAAGTGGAGCCTTGAATGCCATTATTTGCAACTTGGAAAAGTCTTCAGACTACCCTTGCATAAATGGCATTATATCAATCAGGTCTTTAAGTTTCAAATGATAGTTCATTTGAGGTTTGAGATCTTGGGATGAAGAGGCAATTGGTTCTTTTTCATGACTTTAAGCAGGAAGTAGTTGAACCCATAACATCTAGGCATGAGATTTGTTGATGTCAGGAAATGGCCTGAAGAGGAGGACTGGGGAATGCATTCTATGTCAGACCAGCTTCTCTCCAATGGAGAGCTAGAGGGGGAAGAATCGCGCGCCCCCCCCCCCATCCACAGCATGTTCATAAGCACAGAGAGAGAGAAAGAGAGACAGCTGAACAGCTTAGGGAGGAGTTACCCAGTTACAAGATAATGACAACAGAACTAGATGGGAGGGGGAAGCTAGCTGAGACGTCACTTGAGAGTTTGTGAGGGGGACCCCCTCACCACAGACTTGGAGGTCCAAACGTTTCAGAGAGCAAAGGAGTCAGAGGGAAGGAGGAACTTTCCGTTGGTGCCTAAAATGTTGCAGAAGGCAGGAGGAGGATTAGTCTAGCCAACTGCCCTCCTTGCGGAGAGCTGTGTATTTGTGCTTACAACATGATGCTATAATAAAAGGACTATAGATCTATCCACCGCTTGTTAATTCTTATCTGTGAAGCTACTGAAGGGAGATGAGGACTCTCCACACCTGACAGTTGAGTTGCAAATCTTGGGGTTCCAGATCACACTTGTTTTAATGCTCGAATTACCAGGGAAGTGAATTGTCATTGGAAAATCCAGATTAGATGGGAGTGAAGTTTGAATGGAAGTGGAAGCTGATGGCAGAGAAGCTACTGTTGGTATTGGGCATGGCATTGCAAATCTAGAACATCTGAACTTTAATGAACTTGAAAGAGAATTTGGGCTGGCTCTGACATTTGACAAATGTGGTTTCTCATAATGTTTTGGTTAGCCAGCTGAAGTGAAGAATTCATGCAAACCTCAGGAGGTGGTGGAGGGATCTGAGAAGAGCAAAGTTGCCATCACCAAAGTCTTTGACTTTGCAGGTGAAGAGGTGAGGTGAGTTTGGCCTCTTGCCTTTCTAGCCACAATGAGCCATATCCCTGGTCCTTTTTGAGCAATTGCATTTAACTGCTTGCCTCAAGTGTGTCTAAAAATATCAACAGTATTTTATTAAAATATGCATATCCTTACTTTCTGTCCCATTATAGGGTCCCCAAAGCATCTTAGCAACATTCACATGAAGATTTAGGTTTCAGTAGAACATAAAAACAAAAACAAAAAATGGCATCAAAACAACAAATGGCATCAAAGCAACATAATGGGTGGATAAGACAGGACCACCAGATGTCCTCCAAACAAAAAGGCTAAACAGTGCTGTCTCCAATGAGTTATGAAAGGCTGAGGGGGCAGAGAATTTCACAGTAGGGACACCACTGGCAAAAAGCTCTTGACCCCTGTATGCAGATATTGTGTGTTAGAAGTGACCTTGTGTTGTATTTCTAAACCATCTAATGACTAGAGCTGGGGTCAGCAAACTTTTTCAGCAGGGGGCCAGTCTACTGTCCCTCAGACCTTGTGGGGGGCTCGACTATATTTTTAAAAGAAAAAAAAATGAACGAATTCCTATGCCCCACAAATAACACAGAGATGCATTTTAAATAAAAGCACACATTCTACTCATGTAAAAACACCAGGCAGGCCCCACAAATAACCCAGAGATTCATTTTAAATAAAAAGACACATTCTACTTGTGTAAAAACAGATTCCCGGACCATCCGCCAGCCGGATTTAGAAGGCGATTGGGCCGGATCCAGCCCCCGGGCCTTAGTTTGCCTGCCCATGGACTAGAGTATGTTGGCAAGTTCATATAAGAGGAGACAAGTCTTCATATATTCAGGCCCACAACAATTACCTAGTGATATAACATTGACCCAGGGCCAGGAACTGGATAAAAATTAACTCTGCCTTGTCAACAGGAGCTGCTGCACAACAACAGAACCTTGCTTCTGTTTCATGCTGTGTAGCTTCAAAATTCCCATTGCTTGTCTGGACTTTTTCCTGCATTGATATAAAAGTGGTCTAGACACCCCCCTCCCCACATTAACCACTGAAAGATCTAAAGAGAAAACTCTTCTCAGCAAAAGCGAACAATAATTTCTCATCCTGACACAGATAACACTAAATGTGTTATAAGCCCCTGCACTGATGTAAATTGAAAGAGTGTGCAGTAATTGAACCAGTTCTTTTGCTTAGGAATTAATCTATCAGGCCATCGACTGTAATTAACGACCAGAAAGAAAATCTGAAAGCAATGAGACAGTCTCATCAACAGCCAATATTCTAGATGTCTGCTCTGACATGAGAAATTATGGAGGTTCCAAAGTACCTCACCCTTTGCTTAAGCCTTCCTGGAAAATGCCAGAGACTTTCGTATCTCATTAGAGAAAGGAGCAGAAGAGTTTTCCGGATCAAACCAAGGGCTCATCCAGTCCAGCATTCTGCTTCCCACAGTGGCCAGCCAAATGCCTTGTTGAAGGGAAAAAGCAGGTTTTAAAGGCAGTAGGTCTCCTCTGATGTTTCTTCTCAGCATTGCACCATACAGACATAAAATAACCATATGACAGGGTACACACAGGTCCCGCTTTCTGAACACAATAGGTTCATAGGAAATCGTTCCTTATGCGAGCATTTGCATAAGAAGCTGATGATTTCCATTACTTCCTATGGAAACATTTCTAATGTGTGATTTATCTGTTGTCTCTTCCCTTCCTCCCCCCATGGTTTGTGCCTGAAGCGGCTGCTGCCAATCTGCAAAAGCCAAACAAAGGAAAAACGGATTAATCTGATCTCTCCCTCCCTCAGTGTTTTCTGCCCAAAATGGCTGCCCATGACCAGCAAAACACAAACAAGTATGGAAGTGAGCGAACTCCCGCTGTCTGGATATCTGAACTAGCCATTAGGGTATAATTCTTTGTGATTGGTTAACTGAGATTTTGAATAACATGTGTTCCAATAGCAGGACCTGCATGTACTGGTAATTGTCCATTTTGACTAGTCTTTATCTAGTTTATATGTTCTGTCCTGATTCCATGGGAAAAAATCTTTCCGGGTTGGACTCCTATCAGGGATGCTGCCAAGTTGCAGTTTATAAATAAGAGTGTTTCTACTGTTGCAAACCAGAACTCTGCAAATATACCCTATACTTACTACATATTCCATTTATGAACAGTCAAAAACCAAATGAAACCTGCAATTCTTAGCATACCAGTGCTGATTGGATTTTTATCCAAACCTTGGCCATTCTCCAAGACCTCTATCGTCAGTCCCAAAAAGAATTAATACAGCTCCCAACTGATCTTAATTTATATTTGCTGTAACAATTACTCCGTTAGACACAGTAAATGTAATAAATTGGAACTGGAAGCAGATGCCATTTAATTGTCAGTGACCTTATAAATGAGCAGTCAGGACTTGGTATTGCTTGTAGTGTTTTGTTGGGATCCTTATTGCACATTGGTTACCTGTGGAGGGGTTGGCTAGATGGGGAGTACTTGGGGGAGGCTTTAGTAAATAGCCAGTTCAGTGTGAATCAGTAGCCTGATGGTATGGTTTAAAGGGCAAATGGCATCTCAGCTTTCTTAAGACACATTGTTCCAGGGCTTGGCAAGTAGTATTGTTACTGATGAGACTTGCATTACGCATAGATTACCTGAGCCTGTAATTCAAGAAAGATATTGACAGACTGAAGAATATTCCGAAGAAGATAAGATACCTTGAAAGCACATTATATTTGGAAGAAACTTGAAGGAACTGTTCATGTTTACCCTAATGAAGAGGCCACAGGGAGGGAGTATGTTGACACTTCATGTGTTTAGGAAGGAAGGGAATCATTGTTCGCCAGGTCCACTGAGGATACTCCAGGAAGTAACAGGTTTAAATAACAGGAAGGTAGATTTCGGTTAAATGTTGAACAGAACTTCCTAAGTAGATGATCACTTCAGCAACACCACAAAAACCATCGTTCTAGGGATATTGTAGATTCTCCTCCAAACTTTTTGAAGATGGTGTCTGTTGAGGATGCCAAAGCAATAGATTTTGAACTGAAGAAACTACACTGTCATGGATGAAGGAAAAAATGACTGCATAAAAATGGGTTAGATAGCATTTTTCCTGGACATTTTCTTGGTAGGAATTAAATTTATGAACGACTTTTGGAATTAATATGAAAAAGCTGTATATGAATTAGTCTGTTAGCTGTGACAGCTAACGTTGGTATGTTCACTGGCCAGTAACCAGATGCTGTGGATGAACTTTTTTTTTTAAAAAAATAATTTTTATTAAGTTTCATATTACCAAATTAAACACATCAAACCAATTAATCCAAATTATAACAATACATATCATGTAATCCAATTGTTTTTCAAATTATAAATTTTTGTGGGGGGTACCCATGCTTCTTGATCGGCAGGAGTCCAATCCTCGAATATTTGTGCTGCTTTCATCTGAAGAATGATATTTCCAGTCCCCTCTTCTCAATCCTTGTCATTACTCATTTTCCTTTTCATTCACCTCTGAGTTGCTCCGCAAGTGGGTTGAAAAAACAGTCTTATTTGTGTTTCTGTGTGGGCTTTATACTGCTCTCTCGGAAATCACTCTCATCCAATAGTCCAGGCATTTCCGCTCGAGCTAGCAATCGCCATTTTGTCGTTCCGATGAAATACAGTCTAAAAGCTCGCTCTTTAACTTTCCCGACCTGTTGCATCGTAAATTAGTCTTTTTCCAGGAGGGCTGCCCCTTCCAGATCGCAATCTCCTCGAAAATAATAAATCTTCGGCTCACCCTCCCCAAGACCAAACCTCCTGCAACACAGGTCTCGTATCACATCTCCATTCTAACTGCATCACAAAGAGAGCCCTTCTTCTTTCCAAATCCTTCACAGAGTAAAACCTTTAAGTTCATATTATTCCCACACAATTCATTTTTAGTCCCATTTGCAATTAGTTGCTGTGACGGATCTTCTAAGAGGGAGGGTTATTAGTTAATCACATAGAGCAAAAAAATAAAAAGTCATTTCCCCCTCCCTTTCAGTTCCATTGCATTCCATTCCACATACCATGTCTGTAGTACTTTGATGTAATCTTCCGTCTCAGTCTTCTTCATTTTGATGGTAAAATTGTTAGCAGATAAAAAACACCTGCCTCTCTTGAAGCATGTGCGTTATCTTTCACCAATTTTTTTCCTTTTAAGTAACGCAACTAGTTTCGCACCTGGAAGCAGCTTCGGAGGAGTTCCAAGGCCCGCCGAGGGTTGTGCACCCAGTGCCTCACCCCCTCCTTCTTCCGAACTCGGGGGTGATTTATGGCAACAGCGGGTGAAAACTGCATCTCTCCCCCCTGGAGAGATGAAGGGAGACTGATTTACTCCCCATAATCAGTCTCTAATTACCTCGTGCGGGCTGGATAGATGTTAATATCCGCCATCTTCCAAGGTGCCCCTAGCGGCCCCCCGATGCTGTGGATGAACTGGGTGGATACCACAATCGTGCTCTGCTTGTGGGAAATATTAGCTCCTCGAGGCATCTGACTTGCCACTATTGAAAAGAAAGTGCTAGGCCTTTTGTCTTATTCAGCAGGATAATTCTTTCATTCCTAGGGTCTTTTCCAGTATGCCTCTAGAAGTTTGATGCTTGGTGGTGGTCTGTTGCTTAGCTGAGAAGAAATGTTTTAAGAGGGCTGTGCATCTTCAAAGCAGAGCTGCTGAGAAGAATCACCCAGTGAACTTCATGGCATACCAAGAACTTGAACCCAGGTCTCTGTAATCATTGCAACGCCACACCGCCTCTCACAACTTTATGGCCACCAGCTGCCTCTATAGTTTCTGCTCTGCACACGTGTTCCAGCTTTAACATATGGCTTTGGTATTCTTCCCTCTCCTTGTGGCAGGGTCACAAAGGAAGTCGATGCTACGTCTGAAGAAGCCCGGTTCTTTCTGAAGCAGCAAGAGCAGAAGACTGTCGTCCCAGCATCCTCGCCTACTGTTTCTGGGTAAGCCCTAGCCACCTGGTCCTACAGTTCCAAAGCTTCTGTGGACATTAGAATTCTGCTGGGAGATTGTAATGCTTGCATCTTTGGTGTCGGCAGGATCTTGGGACCTCTGTACTCATCAATGAGTTGCGTGGATTCTAGTTGTGAGACTTTCCCTTGCTCCAGTCACCCTCGGGGGAAGTAAATGAATGAATGATCCAGGCAGGGTTTCCCGAAGTTGGGTCTGTAGCTGTTTTGGGGCTACAATTCTCATCATCCCTGACTACTGGTCCTGCTAGCTAGGAGTGATGAGAGTCTAAAAACAGCTGGAGACCCAAGTTTGGGAAGCCCTGAAGTAGATCATTCTTGCCAGGGAGGAAGGAGGGTTCACACGCAAGTCACAGTGAGCTCTCATCCATGAAAGAACCTGAGGTCTGCTTCCATTCTCCTTGAGAGGACAAGTGGCCCCTGAAGAGGTTCTATGGCTGCACACAATATTCTGGCTACTTCCCCCTTGAGCTGAAGTGCATTGTTTCTGCCCTTCTCTCTTGTATTCTGTCTTTCAAGCTGAAGTTGCAAGCTTGACAATTTGAGGCCGTTGCAGAAAGTGCTTCCTGGTCTTAATAAACAGTAACCATACAAATGGGGTGAGAGTACTTGACAAGAAGTTGTGATGGTAAAACCAGACATACAAAAAGCATAAATAGCCATATCATTCCATTGTGGTGGTGGGGAGTATAAAATCCACAGTAGGACAATTTTATTAGGACCAACCCAAATCACTCTAAATGTCTTCAAGTTCTCTATTGTTTTAATTATTTTGAAATATACTCTCATTGTTCTGGGTTTGTGTGTATTGCTGTATTTTGTTTTGGTATGATTAGCTGGTCATGCTCTCTGTATATCAACCATGATAGCTGCAGGGATGAAGGGTGATATAAAAATATTTTAAATGGTAGAATGTTGAGCAAACTTTTGAATTCTGCAGATTTCTCCTTCAAGCTGGATGATAGGCAAGATGGGATGCTCAAACCCCCCCCCCCCCAATAAAGTGGGCATGCCATTAAAGCAATGTCATTTGCAGGTTGAAGCAGAAATGTAATAATTTATTTAATAACACAATATGCCATTCAGTATAAACATTCTCAACCATAAAACAGTTGTAAAATAAGTGTTATAAAGTTATGCATTGACCCCAAGACTGAAGACAGTGTTTGACACCTAAGGTTATAAGTTTTACTCTGAGTAGACCCTTTGGGATCACTGGACTTCGGCTGTATTCCAAGCACAACTCTACTTCTGAGTAGAGAAGCTTAAGCTTGTGCTGTAATAAGGCCAGTTGACATCAAACAATCAACTTAACTTAGAACAACCTGTAAAGAGCAGATTCGAGAATTGCATGCCACTGGACTCCCATATCAATGAGCATTTACCCCATTTCTAAACCAGCCTTCCATCACTTAAGATCCCAGGGTGATTTTTGCAACGCAAATATTAACAATACATATAGAACAACTGAAAGCCATGTAATGTTTGGTTTATGGATGCAGGCATCTGGGCGACAAATTCCTGTCCTGCTAAAGCCTGCACATAACTCCAGGCAGGGGTCTTGATGGAGCTGATAGCTCTTCAGTTCCATTGCTGCGTAGTAGTTGAATCACACCTGCACTGTGGACCTGCTGCTACACAGTGTGAAGGATTCCTTGCTAATAGTTAAATGAAATATTCTCAGATGTTGGGTTTTAAGATGAAGGAGTTTGGTTGTGGGTTGGGAAAGTTCCACCTGCCCCCTCTCCCTGCCATGCTGTAATCCTGGCAGGTCTGATTGTTCCCACCATTCAAGCTGCATTAGCCAGCGCACAGTGACTCCACTTTGGGAACAAAGATTCCATTTTCAGTCTAGATTTCCCTGCTTTTGTAACCCAAATTCAGTGTGCTAATCACAGCAGAGGCTATGAGAAAACAGCTCCGGTAGCAATATTGTTAGAGCCTGGCCTTTCTGTTTGGGCTTATTATAGAGTTGCTTGCTGTTAATAGCAGCCTTGGTCTCTCACTCTCATCTTGGTGTTTTCCAAAATGACAGCCCTGAGTTTGTGACCTCTGTGGCCTCTTGTCACCTCCCAGGTTGCTGTGAATTGTCAGCAGGTGAAATTCAACTTTAAAGCAAGTTGGGCAGCTCCCTTTTCCTTAAGCATGGACTGGATTGAAGGGTCAGTCTTACATAAGTTGAATCAATGCATCAGATCAGTGGCCTGTTACAAGATGCATTCCTTTCTAGCATTTGAGGGGTAAAGACAGAAATGCATCCTTGCTTCCAGGAGCTCCCTTGAAGCTTTGGTTTATGTATCTCTTTTGGTCTTCACCCTGCTTTGTGCTGAGAATTCAGGAACCACTCCAAGAGTTATATTGGATCACCTAAAGAGGTCATGGGGTAATCGAAGCCTTCTGCTGTAGCTGGAGGAGCCTCTTGTTTTCTCCTGTATATATGCTGATGCTGCCGTCTGTCTCAGAGCAGAAAGCTCTTCAGGAAACAGCCTGGGCTGGGATTGTATCCTTCAGGGGCTGGGCTGTGTCTGGCTCCATGAAAAGATGGCCACATTTCCTGCTGTCAACATCCACTTTCAATGCCTGTGTTAATTCTGCTGAACTGCTGCTTTCTTTCCTGGTGGCAGGGGGGCAGTAGAAAAGAGGTGCAGAATCTGTGGCTGGGCTGCAGCTTCCATCATCCCTGGGGGTGTCAGCCCCAAAACCTTCTGTCACAGGGATATCATCATGTTTATAGACTTAATTTTGGAGCAATTTGAAATATTATCTTTTGGCACTAAGGCATGTGGTGAGATCAAAGTGTGGTCCCTGTTTGTTTGCAAGAGAGTCCTCTTCAGCACCCATGGAGCGGGAAGCTTCAGGTTTTTGGTGTGGATAGATATTTTTTTAATGGATCACAGCCACCAGGGGGTGCAGAACCACTCTGAGCCATGAAATCAGTTACTGTCCAGGTGATGTCATTTCGTCTACAGATTTAATAGCAATTAGAAAACTCTTTGTCAGGCTAGAAGGGGCCTCATTCCTCTGCGTGTCCCTCCAAGAGCTCTAACAGCTTTTCAGAGGCCAGCTGCTCCAAAAGTCCCACAGCCAGTTTGAGTAGGCTGCTTTCCAGACAAATCACCTTCTTCTTTGCTCTCTGTGTGCTGTGTTGTAGTTCCTATTAGCCTGCTGCATCACCCTGAGAGCTCACGTCAAGAGGAGGCCTCTTGCTGAGAAGACTGCAGCCCTTTCAAAACACTTGTCTGCTAGCAGCTAGAAATGCCATTAAATGGAGTGGAGACCTGGAGTCTCAACCAAAAGCCTGAATGCTAGACTTCTGGGCCAACACTTAGCTCCTGTGTGCGTGGCGCTGCTTAGTCCCATTTGCTCCCCTTCTTTGGAAGGGATATGGCTGGAAGCACACCCCTGTTCCTGAACAAATCTTAATTTGGCTGCGCAGGCCAGCGGCCAGCTGTGGAAGCCATTTCCTGTGGTTTGAGACATGGATGCTTCTTTCTGCTGTTTTTGGTGGAAGCAGTGCTCTTTCTCTGGATTAGCACTCCCCCACTCTCCCTGCAATCCCAGGGATTTAGACCCTTCTGCTGTGATGCTGCGTGTCGATTCCACGCCAGACCCAGGCAAGGCGTAGCCGTTAGGAGGAAGCTGATTGGGCCAGGCCTGGAGGGGGAGGGGCCAGGCAGGGAGCATCTGTCCTTCATTTAGCTGCTCTGTGCTTTGTGGAGGCTGGGAGGGAGCACAGCTGCAGAGCACCAATTCTGCAGGCACCAGCCAAAAGGGGAGCTTGGAGCAGCTCTGAAAAATGTGCCTTGGAACAAAATATGGCTCCTGTAACGGCAGGCGTTTTGCCCTGAAGCACAGCGGTGCACTTTGAAAAGAGCAACGCTGGCTTGGTTGAGAACTTTTTTTTGGGGGGGGGGCGTGCAGGGAGAGCGACAAGGGACTTGGATTCAGGAACCAGCCAGTCTCAGTAAAAGTTGGAGCCCTGTGCTGTACGCTAGACCAGAAAAGTGTCCTCTTTCAGCAACCAGGCCCTTCAGATGTTGAGTTCTAAACTTATTATCTCAGCTGTGAAAGTCCAATGACTAGCCATGGTCTTAAACAGCAGCTGTTTGGCAGAGGATGAGAGTGAGATCCTGATGATAGTCGCTGTGCTGCTCATGAGAAAGGGCTTCTCGTGTTACCTTGGGCAGGTCACTCATTGGGCTTGTTTTCCAGGCAGGGCACGTTTCCCATCTCGCAAGTGCCAGAGACCTCTTTCTGGGAGACTGGCTGTCCTCGGGCTTCTCATACCTTTTCTCAGCACACCTAATCACACAGGATTGTGCGGAGGATAATAAAGAAAATGGGGAGAGACAGGGGTGCTGATCTGAGGAGCTGGGAGAAGTGGTGAAATTAAAAACGTTACAAACTAGGGGTGGCTGACCTATGGCCTTTCATATATTTCTGGACTCCTTCTCCCATCATCATCCCTGCCATCTGACTAGGGCTGACTCTGCCCACACCTGAAAGTCCACAGGTTACAAGCAAGAAGGGCCACAGGTCAGCCACCCTTGTTACAAGCAAGCATTTAGCCTGGCTGTTGAACTGAACAGAGACATCTGGATTGTGTTTCAAATTTTGCACTAGCTACACAGGCAGCAAGGAGTGCAGAAAGAGTGAGAGTGTATTGTTGTACACCTTGAGGCCCTGAATTTGGACAGAATCTTGAAAACAAAAGGGATGGAAAATGTTTTCCTCTGACTCATTGTTTTCCAGTAAAATATCCTGAATGCTGGCCTTAGCCGTCCATGGTTCTTTCCCCTCAGCCTTAGAATGCAAGTCGTTTCCGCTCTGACTTCTCAGAATGGCCCCTGATTGGCAGAAAGGAAGTTATCCCAGGAATGCAAATAAACTGCAAGCTGGAGACTCTGCTGACGGGGTTGATGGGAGTTTGCAATGCCGTTTCCACGTCTGCAGTGACAGATCTGCAGAGGCCCCATTAAGGCCGTGTGGCGTTTCCTGCACACCCTGGGAGTTGGAGGGCCATGCTGTTTCGTTACTTAAGGGCTAGAATTTCCCACTGGGCAGATGGCTGTGATGTAGACTCTTTTCCAGGACTGGGCCTCATTCATTAGGAGACTTCTGCTGTCCAAAGAACTGGCTTCAGAAACTCCAGTGACATTTGAGAAGCAGTGGAGGATTCTGCTTTCGTGGTGCTCGGAGCAAAGGAAAGGGAGGCCCAATAATCAGTGTTCAGACGTTCTGCATTTTTTGTAAAGCCTTCCCACGGCACTCCAAAGTTGTGTGTTGGCAAGGGAAACTGACTGTGCACCTGTGGGCACTTAATAGCTTCGTGACTCACTTCCTTGTGGAAAGTTGGAGAGGAAAAAGTAAAAAGTTTTGTTAGCTGCAGGCAGACTTTTGACATTGTTATCATAAGTGCATATATGTGGCAATAGTTTTATCAGAATGGACCATGGGAGGCACTTTGGTTCAAGAGCTAGATGGACTTTTGGATGGTGAAGCCTCTTTGTGCTATGGATTATTCTTCTCTCTGTGCTCCATTTGTAAAAGGAAGCAAATGGGAGCCTTGTTTGTGGGGTGGTTGTTGTGGCTACATTTTATTTATGTGCTGTTTTTTGGCCCAAAGCTATGAGCAGCATATTGAAATTAACTGACTATACAGTAGAGTACAGTAAAATGCTGTAAAGAAATCCACAAACAATTGATATAAGACACCAGAGTAGCAACCTAGGAGGGCCAGGGGAAGGCCTTCCCAAGCTCTTGGATTAAAGGGTGCTCTCACCTATCATACATCCCCACACACGTGGGGGCTAGAAACCTGAATAGACAAGACCCTGGGGAGCTGCGGTTGGGTAGAGCTGTAGGTAGCACTGGGCTAGAGACTCCAGTGACCTAACATGTACTCCGACATACACTGGGGTTTCCTAATGCTATAACTGAGAGGAGGACTTCAGGCTCTATGACCTGAACAAGTCCAGTGTATAATTGTCTGGATGCATTCATCAAGTGTTAGGTTCTCAAGAGATGCTGTGCAGATGCCTTCAGCCATCTTCCTCTTCTCCAAGGGTCTTAGAAGTAGTGACCATAATACTTAAGACTTTATAGTGTACTTTAGCATGTTCAGATGGTTTTGCATATATTCTCCAGTAATCCTTAACAACAGCCCTTTAAGTAGACTGGTATTATATCTCCATATTGGGAAGTCACCAGCCTGATTCACTCTTCATGTCTTAGGCTATGACTCCCATCAGCCCCTGCCAGCAGCTCTGATGGGAGGTGTGGTTCAAAACATCTGGAGGACACCAGGTTGTGAAGACTGGTAGAGAGTGCATTGGTGGCAGAAAAGAGAGTTGAACCACAGCTCATTCCCTAAACTGCTGAGCTGCTGCAGATAATGACGGCTTAGGCCCACCTGTAGGAATTTTCACCTGCAAGGGGAAGAGCTGCCAGGTTGCTGGACTCTGGAGGAGCTCTGCATCCCCCACTTGGGCTCATCTGCCTTGTTTTGCTGGGATTTCCTTGAACCTCCCTTGTAACCTGCCTTCTTGTCTCTGCCAGAGTGAAGCGGCCGAGTGGCATGAACAGCCTCCTGGGGAAGATAGGCACCAAAAAGCAGAAGCTCAGCACCCTGGAGAAATCCAAGCTAGACTGGGAGACCTTCAAAGAAGAGGAGGGCATCGGGGAGGAGCTGGCCATCCACAACCGAGGGAAAGATGGGTAAGAGGGCAGCATCCTCCAGCAGGCATAGCAGCATATCTTTTCCAGGGTTTTGACATTTGTGGTTCTTTCCACAAACCTTGAAACTTCAGATAAATACTTCAAGCAGGGAGCAGATTCCCAGCTGCCCCTTTGGTCTGGCACTGCCTGTCCCTGTGACATCAGGGGTGGGCAGTTTTTAAGCTGGTATCAACTGTGTGTTTTTGCTGGAAGTTTAAGGTCCACCAGGCAGAGCCTGGAAACTGGCCAGTGGAACAACACAAAGTTATATTTTATAGGACTGGAATAGAGAGACCTATAATGCAGTTAAATTGGGAATTAGAAACCCTTGCTGAGCTAATGCAGATCGCCCAGGAATGTACCAATAATAGATCCCGGGGCACCCCAGTGTACTCCACACACATCTCACCACCAGTGTATCTGCAGTGAGCTCCAAGTTTGTGAAACCAGAACACTCTTGTTCTGACCTGGTCTGGTTTTGCAAGAGATGAGGAGGATCTACACACACAGAGAGAGAGAGAGGGAGAGAGAGAGAGAGATTCTTCAGCTCATTATGGTGTTATGTAGGGCAGGCCCCACAAGAAATGCCCCTTTGGTTTTGATCTGTGTGCCTGGCAGTATGTAGGACAGGCCATGTGAGAGCCCTGGGGTGTTTGCGGGAGGAGAGATAGGTGGCCTTGTGCTGCCCCACTGAGTTATGGCAAGGGGTTGATGAGGCACAACTGAAGGTTCCACAAAAATGCACTTGATTTCATTCGTGCTTGTCTCCAGTGTCATTATTGGAAATTATTTATAGCTTGCAATTAGTTGGACAATTTGGGTTATTTTGTTGGGGAAGGAAAGTCAAGTGAAGGACTTTAGCTCTGCCTGATCCTTAATCTTTCCCACTCTCTTAAATCCATGTGCAAAGTTGTTGCCCAAGACATGTTGCACGTGGAATGGGCTGCAAGAACTTACTGGCGACATGGGAGCACCAGTGCCCACCATCTGCCAGGGGAGCCTTGTGCAACAATGACTGCCTGGGGCTGAAAAAGCAAGGTGGCACTTGAGGCAGTGAAGCCCCTGCAAGGGCAGCAGCAACATAGTTTATTTCCTGGTGTCAAACTGGAGGCCAGACTGGCTTGTGATTTGGTGTCTCTGGAGCTAACCCACTGCCTCCTTCTCTGCAGGTACTTGGAGAGGAAAGCGTTTCTGGAGAGGGTTGACCACCGGCAGTTTGAGCATGAGCGAGACATACGCCTGAGCAACATGAAACCTTGAGACTGCTGCAGAGCCCAGTCCGAATCATGCCTCTGAACTGGCTAGCCTCAGAAGGCAGCAACTCATAGAGTTATGACCTATATGGATTTTCTTTTTCACCACACTAGTGAATAGGTGAATGGAGGTCGCTGTGGCAGGTGATTTGCCTGCCAAAGGGCTGCTGTGTGCAGGAGACACCAGAGTGGTTCTGCTGGGCGCTTGTCAGCAGCTGCGGTGGAGGTTTTCCAGATCTCCCTGCTCCTGGCGGTTAGGAGGGGCAAAGCAATCTTTATGCTGTGGCAGTAGCCTGCTCATGCCCGCTGCCTGGGCACCACTTCCCTGGGGCATCAGCTCCATGGGTCTCCCAAGGGCTGCAGACTACAGAGCGCCTCCGTGCAGCTGGAGGGCTTTTCTTCCCAAGGACACAATGCACGCATGCATTGTGTCTGCATTAGGCCCATTGACCCACTTTCTGAAGACACTTCCTCTTCTCCCTGTGGGATCTCCGCTGTCGTTTTTTCGTAAACCCTTTCACCAGGATTTTTTTTAAAAAGCAAGTCCTCTGTCATGCTCTGCACGAACATCGGAGGAACAGCAGCGTGCATGTGAGGAAAGTCGGCATCCCTTTGTTCCTTTGAATAAAGTGTAAAAACTTTATTGTCGGGTGTGTCATTCTTCATCCATTGGCAGGGAACCTTAAGACAACTCCTTTTATCAAAGCAAAGACTGGCTGCTTGGACAGAGTCCAAACCCGTTCTCACAACCTTGATCCTATGTGCTAGGAAAATGCATGTGGAAAGCTGTAACCTATCTTCAACACGAGGAGCAGGACCTGGTGCATCATTTGGTGCTTTTTCTCCCCATAATCCCCTATGGGGATTCACTTGGAGACCACCTGGAACTCAGGTGAACGTTTGATCAGCATTGGGAACTGGCTTCTGTCTGTGCGCGCGTGTGTGTGTGTGTGTGTGGCTGTCTAAAGTCCACGTTCTTGTAGAGAACATAACCAATAAATAGAGGAAACAATGGGAAGCAGTTGGGGAAGAGATAAGGAGGCAGCACCATGAACTCGGGATTCATTGTACAATCCTGCAGGTGCAAGCATGCCTTGTATTTGACCCATCAACCCCTTTCATGTGGGTGGGGCAGTGGACTGGTCCTAGTCGGACCAACAGAGAGAAATGCAATAGTCTCACAACTTTGGGGGACTTACTTTCTTTACAAGTGAAACTGGAGGCAAAACTTTTTATCTGTAATCTGGTAGCACCATTGAAGGAAATAAAACTGGTGCAGAATTCTGCAGCCCTGCTAGCGTTGGATGTCGGGCTGTGCTGCTCCAGTACCCCTTTGTCTATCTCTGCTTCCTGTTGTTCAAAGGTATTTTTTTATTTCTACCTTTTAAAGCCTTAAAATGATCAGGGACCAGCACAATTGCCGGACTGCCTCCTATTTGAACTTTTACACAATCCAAGAACATCTGTCGGGTTTGTGCTTTGGGGCAGTATCCTGCTTTTTTTATTTAACCCTGTCTTTCTTCGAAGGAACTCCAAAGTGATATTAGTTTCCTCCTCTCTTCCCTGCCCCCAGCTCTATTTTATCCCCACAGCACCCCTGTGAGGGAGGTTAGGCTTACAGATAGTGACTGGCCCGAGATCAGAGAGTGAGCTTTGTGGTTGAATGGAGATTTTCTCAGTAGCATCAATAGTGTTAGAGAGGACTCAATAGGCCTCAGTTCTACTTGATTTTAGGCAACGGGTAAATTTTTCATTTATTCTCTCAGGCTTTTAAAAGGTGAATGTTAAAAATCCCCCCTCCCCCTGGTCCAAGCTCTTTCTGGATGTTTATCCAAATTGATGCCTTTTTAGTTGGTGTTTTGTTGAACAATTGTCTTAATTGAGGGGTTTTTCTTTACGTCCCGAACTGTTGCATCAGGAGTGCATTTGTGGAAAAGAGTCTGAGGACACAGACAGCTATTTAAAATCCTCCAGGCCTCTGCCTGGGAGAAAGCAGAGTAGACTCCTTTCACCCCCTTGGCTTGCAGGACCTCCTTTCCAGCCAACCCTGGATGCTTTTGCGCTCTCCAGCAGCTGCTGCCACGCTGGCCCTGGCTTGGGGGCGCCTCTGCTTTTCCAGCAGCTTGTCACAAATCCTCACACACACCCCTTCAAGAAGGAGGGCTCTTGTCCTTCTCTGATACAGGGGGAAGGAGTGGCATGAGGAGGCCGTTGGTGGTTGAGGAATGGAACAGTTTCTGTAGATCTTCTCGGCCAATGCAGCCCCAGGGAGCCGTCAAAAAGCAAGCCAGAGAATGACGTTAATGTTAATTCTCATCGAAAATGTGGGGCTCCCCACCACCACCACATGGTTATTTTTGTCTTGGTGGTTTTATTGCATGGTTACCTATTCTGAGACACAGACACAATATGCACCATGCCATGCACCAGGGAAAGGGGAGAGAGGAACGAGCCAGGCTCCACAATCCAGTGATTTAATTTTTTCAGGGGCGGGGGGAGGAAAGTTGGTATATTTTATAATGCCCCCCTCATCTCCAGCGAAACAAACCTTCCTGTGTGTAATAAAATTAGCACAAGGTAGTACTTGGCAAACTAGGTACACCAAACCTCCCTGAAGTTCCTTCGCGATATGCAAGGAACTTTTCAAGAAGGGAGTCTCGGTGCAGCTGATCGTTATTACACTTCCTCCTGCACTCAAGTGTAGAACAGCTGCCATGTGGGGAGAGGAAGATATCTTTGTACACCCCTACAGTGGTACCTCGGGTTACATACGCTTCAGGTTACATACACTTCAGGTTACAGACTCCACTAACCCAGAAATAGTGCTTCAGGTTAAGAACTTTGCTTCAGGATGAGAACAGAAATCGTGCTCCGGTGGTGCGGCGGCAGCAGGAGGCCCCATTAGCTAAAGTGGTGCTTCAGGTTAAGAACAGTTTCAGGTTAAGAACAGACCTCCGGAACGAATTAAGTACTTAACCCGAGGCACCACTGTATTTTGAACCTTCCCTTACCATGCATGTATTATTACCTGGTGTTGCACATGCCCCAGTTCCATATGACCCAGACAAGGGGATAACAGGGGTCAGCAAACCTTTTCAGCAGGGAGCCAGTCCACTGTCCCTCAGACCTTGTGGGGGCTGGACTATATTTTGAAGGGAAAAAATGAATGAATTCCTATGCCCCACAAATAACTCAGAGTTGCATTTTAAATAAAAATGACACATTCTACTCATGTAAAAACACGCTGATTCCTGGACCATCTGCAGGCTGGATTTAGAAGGCGATTGGGCCAGATCCGGCATCCAGGCCTTAGTTTGCCTACCCATGGGTTAGAAATATGGACAATTCATATGCTGGGGACAGAGGCAAGAGAGGTTTTTAATGGAGTTTGTTCTGTACTATGAGATGCTTCTGACGTCTTGGCTCATAAACACTGTGTGTGTGTGTATGAGATACACTCCATTGATTTCAAGAGCATCGTCAGCTTTAACAGCTGCCCTTGGTTCTTACTGCCATAAGCAGTTTCACCTTGAAAGATGAGCTATTTCCTCGTGCTGAATAAAGTGGGAAGGATATCCCTTCTTTAAAGGTTCTTTTTCATCCCGTTTGGTGGAGGAAAAAGGAGAAGAGAGAGCCAGAACAATGATGGGCCCCCTTCGTAATCCTGACTCCTGAGAGGCTCTGCTTGTTGTCGCTGCTCTCTGTTAATCAGGGGAAATATTTTAATCTTGAGATTCAAGCTGCAGTTGATTAACCAAAGCAGTTAATCAGTTCAAGCCTTGCCAGCCCCGTTTTCTTCCACTTTTCTCTCTTCGTTTTTCTAAGCTCGCTCCAGAAATGTGGGGAATCTTGGAAACCGTTTGACAGTCCTGGCAATGCAAATCACAGGACTTGGCTACTTTTGCTCTGGGCTACCTTCCCAGGAGGCAAATTGCTTCCAGCATCCCAAATAGCGATGCTGCTTATAGAATGAGGCCTGTCAGCACACTCTGGCTGAAAAGCTAAGAAAGGCCACAGGTGACATGAGCCATGCCAAGATACCATTTCCAACTAATATTAATCTGGTCTGATTCAGTCCAGCTTTGGAAAGAAACTACCTCTAGGATTTGGTTGATTGCAGGGCAAGATGACAGCAGTGGAGACTTAAGCTACTAAGCCAGGCATAGGCAAACTCAGCCCTCCAGATGTTTTGGGACTACAATTCCCATTATCTCTGACCACTGGTCCTGCTAGCTAGGGATCATGGGAGTTGTAGGCCAAAAAACATCTGGAGGGCCGAGTTTGCCTATGCCTGCACTAAGCGATGCAAGGGAACAGGTTGCACAACTAAGTACCCCAGAGGATTTTTTTAAAAAAGAAAGAGCCTTTTTCCATTTTAAAATTTAAGCTTTTCTACACCACTCTTAATCGATCCATGCAGGGAGGTTTACAGTAAAAATTTAATTCAAACAATAGTAACATACAATGGCACAAGCAAAAAATAAAAATCACATCATTCAAATAGCTAAACAATTCAGTGCAACGGGTGTTGTTGTTTTTTAGTATTTTTTTATTCAAGTAAAACAGCAGATTACAAAGTGGTGTTGTAAAAGTAAAGAAAAAACAGGCCTATACCTTACTTCCGGGTCCAAATCTGCAACAGTAAAAAGCAAGGGGTGTCATGGTCTTGAGTGGCAGGGATGAACAGATGGAGCTGGCAAGGAGGTGGAGTTGCATAAGGATGACCACGCGGAGGGTCCCAGTGGGATGGGGCATACCCTGCCAGTCTTGGCCTTTTGTGGAGGGTGGGGGTGGAGGGTCTCAGCCTGTCACGTCTCCCTGCCACTCACACAGGAGTGACACCTGAGCCTCCTCTGGAGTAACCACAGTCCGTCTCTGACTTGGATACTCAGCTTGTCGTGCCAGTTCTGTCCCCAGAGTTGCCAGGCTCAACCCTGCAGGAGGAGTCTGCTGCCCTGTCTACCTGGTTGGCTCCAGAGGAGTCATCAGTGCATCCTCCATCCCCTGCAGTGCAGGCAAAAACAGAGAGGCCAGGCCCAACCTTTCTGGAGGAGTGCCCGTTTGCTGGCTCTGCAAACAGTCCCGTTTGCCACACGTGAGTTGTGCCAGCCCCATTCCCATAATGGGGGAATGTGTGGCTTGTTGGATCAACATCTTCCCTTGTCTAGCCAAGCATAGCACCTGCCGTGCCTTTTGAATCCTCCTTGGCTTCTGTATCACACTGATCTGAGCATTAAAGCTTTTAGTACAGGTATAGGCAAACTCGGCCCTCCAGATGTTTTGAGACTACACTTCCCATTATCCCTGACCACTGGTCCTGTTAGCTAGGGATGATGGGAGTTGTAGTCCCAAAACATCTGGAGGGCCAAGTTTGCCTATCCCTGTTTTAGTAGAAAATGTGCTCTCTGTTTGCAAATGAGCACTGCTTTGGTTCCAGGCAACAAGGCTACACCCTCCTGTTCAGGCTCCTGTTCAGTCGTCGTTGCATCTGGCTCCGTCTCCCCAGCCTGCACTGAGGCTGTGCAGGGAAGTTGGGTGGGTGGGGGAGATGGGAGATGGAGTCCAACGACATATGAAGGGCAACAGGCTCCCCATTTGCTGCATTGAGCTGTTTCCCTGGTGTCAGGGACTGACAGAATCCCT